AGAAAATCTTGGTTGTAATGGCTCACGGGCTTCTTGGGTATGGGGGAGTAGCTCACGTCCCTGGATGTCAATCCACGGATCGGGCGCGACCATGTGCTAGCAATGGGGTGGAGTCGTCAAGGCCACCAAAAGGTGCTCTGCAGGAGCAATCAGTGCATGTGACTGGAAGGTTGCAATCAGTGCCTGAGGTGCCAAGAGTGAGCGCACTTCGATATGAGGGTGATCCTGATGATCCCATCGAAGATGATGACTCAGAGGCAGACCCTGGAGTGCCATTCCCGCATGGGGACCCTCACGGCAATGCCTATCTACGACACCTTGGGCAGGTACCTCCCAACTACAAAGCTCCTCCAGTGCAATGGATGCAACAACATGCGCCTAAGGCGGCATTGCCTAAGGCAAGACCGAAGAGGAGGGCAGAAGAGGCACAACCAAAACAACGTGCAGAAGCCTTCCAAAGAGCAGTTGCTGCTGAACGGGGGAGCATTCACCAAGCAGTTCAACGTGAACAACAACAAGGTGCTTCCTCTAGCAGTTCAACAGGCCAACAAGGATATCCACAACGGCAACCTCCAGGAGCTCCGCCACGAGAACCAACTGACAATGAAGTTGATGAGGCTCTTCGAAGGGTTGCAGAAAACTGGCTGTTCACACAACCTCCACGGGTTCAAGATGGATGGCACTACATGGATGTTGTGGAGCTCTTTGGCAAGAGGTATCGGGTGGTGATGCGAAACCACCGGACACCAAGGAGACGAAGCTTCCATCCAGTTCACCGAGGAGCTCCAGGCAATCTCTTGGGAAGGAGGCTCACGGTGATCCATGGAAATGGAAGACGCAGTGAAGTGGCGGACAACTGGTCTGAATCATGGGAAACGACTGGTTGGACGGGCTACACGTTGTTTCTTCAGCGACTCCCAGAAGAACCTCAACAACCTGCCACTTCAAGCCAGAGCAGTACCCAACCAGTCGCTACAACGCAGCTGGATGAGGAGGCTGAGGGCGATGGCAGCTTCGAGTTGGTCGAAGATGATGATCCTGGTGGTCAAGGTCAAGGACCACAACTTCGGACGATGTCTCTTTTTTCATCCGCTGATGGAGCCATGGGATCGTCGGTGACTTCGGCATCGACACGACTGGTCGCGGATGAGGGGGAGATGGGCTTGGACTTGATGGACATCCCGAAGGGCTTGATCCAAAGGAGACGGACCAAAAGGGTCAAACAAGACCGACATGACCGACTCGAGGACAGCAGTTGGAGTGGAAAAGGTAAGGGTTCCGGGTTAGCATCAGGGTTTCAAAAAATATCCCCAAACAGAAAGGGTTACTCAAAAGGGAGCACCATGTCCTCAGAAAACCAAAACATGAGTACTACTACAAGGGGAACTTCGTTGGGACATGTTGCCGGTGATTTGCAAAGTTTTGATGGTGAACGGGTTGCAGTTTTGACTTTGTTGCGGCCTGGTTCAAATATAGACGGACAACCTCCACCTGCTCTGCGATTCTTTGCGGTGATGAGCGATGGTGGAGAAGATCAAGGTGATCGTGGTCGACAAGAAGATCGTGATGATCGAATAGACCGCGATGTCCCTGGCAAATTGTTTGAAAGATGCCCGGGGAAACCAAAGCCGAAGAGGGTGAGTCTCAAACCGGTTCCCTCATTGGTGACGTTGAGACCGGCATCGCAAGTGTCACGGGTGCCAGATGATGAGGGGCACTGCGTGGAAGAATCATCCCAGGATGAGGAAAACGAGGGCATCAGGCGCGTGGTGTTGGACGATGAGAAGGGCTTCTCTTCAGGGGATGATGCAGTACCAGTGCGGACGGTTCAGACGCAGGAAGGCCAAGCCTCAAGCAGTGCTGGACTAGGTGCTGGGAAATCTGAACAAGGAGAAGATCAACTACATGGAGAAGCACTACGACCTGGAGATGCCGAAAAAGGTGAGGTCCTGAAACAAGAAGGACCCAAGCTGAAGAAGTACCGCAGGGTACGGGTGAAGAAACAAGTGACGCAGTTGGAGAAAGACATCAAGGAGTTGCAGAACGCAGGAAAAACAAGGAATGAAAAAATGGCATACCTTCGACGTCTACAACGAGAGCGGCAAGAGCGGCAAGCAGCTGGGAAGCCTCTTGGACAAGTAGACCTACCAGAGTCAAAGGAACCTCAGGAGAACAAAAAATCTGAGGAAAACAAAGCTGAGGTGACAGAAGAACCTCAACCAAGGACGCCGTCGCCATCTTCGGTGGATTGGAAAGCTGCTGAGGAGGAGACGGAAAGGCAGTTTGCGGAGGCGAAAGCAGCAGGCCGCAGAATCCTCTCTTACGAGGAATGGGACAAAGAGCGCAAGGAGAAGAATGAGAACTTGCGCCAAGCAGCACTGCGGAGGTCATGGCTGGATCGAGAAATTGCCCGCAGAGCTCTGCAACAAGAAAGAGGTGAAACCAGAGAAGCAGTTCTGAGGAGCACAACGGCATCGGCATCTGGACCGCTTACAGATGAGGAGTGGGGGCAAATGCAACAGATGATGAAAAGGTTGCCATCAGCACCTCCATGGCAGTGTGAGATGCCCAAAAAGGATGAAGAGCAGCCGCAAGACAAAAGGGCCAAAACGGTCCAGAAGGACCCAAAGCACGGGATGCCGCCACCACAGCCGGATTTGCCGGCACCACCTCCGCAGGGATATGCTGGAGTTTGGAGAGGTGGATGTTGTCCTGGCTTTCGTTGGCAAGGGGCGCAACAAGGTCACCATGGACCACAAGCACCTCACGGACAACAAGGGTTTGCACCTGGATGTGGAGGGCAACAACACCAAGGACCTCCAAGAGGACCTCAAGGCTTTCATCCAGGACTACAAGGGCAAGCACCAGCGCAACAAAGCATGTCGCTGGACCTTGGGCCAGTGAGATATAGGTCTCCTGAAGAACTGGCAGAAGCGACGGTATGGTTGGAACGACAGCGTGGCGGCCCTGAAGTGGATCTTCGCACACCGGGCGATGTGGTTCGGCATGACTTGGCGATGGCAATGGCGAAGTCAAGGGCAAAAGCTGGAATGCCGACACCACCACCAGCAAGGATGATGGTAAGTCCGCCTCAACGAGAAGTTCCTGCACCGCCACCGGAACAACAACAAGAACAAGGTAGAGGAGAAGATGCTGGAGAATCTCTTCTACAGAGAATCCTCAGGTTGGCTGGCGATGGACCAATATGTGGGGGAACTCCGCCATCGACACCAAGGGTGCCTTCACCGTCGACACTGTCGAGCACCTCAGAGGCTGAGATCTTGGAGGTGCCGTACGACGAAACCAGTGCGGCTCAAAACGAGCAGATGGCCTTGCGACCTAAGGCTCGTCCTCTTCAGAGGGACCCCAGGCATGGGGCGATGGCTGCAACTGGTGGTGATGGTGGACGAGATGGCCCTGGAGACGGGGATGACCCACGGCGCAATGACAGAGCAAGCCCAGAACCTGAAGCAGAGGACGATGAGGATGACTCTGTGGAAGGGACGGCCACCCAGGAGTTCATGTATCGGATGAAAAGAAGATCCGATGAGCTGACGGGACGGAAGAACAAGTTCCAGGTCGGCAAGAGCTCTGCATGGAAGCCCCAGAAGCTCCGAAAGGGGCGTGGCCACACGGTCAGATGGTGGCCGGAGCGTCGTGGCAAGGGCACCAGGGGTGAGGATTCCACAATAACCCACTCGGTGACGAGCCCTACGACGGGATGGCAGCGCATCTATGCGAAGGGAAAGCAGCCAAGGGCCCTTCGCGTCTCCAACCAAGGGGGCGAAGGCAGTGGGGGCCGCATCGTCCTGCAAGGCAAGGGCGCAAACCCAGCGGCCGAACTGCAACTGGCGCAGTCGCTGAGCCGGGCAGCCGCCGCGGTACGGCGAGCTGAAAGCGCCGTGGCCACCCATGGGAATGGCAGCGAAGGGGCAGAAGCAGCCTATGAAGAGGCGGCTATGGCGGTGAACCAGTACTTGGATGCGGATGCAATCCTACACCCGCCAACTGGCGCTTCAAGCTCCAGCGCAGCACCTTCGAGCTCAAGCGCAGCCCCAGTGGGAAGAGGAGCTGCCAATCTGGGTCTGGAAGCCTACCGTGACTTCCTTCAGGCCAAGGGCAAGGGCAAGACAAGCCGAGCTCATGCAGATGCAGCTGCAGATGAAGAAGGATCTGACCCAGACGCGGATCCGGAAGACGAGAACTATGAAGAGGAGATTGAAGAAGAAGAAGAACATGGTGATGATGGGGACTACGTCGAGGTGGAGCTCGAGGTGATCCCTGAAGAAGACCATGAAGGTCATGATGCAGCAGAGGGTCCAGCCACAGAGGACCAAGAAGATGCAGGTTGTGATGAAGATGGACCTGAAGCGCATGGCCTAGAAAACAACGAAGAAGAAGAACGCCATGAGGACGATCCGGACTACAGCGCGGAAGAGGAGTTCGTCCATGAAGAGCACAGCTGAGAGAAGCCTTGGGCCTGACTGGCCAATAGTGACGGGCTTAGTCTTTAAAGCCCATAGAAGTTTTCCAAGGCCTCGTGTTTAAGGCCCGTAGGGTTGCACGTGGTCTAGTCTCTAAGACCAGTAGAGACCTTTTGAAGGCCTAGTGTTTAAGGCCAACAATGGAATGGTGGCAGCCAGGGGAGTCTATCAAAGATAAGACTCAGGGCGTTTTGGCCACCTTCGTAGCCGAACTGGCACCGTGCACCCAAAAAGTTTGGCAAACTGCCAAAGGGGGAGTGCATGGAGTATTTTAGATGCTGACCTTTTGGCTATGATCAAGAGTAGTATCTGACACAACTGACATGACTGTGGTAGGTAACAACCACCTCCTACCGCAGGCTTCTTTAGCCCCAAATCAAAAAGGTGCTCACGCTGCTCCGCAAGCAGATTCAAATTGGTATTTTTGCATATTTTTGCCGGAAACTGTGTTTAACATGGTATTTCTGTTCTAGCCGCCAGGCTGCCAAATACTCATTGAACAAAACGGGGCCAGGCCTTCCAATTCTCGCTGAAGGCCCGCGATCTGGAACCTTGGCAAATGCCTCTGCATCTCCGCTGTGAAGCCATGGAAAAACCGTAGTTGCCCATGATGTGGTCGTAGTGAATGTGAGTATTGACCTAAGAACGAGTCTGATAAAAACTTGTTCCATGCAATTTGAAACCTCTTGTTTTTCTCCCTGCGACCCAAGTCACAACTTGAAACTCTTTACCCTCCAAGCAAGACAATGTCTCCAGAAAGTCGCGGAGTGAAGCCGTGTTGCAGCCAGTGTCCTGAGCCAAAACACTAACGCGCTCATCCATATCTGTCTCCTTTGGCTCCTTTGAGAACAAGATCTCATAGTACTTCATGGATCTTCATGGTATATCTTTGGTGAGTAGGCTCGAGGCATTGTTTCGTGTGGAGACCCGTCATTAAATCCCTTTGCCCGTTCAAGTGTGTGGAATCAATGGGTCGGTTTGTTATTGATTTGCTGTATATAGTCATACTGTTGCTGACGGCATGCAATTGCGTTGCATGGAATCTAAAACACATTATTGAAAGGGGAAAACTCTAACTGAAGGGCAAGCACACCTCACACACACACACACACCACGCTTTGGATGATTGAATCTCCAAGGATTGTCCAAGGATCAATGATGATAGCCTTCTTAGGGCCCAACACCGCATAGATATGCGGAAGCTCACCTCAGGGGGGAATGAGACTTAATTAGCAAAAGTTAGTATCAAGCAGCTTGTCGCGAAACTCAACAGCCTAGTGTTATTTGTATAATTATATGTGTCAATCTATACAATAAATATATATATATATATATAAATACATACCTATATGACTGTATGTATACAATATGTATCTCTCTCTCTCTCTCTCCCTCTCTCTCTCTCTCCATCACACACACACACATATATAATATATATATATATATACGTATATATGCGCGTGTTTTTTGCGTGTAACACGGGTAGGGCTACAGAATATGTAGACCTACCTGAGTTCAGCAATGGGCCAATACTGGCATCGAAAACGAATTGAAAAGAGGAACCACGGCCACGGAATGGAGGACATCTCTTGAAACAAGCTAGGCTATGACTCTGACCAGGTCTGAACGACCACTGGAATCGACCGGAATTAACGTCAACAACTGACAACCCCAAGGCCCAAAGCCGACTGTCTACTACAAGAGACACACCCTACAACATCCTAGTGACGAAAGGGCTCTCCTCTTCTTGCAATGAGTCTGAACATTAGACACCAGCAAAGCCGTGGCACCGAAACGATCCGATTCAATGATGACCAGCGTCCGCTGTGAAAGCTGGTGGACTTCGAAAGGCCATGGCCGGTCGCTATCCATCTGCATCTTGTAAACAACTTGTTTGCAAGCTTCACACGCAAACTTCCGTCCAAAGGGCGCCTAAACAAAGCGTTATTCTTTTGCCATTTTTTTTGCCAGGGCTTCTCAGGGAGATGAAATGAGATGAATAAAGAAAACAAAAGCGGGAATGCCCGACACCTCCTCCCAAGTGCAGGCTTTGAGGCTTTGAGTGATTTGAATTTCAATTTGAAGGCGTTCAAACCGTTCAAACAATGTATTGCAGGGCCAAGTTTGGGGCCCTAACTAGGTCTGACAGCGCACATACCTGTGAAACCCAACTGCGGGAAATAAATGTGGTACATTTTGGTATGAATGCGATGGAAAATCAAAACTGCTACAACATGTTAAAAATGGAATGTGGCATTTTGACAGTGTTGTTCACATAAACCCGTCCATCGCATCATCTTGTTTCATCGAATTCAGGCTGATTCTTAGCAGAACTAGCACAGGTCATGGTCATACTGAAATTTCGGGCTGAGGTGGACATATTTGAAAACCTACGCATAAAATGTATCCAAATTTTGTCCGGATGTATTTCGCAATATTCCCAGGGATTTCTGCGATATCCCCGCAAATTTCCGCGATTAAAAACGGGTCTCATTGAGTAGCATTAAAAGCGGATGCAGCTTTGTTGAAATCTAGAGGCCCTCACCTGGCAGCTGGGGAAATAAATACTGTAAAATCTTACATGTGCAGCGCACAATGTAATATGGATCATTGTCCTGCAATCCCACGCCTTTGGCACCAGTCGCGAGCAGTCATAGCCATGAGTATATATGCTACAGTTGTTACTGCAGTTGGCGTTACTAGTAGCTGTATCAATGCCCGCGCTGTTTCAATGACTTTCTGGCCCCCTCATCATATAAGCTGTGCCTGACATTCAGCTGAAGCATTCTCAGTCACATTCGAGGCACTCTTCATGGGCAGCATAGTCTCCGGCATTCTTTCTGATATTCTATCTGGCATCTATTCTGGCATGTATTCTGGCATTCTGCAGTATCTGACATTCTATTCTGGTTTTCTATCTGGCATCTATTCTGACATTCTACTCTGCCATTCTATCTGGCATTCTTTCTGGCATCTACAGACAGAGGCTTTAGTCACTTTAGTCACAGAATTTTTCTGGAATCACCATATTTACAATGGCACGACCCCGTCACAGCAGGGTCACAGCAACAACGCAAAACACCATGCAAACGCCTAAAACATGTCTTCTTTCATTTCACATCCTTCATCATTTTCTCACCCATTCCCTCAAACCATCTCTCACTCATTCTTTCACTCACTATCTCACTCCTTCTCTCGCCCATTCTCTCTCTTGCTTTCTCTCTCCCTTTCTCTCTCTCTCTCTCTCTCCCTCCCCCTCCTCTCTCTCCTCTCTCTCTTCTTTCTCACTCTCACTCTCACTCTCACTCTCACTCTCACTCTCACTCTCTCTCTCTCTCTCCCTCTCTCTCTCTCTGTGTTGTGTCTGTCTCTGTCTGTCTCTCTCTCTCTCTATATCCCTGCACAGGAAAGCACATGTTATCACAATGAGTTGGCTTCGCTGGGCAGTATATATCTATCTATCTATCCATCTATCTATCTACCTATTTACCTTTCTGTCTAGCTATCTATCTACTATCTAATTCTAATTCCAAATACAATGTACGAATATATATATATATATATAAATAACATGTGTACGAATATATTATATATATAATATATATATATATATATGAGTTGGCTGCAATGAGTTGGCTTTGCGCTATACATGCTTCACTGCTTTTCTTGCCAAAGCGTGAAACTGCACGGACAAGCATGAATCATGGACTGTGTGAAACTGCCATTCCTTTGGGCAAGGGTTGTCCATGGTCATCGTCCCATCGTTCCTGTTGTCCCGACCAGCACGTCATAACACGTTGGTTGGATTTGGTTGGTCTTTTGAAAAGTGGCAAGGCTGTCTCTGGCTAGGGGATGTCATGGATGTCTACTTTCATAGCCTCCTTCCCCCAGGAAATGACTGCACCTGTGGCCAACACTGCTGCGAATGAGTCCATCGATGCTGTCAGCTCTTGCACCTGCATTGTCTCATATTCTTGGGGCAGTTGCCCGCCAACGGCAGGATCACCCCAGGTGACCACTGAGCCATCAGCCAGCAGGGCCACAAAAGCTCCATTTGTAGCATGTAACTGTTGCACATTTCTGAGGCGATCAGACACCTGGCTGCTGTCACCACCACACTTGGCATCGCCCCAAGTCACAACAGTCCCATTTTTCAGCAATGCAGCAAAGGCACGGCTGCTGGCGGTGACGCGTTGCACATCTCTCAGCTGGTCTTGGACCTTGCTGCTGTCACCTCCCCATGCCGGATCGCCCCAGGTCACAACAGACCCATCGGCCTTGATGGCACAAAACGCGCGCAAGGAGGAAGTAAGCTGCCTAACCTGCTTCAGCTGGTCTTGAACTGACCCACTGTCAGCACCAAAGTCTACGTCTTCCTTGCCCCATGTCACCACATCTCCATCCTTGACAATGGCAGCAAACGCCCGCTGAGAACCACACACTTGCTGCACTTGGACGAGCTTACCCTGCACTTGTCTGATGTCACGTCCTGCATCCAAATGGCCCCATGTAATCAAAGTGCCATCGGCCCGAATCGCGGCACAGGCCTGCGCAGTCGCGCGAATCTCTTTCACTTCTTTGAGTTGGTCCTGGACTGAACTGCTGTCACCACCAAAGGATGGCTGACCCCAGGTCACCACATGCCCATCTGCCAGAAGAGCAGCAAATGCACCATCATCCACTGCACAGATTTGTACCACTTCCTTCAACTGATCCTGAACCCGACTGCTGTCTCCACCAGAGGATTTATTGCCCCAGGTGGCAACAGAGCCATCAGTTCGAATAGCTGCAAAAGCGTGCCGATTGGCCTAAACCTGTTGCACACATCTCAGCTGGTCGCGGACACTGCCCGTGTCGCCACCCATCTTTGGGTCTCCCCAAGTCACAACCTGACCACCAAGAGGCCAAAAGGCACAAGCACGAGATGAAGCAGCAAGCCGAACAGTTGAGGTTTTCACTCCAACTGAGCTGCCAGGTCCGGCCAATGGTTGATGCCTCCGGGTGTCCACCTGAATCTCATCCTGCGAAGTGGCTTTGCCTTCGCACGTCCCCATGACATTCCTAGAGGAAGTGCCTCTGGAAATAAACAAACAGCTTGAGCCAAGAAGTTCCAGGGACTTCAAACTCAAACACAACACAAAAGGAGAACTGGCTGCTCATGCCACATGGTATCCTTATCTGAGTTCTGCAGAAAGGCTGTTGGTGTGAATCAGCAGACTACAGTACATGCACTTTCTGTGGCATCCCTCCATTGTAGCATCGGCTTTCCAGCAAGTCTTGCCCCCTGCGGCAAGTTCAACAAGTCCTTCCACAACAAGTCCTTCCACTATCTCTCTCTCTCTCTCTGTCTCTGTCTCTGTCTCTGTCTCGGTCTCTATCTATCCCTGCACAGCGAAGCACAATGATTTGGCTGCAATGAGTTGGCTTTGCGCTATACATGCTTCACTGCTTTTCTTGCCAAAGCGTGAAACTGCACGGACAAGCATCATGGACTGTGTGAAACTGCCACGCTGCATCAAACTGCCATTCTTGGGCAAAGGTTGTCCATGCTCATCGTCCCATCGTTCCTGTTGTCCCGACCAGCACGTCATAACACGTTGGTTGGATTTGGTTGGTCTTTTGAAAAGTGGCGAGGCTGTCTCTGGCTAGGGGATGTCATGGATGTCTACTTTCATAGCCTCCTTCCCCCAGGAAATGACTGCACCTGTGGCCAACACTGCTGCGAATGAGTCCATCGATGCTGTCAGCTCTTGCACCTGCATTGGCTCATATTCTTGGGGCAGTTGCCCGCCAACGGCAGGATCACCCCAGGTGACCACTGAGCCATCAGCCAGCAGGGCCACAAAAGCTCCATTTGTAGAATGTAACTGTTGCACATTTCTGAGGCGATCAGACACCTGGCTGCTGTCACCACCACACTTGGCATCGCCCCAAGTCACAACAGTCCCATTTTTCAGCAATGCAGCAAAGGCACGGCTGCTGGCGGTGACGCGTTGCACATCTCTCAGCTGGTCTTGGACCTTGCTGCTGTCACCTCCCCATGCCGGATCGCCCCAGGTCACAACAGACCCATCGGCCTTGATGGCACAAAACGCGCGCAAGGAGGAAGTAAGCTGCCTAACCTGCTTCAGCTGGTCTTGAACTGACCCACTGTCAGCACCAAAGTCTACGTCTTCCTTGCCCCATGTCACCACATCTCCATCCTTGACAATGGCAGCAAACGCCCGCTGAGAACCACACACTTGCTGCACTTGGACGAGCTTACCCTGCACTTGTCTGATGTCACGTCCTGCATCCAAATGGCCCCATGTAATCAAAGTGCCATCGGCCCGAATCGCGGCACAGGCCTGCGCAGTCGCGCGAATCTCTTTCACTTCTTTGAGTTGGTCCTGGACTGAACTGCTGTCACCACCAAAGGATGGCTGACCCCAGGTCACCACATGCCCATCTGCCAGAAGAGCAGCAAATGCACCATCATCCACTGCACAGATTTGTACCACTTCCTTCAACTGATCCTGAACCCGACTGCTGTCTCCACCAGAGGATTTATTGCCCCAGGTGGCAACAGAGCCATCAGTTCGAATAGCTGCAAAAGCGTGCCGATTGGCCTCAACCTGCTGCACACATCTCAGCTGGTCGCGGACACTGCCCGTGTCGCCACCCATCTTTGGGTCTCCCCAAGTCACAACCTGACCACCAAGAGGCCAAAAGGCAAAAGCACGAGATGAAGCAGCAAGCCGAACAGGCTGTGCAATCGCAGTGAGGCTGTCATCATCCTTGAGACCTGCAGTGTAAAGAGGAAGCTTGGGATCCAAAGAATCCAAAGGCAGCCCTCCATCTGTCACCAACTTCAGGAAAGCTTCTCCGAGGATTTTTTGTGCTTCCTGTCTTACTTGCTCAATGCTGCCCTCTTGGTTGGCCTTTAGCTTTGCAGAACGGCCGCTTGGCAACACCACTTCGAAGCTGACTGCTCCATGCAAAGCTGTCGAGGTTTTGGCTCCGCTCACAGTGTCCCCATCTCCAAGCCCAGCCGATTCCAACGAAGCTGCAGGATCCAAATTGGCCCCAGCACGTGCCAGCCGGAGGGCATGGCCTGTCACAGCGCCTGACGCCACCAGTTGAACAAGTAGCTCACCGACGCTGGCAGATCCAGGGAGTCTCACAGCTTCACAACGGCCAGTGGGCAACAAAACATTTATAGTCCAATGGTTTCTGTTGTCACTCGAGTCACTCGCCATGGGCGAGCTGAAGGCTTCAAATGCTTCAGAAATTGACAATGAGAAGGCAGTATGCCTTCTGCGATCAAGTCATATTGTGGATATGCATATCTCTTTGTAGCAAGTTACTGGCCCTGCAAATGTCAACACCATTAAACAAATGTCAAATATGTCGCTACATTTTAGGCTTCTTGAATTGCTTTCCAACAGGATCAACAGGCTTCTAACGGTTGAAAGGGCTGTAATTATACTAGTTTTGGTCATCTGCCATGTTTCTGCACCGACTGGGCATGCCTGGCTGCACGGGAAAAGTGCAAGCTGTGGATATATATATATATATTATATATAGACATGAGATGACATGAGTGATCACAAGTCATGAGTGCAATTTCAGTGCAGCGAAAGGGCACTGCAAGATGCCTGAGGTTACCTGGAGATGACCTGTGTCTGGGTGAAACAATGTGAAACATCGCTTAAAAATTGATGAAGCTAGCAAATCAAACCAAATCAAACAACTATTGAAAGACTTCTAAAGCATGTGAGCAAGCATGCAACTCAACGACAAACGGGTGACATACTGGTCACCTATTGAATCCTCCGTTCAACCCAAACTGCCGCGCCATTCTGAATCTTGGGCAACTCTGCCAGAGAACTAATCACGGCTCCACACAGAACGCTGGTGCCCGAAGCAGTCGATTCTTTTCAGGTTCACAAAAACATAGGCCAACGTATCTCCTCCTCAGCAACCAGAGTCACCTTCGGACTGGTTTGATGCAACATCTCAGCCTGCGGCAGGGTATTCGCTCTAGGCATGAGGCTGGATGCCCTGGACTATGAAACGTCTATCGGCCTTGTCGTTCAGCTACAATCTGTCGGGAGGACTTGACTCTTGCAATTACAATCTGTCTCATTTTGGGATTGAAAGTCGGTACGAAGTTTGACTTTGTTTGGCATACGGACGTTGGTTCTAGTGAAGACCTGGGCTGGACTGCTGAAGACAGCAACACAGGCAACACAAGCCCATGTCAAGCAACGTAATGCAAGCTGGCCTGTCACGTTTGCTTTGCAACACCCTTCTGCAGCTGCAAAGCATCAGAATTACTCAAAGGCATGGCGGCAAAGTTCTCCAAACTATCTCACACCTTCGCAAGTTATTGCATGTACAGCATTGCACAGCATGATGCACCGTGTTGCATCTGCAAACTTCAAGCGAACTAGCAGCTATTAGCAATGCCGCTGATTCTGGGTCAATGTATTCTGTGTCTTCGCGGCCTGGCTTTGATACTGGCTGAGCAGTTTAGGACTCACATCACTGAGGTCGTTGGCACGTGGACCCGTCTACTGCACCTGACATGCTTGCTCCAGGTGGATCACATGGTCAATGTAGCTATTGCCAGCCATGAGTTTACACTTTAATCGATACTTCTAGATAGGCTCGAAGGCTAAAGAATCACTGCCAGGTTTCTTTCCATTCAACCAAACACCCCCAAAAATCCCAAACTAATTGCAAAAGTTTTGCTTCCCAAATTGCTTAGCGAACCCCACTTTGATCCGGCGAACTGTGTTGAGGCCTACATCAATTGCACACAACTGCGCTGCTCGACTCTGCATAATGTACGTTCTGTCAAAATTAACCGATCATCATCGCACAAGATTGTACAAATATTCAACATCATTCAACATCTACCTAACGCATGGCCGTCACCATCGTCGCCCATAGCAGCACTTACCCAAGCTCTCTGCTTCAATCTGTGATGTTATGGGCAAGATATGTCTCAATCCTGACTGGCCGACTGGCGCAGATTTCCCGGTTCCTGTTGCGCACAGTGCGTCTGATGAAAACTGTACATTGCCAGTGCGCGCGCTGTTCAGCAAAGATGCCCAATTCTGGGTCGACATCTTTAGATTTTGGCATAACCTCTCAGCTCGATTGATCAAATAAAATAATTATGAGCTGTCAATGGTCATCAAGTGTTTCAACTGTACACTATACACATCAGAGACCCTCATCCCACTGTTATGGCTCCCACCGATGCTGACTCCACTGGTATGCCCAGCATTGTTCCCGGCGATGCTTTGAGGGTTGAAAGAGGGACTGCAGCGGGACCATTCAGAAGCCAGCCTGGAGAGAGATGTGCAAACCCGCCTGAAAACCACACCACCATCCACATCCCGCGGGACCTATATCTAGATTGTCGGATAGAAACATAGAAAACGGTTCTTTTAAGGATACTGTTAGCGCTGCTAGCGTGCTGTTTTTGATGTGCTCAAGTGAGCCAATTGGATTTGCAGAAAATTGCCATCAAATTATCGCAAATCTGACCAAACAGCCCTGCCCAGTGCCATTTGCAAAGAAGCAGCTGCCAATTGTCGCTGGCACTGCTCGTGGAAGTGTCAAGTGTGCTATCCGCTGTGGATCCACGTGGCGTCCCAAAGCCAAGTGCTGACCATCAGTCGTCTGGAGGCACCGGGCAGCATAGAAGACCTTGGTTTAGCGAAGGATTTACATCTTGATGGCTTCTGTAGATATCAAGGTTCTTCATGAATGACTGCACCCTAGCACAGCGCGGCACAGCATGGCTAAAATTACTTGACTTCGAGTGATCCCCACCCTGGCATTTCAAGTCACATATTCTGACATATATTTTGACATTTTACCTAACATTCTATCTGACATCTATTCTGATATTCTATCTGGCATATCTTCCAGCATTTTATCTGGTATATATTTTGGCGTTCTATCATATCTGGCATATATTCCGGCATGCTATGTGGCATTCTTTCTCGCATATAGGTCCCTGGTTGAGGTCCAGCGGTGCCCACTGCGCTCAGAACCTTGCGGTTGAGGTCCAGCCGTGCCCACTCAGTTCGGAAGCCGGCAGTTGAAGTCCAGCATTGCCCACCGCGCGGAAGTTGGAGAAGAGATTGGCGAAGAGTTGGCAAGGCGGAAGTGGACGTGGAAGTGGAGGCAGAGGTGGTGGAGGAGAAGGAGGAGGAGGAGCCGGAACAGCTGTGATAAAATCTAACAACCCTCACCTGGCAGGTGGGGAAAAACTCAACTTCGCACCTAGATTAACCAAGGCACACTATTGGACGGCGGTGCTGCAGGTGCAGGCACTTTGTTGGCCACGGCACTCACCAGAATGTCTACCAGTGGTAGCCAAGCTTCCATAGCACTTTGCTTCCATGCATTGCCGACTAAGTCATCTTTTGGAACTATACCTGGGCGCAGTAAGGCAATTATGCACTTGGTGTGGAGGAATTGGCGCCCTGTACTGGCCCGTTCTCAAGGAAGGCTGTAGAATGTACAAATTGCAAACACGGACAAGAAAACAAACGCTCAAACGCATAACATTATAAATATGTAAAATAATATAGCTTATGCATGTTTATGCATAACGTACCAGTAGTACCGCACAAGGCGGTGGCGGAAGTTTCAAAAATAGGAAACCTATAGGAGAGGTTGGTGGTTGTGAATCAGGGATGGCAGAGCGAAGCCACTGATGGACCGAAAGGTGCTTGAGGTCTCCTCTCTTTCTCTCTCTTTCTTTGACTATCTATCTATGTATCTATGTATCTATGTATCTGTGTATCTATGCATCTATGTATCTATGTATCTATGTATCCATGCATCTATGTATCTATCTATCTATCTATCTACCTATCTATCTGTCTATCTATCTATCTTTCTTTCTATCTATCTATCTATATCTCTCTCTCTCTCCCTTTCATCTGTCTATCTGTCTAGCTGTCTACCTGTCTATCTGTGTTGCAGTGTCATTCAGTGTAATGTAGTGTGGTGTAGTGTAATTTAGTGTAGTGGAGTGTGCTGGAGTGTAGTGTAGTGTAATGTAGTGTACACTGGAGTGTAGTGTAGTGTAATGTAGTGTACACTGGAGTGTAGTGTAGTGTAATGTCCTGTAGTGTAATGTAGTGAAGCGAAGCGACATCTGAACCTCCAAAAGTGGTCCGAACCCCTAGTGTTTTGCACGCTTTGACTTCGAAATGTGCTTCGCGACACAACGGCATGCACTTTTTCGACATCTGAACCTCCAAAAATGGTCCGTACATGGTGTGCTTTGTGCATTTTGACTTCGAAATGTGCTTCGCGCCACAACGGCGTGCACTTTTTCGACATCTCAACTTCCAAAAGTGGTCCGACATTGGTGTGTTTTGTACATTTTGACTTCCAAATGTGCTTCGCGCCACAACGGCGTGCACTTTTTCGACATCTCAACTTCCAAAAGTGGTCCGACATTGGTGTGCTTTGTACATTTTGACTTCGAAATGTGCTTCGCGCCACAACGGCGTGCACTTTTTCGACATCTCAACTTCCAAAAGTGGTCCGACATTGGTGTGTTTTGTACATTTTGACTTCCAAATGTGCTTCGCGCCACAACGGCGTGCACTTTTTCGACATCTCAACTTCCAAAAGTGGTCCGACGCCCTAGTGTTTTGTACATGTTGACTTCGAAATCTGCTTCGCGCCACAACGGCGTGCAACTTGTCATCTCTCATCTGGCCAGCTGGCTCCGCACCCGCCGCTTTAGCGAGCCTACTTTTCGACCCTCCAGAGCCTCAAATCATTGGAAAAACACAGTGTTTCGCGACTTTCCTACCTTTTCGCGCATCTGCATCTTCTTTCTTCTGACTCTTTCTCTTCTGATCTTCTCTCTTCTAATCTTTCTCTTCTCTCTGCCTCTGCCCTGCTCTGCTTCTCATCTGTCCATATTGTCGGAAGTTTGACTTCTAAACTTCCTTCGATCATAAAGTTGAATAATGTTTATATAATTATTCTTAGATGCTATGCCGCCAACATCCGCCAACAAGACACCCAAAGATCTCAACTGCTGCATCTCTTGCGGCGTGGCCGACTCCAGCATCGTGAAAATCTCTCGGAGTGGCTGGAGCACAAGCTTGCAAAAGCCTCGTTCTCCACTGGAGCCCCATGACCTGCTCCGACGACGATGAACAGTTTGTCTGGTCATTTCATCTTTTGCGCCATTTTGAGATAGCCAGCGGTATCAGCAAAGTGAAGGGTTTTCATTGGAGCTAAGGCTGCTGGATTATCTGGATTGGATTGAAGAGCTCCTATTCACCGGTGTTGTTTTCCGGACAGTATTTTTCTCAAATGTTCCCGAGACTTGCTTGCACTTGATACCTTCTTCCGGAATCCAGGTTCCTAGCTGGGGAACTGCACCTAAAGGCTCACACCACAGGCATCACCATTTCATCAAACTACGGCGCCTCAAACATGCCTGCCCACATCTCTCAAAAATGAATCAAATGAAAAGACTCTGGAATGCTCTGGGACTAGACCCAGAAAGCCCTGGAGCCACCCACCTTCCGTTGTAGAAATGTTCTCCCCAGAGTCGTGGCTTCAGTTTGGCCACCTGGTCTGCTGTCCAGTGTTTGCGCGTGGCCTGGGCGGCCACCAAATCATCTAGCCCAAAACCTCAACAAAAGAGGTGGCTGCAAAGGAGGCAAAAGAAAATAGCGAACCACCCAAACATGTAGGACGTTAACCGTTTAAGTGCAGTGCGAAGAAAGAAAACCTTGGTCAACCATGGTCAATCCGTTTAAAAGGATTCGACCAGGTTTGGGACAGAATCGAGTCAGTAGCAGGAATTAGCGTGACGGTCTCTGGGAAGGGAAAAAAAAGAAAAGGCAACAGTCTCAAGCAAATGGAGTAGAACCCCAGCCGCCAATGGATTCAGCCACGCTCAGCGACCCTCTGCCAAAAATGACGTTGCCACTTTCAACAGCCAGTCTTGAAAGTCTTGCAGGGGACTCTTCAATGATGTCATTCAACCGATCCTGAGAAATACTCATGGTAAATAACAACTTGCTCCCTTTCAGCCGTTGTTTTCCGAAAAAACGTTGCTTCACTTGTGCTGTATCATGCCAACAATGATGGAATCAAACGTAAAGAAAATATATAGTGACTTATGCTCAAATCAAGTTCGCCATATTTTGACGATGAAGGTCTGATCTGAATCTAATCTAAAAGCAAAGGATATATCTTCCACACATGCTTAAACCAATTTCCAAATCCCAAGATTGACTGGGTGCATCTGAACAGGAAGCAACGCCAGCTTCCAAGCCTTAGGCCCTTAGGCCCCACAATCAATTTTGATGAAACGAAGCGCAACAAAAATGTGGCTGGATGCCTGCTCCTGTGGCAAGCATCTACAATCTGAGCCAGTCGTTGATAACAAAGCTCATTGTCACCTTGCAGGGATAGCAACTTATCCAGCTTGTTCAGGAAGAGCACGGGTTGCAAACCTTGTGTCATGGCCTTTCCAAAAATCTGACAGAACTCCTCTGTGAGCCCCTCTGCACAATCCACGACCACCAGTGCCCCATCCACAAGGGGAAAGCAATCACTAATTTGCCTTAGTTGGATGATGTTGGACACCACAGCAGGTTTTGTATGTATGTTCCCGGGCCTCTGTCAAAACATATCAAGACCTAGATGCTGAAGGTTACTGAAATGTGGGGCTACCAGCTGCACCAAGCATGGAAAAGGATCTCCTGGAAGATCACAGCGCAAGGGCAACGATAACCACGCGCTCTGGTGTCTCTCCGTGTTATTTGAACACCTTGGAGCTGTTAGCGGCTTGGAACTTGCAACAGAGTATATATATATATACTCTGGGTCCATCTCATGCCCTTATGATTGCCAGCAAGACAGGGAGTCGTTGCTGTTCAGTGGGCACTCCAAACTAGCTCTCTCCCTTTCCATCGCCTTCAGACCAGGTCTCCAAACACTACTGAACAGTGTTCGCGGCCAAAGAAATTTGAATGTGAATCCATCATAATCTATCTGAAGACAAATTATGACAATGGGCCACGGATTAAAGCAAAAGCAAAGGGCGACATCGGTTGGACAATTAAACATGACCGAGCAACAGTTTCTTGGAAGTTGCTGGCTGGTTCCCTCTCCAAAGGCGATGCTTGGAGAGGTAACCCAGCAAACTGTCTTGGCCATGATCAGTGGGAGCTAGTACCTTGGAACCACAGTGTGACTGTACAAGCGGCTTGGCGAATGTCAGGGTTAGGTGGTTAAGATTTGCGTATCCCCCTTCTGTTCTTCTCTGATGCAATTTCTATTTCCGGGTTGAGGAGAGGGTCGGACTTGACTTTAGTTTGAGTATAGCGGAAACGCATACACTATGAATTTGGCTTGGCACTGCAAAACACTAACACCAATCCAACTAGCTCCTCCAACGAGGTCATGGTCAGCAAAGAGAACCAGGCAAACAAAATTAGTTTGACTCCTTCAGCCCCAAACTGACGCAGCTCCGATGATACAAGTTGCGAGCACATGTCGCATGCGCCCCCGGTGTTCCAAAATGGGTGCCAGCTCCCATAATAGATCTTCTGTGGCCGCCGCCCGGCGAGCAGGAGCTCTGACATACCTGGTGCCAAGTCGATCTTTGATTTGTGGGTTGCAGATTTTTATGTACGACATTAATTACTATAAAAAATAATAGAAATTTATCTGTCTTGGCCATTTGTGGAGGTCGCAACTGTGTCGTTATTTTGGCCGCCTGTCGGCTGCACATTCTGGCCATTTTGGCTGCGCAACCAGGATTAACTATAACATTCTATGACTTGAAACTGGATTCTGTCTGTGCAATATACAGTATATATATATATATACATATTAATATTAAAAACTAAAAATACATAAGTAATTAAATAATTAAATAAATGCAGTAAGTAAATAAATAAATAAATATATATGTATATATATACATACAAAAATGCACGCAGCTTGCGGGTATTCCATAATATTTCGCACCCTCCCAGCCTGGCAATACCATGGCGGTTTGTAGGGCAGAACGTGATGGATTCACTGGGTGGCTCCACCAGTTGGGCCTCCAACGCTTCGCTCCAAACTGCTCGGAGAGGCGAGAAGCAGGTGTCATCAAAGACCACCCAAGCACCATGTCTGGCCACTGCCTTTGCATTCTGCAGGTCTGCTTTCGCCGCCTCAAAATCATCTTGCATAAGCTTGCAAGGAGAGAAGCAGAAAAAGCACAACAACCACTACTCGTCAAGAAAATGCACGGCAAACATTGCACATCATTAAAAAACATACAGATTTGCATGGCTTATCGGCTTATCTGTGCTTATCCATGGTCCATGCTTGTCTAGTTTGGACTTTGGGCGCTCCTTTATGCTCCTTGCCTCAGGCTCATGAGCTCCATCAATGTGAATCAGGTCAGCCCGCAGCTGGTTTTCGCGAGCCCAGCGAGGCAAGGTCTGTTGAGACCTGCCAGGCACCAGCTGCAAACGACCAGGAAACGCGTCCGCCAGAATGTTGAAGCAAGGCCTCGAAACTGAAGGGAAAGTGCAACGGTACATGTCTCTGAGGATTCCATTGTGATAGCCCCCAGAAAAATATGTGGAACCGTGATCTTGGGCCACTGGGCATGTGAGGTGTTAATACATGATCACAAAGCAAAATTGCGTGGCTAATTTACCGAAGCTTTGACATGTTTGAAACCAGGTCACCTGGTGTAGGAATGCTCGCACAAATCAAAGGCAATGATGCGCAACTGGGGGTGAGCAGAAAGCATCAAAAGACTAGAGTGACCAGCATTGAAGCCAATCTCAATGACCAGACCTCACGCTATCGAAGCTGATGACTTAGGTGACTTGGGCTATCCACCCAAACATCTACCAAGCCTGGCTTCATCCTGAGATCAGAACAGCCTGCATGCACTTCCTGTCTTGCACATTTTAATCTTACAACTGCGGGTTAGTCCTCTCATGGCGGCGAGCAACCTGTCAACATGGAGGTCTGATGAATGTTTGATATGTTTGAAATCCCCCATGTATAGTCCGCTAGATGCTTTGCGGCCGACTTTATAGAGAATAGCCTGGTATAAACTGGAATGGCCACATGTCTGGAGTCTATAAAGTGGAAAGCCAACATGTTTTGTCTATAAAGTCAAAATCCAACGTTTGTATAAAGTCGCCTGGCCGCGTAAAAACATAAAACTCGATGCAGGTTTTTGAGGGTACTTGTGAACATGTCACATGACTATAAAGTGAGATGCCGAACATCCAGATAGTAATACTTGTGCAGAACAGTGGCACTATAATGTGGATTTCCGGCTAAACAACGATCGTTGTAGTAGCGATGATTTTCTTAATCGCGACGATGGCAGCATCGACATGATTGTCTATAAAGTTGAGGGGCCAAGTTCAAACCTTGGGGGGAATATCATCGATCTCATCGATGGGGAACCCAAAAGACTTCGAATGACTTCGGAACCGAACGAAACCGACAGCCAGACAAATATCTATATCGAAGTCGTTAACAGAATCTATGGTAAAACAAAATCTATGTTGGACTGGCCACTTTATACCCCCTCCCCCAACAGAGAATGCCTCTAACACACTTTCCTTTGAAAGGGGTCCTTGGGGTGAAAGGGGTCCTGGTCGCGCCGCGCGCGCGCGCGCGCCAAAATGGCTCCAATTTTGAGACCTTTTTGGCGCGCGCGCGGCGCGCCCAGGACCCCATTCACCCTGAGGACCCCTTTCAAGGGAAATCTTCTTCTCTATAAAGTGGCCAGTCCAGGTAAAACCCCTGAAAAAACAGAATCTATGTTGGACTGGCCACTTTATACCCCCTCCCCCAACAGAGAATGCCTCTATAAAGTGGCCAGTCCAGGTAAAACCCCTGAAAAAACAGAATCTATGTTGGACTGGCCACTTTATACCCCCTCCCCCAACAGAGAATGCCTCTATAAAGTGGCCAGTCCAGGTAAAACCCCTGAAAAAACAGAATGGACTGGCCACTTTATACCCCCTCCCCCAACAGAGAAATAAAGTTCCAGTGAAAAAACAGAATCTTGTTGGACTGGCCACTTTATACCCCCTCCCCCAACAGAGAATGCCTCTATAAAGTGGCCAGTCCAGGTAAAACCCCTGAAAAAACACATTTTTACCTGGAATGGCCACTTTATACCCCCTCCCCCAACAGAGAATGCCTCTATAAAGTGGCCAGTCCAAGTAAAACCCCTGAAAAAACAGAATCTATGTTGGACTGGCCACTTTATACCCCCTCCCCCAACAGAGAATGCCTCTATAAAGTGGCCAGTCCAAGTAAAACCCCTGAAAAAACAGAATCTATGTTGGACTGGCCACTTTATACCCCCTCCCCCAACAGAGAATGCCTCTATAAAGTGGCCAGTCCAGGTAAAACCCCTGAAAAAACACATTTTTACCTGGAATGGCCACTTTATACCCCAGCCAGTGGGCTCCAGGACTTTGACCCGGAAACGGAAGGACTGACAACAAGGTAAAGGGGGAAAACTACAACGGAGAGGTACAACGGGAAGGCTACCACAAGAAAATGAGACATGTCACGTTTATATACGTTTATTGTTTTCAATGTGTCATATAGATTGGTGATGATTGGTATATTGAATATGTTGTAGATGTATTTTGGAACATATGTATACCTATGATTCACACATCAATATAAATATATATAAATCATAAACACATGCCAAACCAAAAACTTTTAGCTGAGTATTGTATTCCCAATCTGTTGGCAAATGTCCAGCCGATTCACCATGCGTGACCCAACAAGATTCAAACTATGGATTGTTTACTTTCGAAAATATTTTTTTACTGGTTCTTGCAAACAATTTTATAGAGGATGGGCATGGACCGGCCAGTTTATACAGAGGGTGGGGCTGCCAGAAATGACGTGATCAAGCCACTTTATAGAGCTGAACTTTCTTGCAAACCATTTTAATTATAGAGGATGGGCATGTGGCCGTGGTTTTGGTCCATAGATGTCCATAGATTTTTAGGATGATTTTGGGAGATTGTCGTCATAGGTATACGTAGATTCACCCAGTATTTTTTTTCAAAAGTAAACAATCCATAGTTTGAATCTTGTTGGGTCACGCATGGTGAATCGGCTGGACATTTGCCAACAGATTGGGAATACAATACTCAGCTAAAAGTTTTTGGTTTGGCATGTGTTTATGATTTATATATATTTATATTGATGTGTGAATCATAGGTATACATATGTTCCAAAATACATCTACAACATATTCAATATACCAATCATCGCCAATCTATATGACACATTGAAAACAATAAACGTATATAAACGTGACATGTCTCATTTTCTTGTGGTAGCCTTCCCGTTGTACCTCTCCGTTGTAGTTTTCCCCCTTTACCTTGTTGTCAGTCCTTCCGTTTCCGGGTCAAAGTCCTGGAGCCCACTGGCTGGGGTATAAAGTGGCCATTCCAGGTAAAAATGTGTTTTTTCAGGGGTTTTACCTGGACTGGCCACTTTATAGAGGCATTCTCTGTTGGGGGAGGGGGTATAAAGTGGCCAGTCCAACATAGATTCTGTTTTTTCAGGGGTTTTACTTGGACTGGCCACTTTATAGAGGCATTCTCTGTTGGGGGAGGGGGTATAAAGTGGCCAGTCCAACATAGATTCTGTTTTTTCAGGGGTTTTACCTGGACTGGCCACTTTATAGAGGCATTCTCTGTTGGGGGAGGGGGTATAAAGTGGCCAGTCCAACATAGATTCTGTTTTTTCAGGGGTTTTACCTGGACTGGCCACTTTATAGAGGCATTCTCTGTTGGGGGAGGGGGTATAAAGTGGCCAGTCCAACATAGATTCTGTTTTTTCAGGGGTTTTACCTGGACTGGCCACTTTATAGAGGCATTCTCTGTTGGGGGAGGGGGTATAAAGTGGCCATTCCAGGTAAAAATGTGTTTTTTCAGGGGTTTTACCTGGACTGGCCACTTTATAGAGGCATTCTCTGTTTGGGGAGGGGGTATAAAGTGGCCAGTCCAACATAGATTCTGTTTTTTCAGGGGTTTTACCTGGACTGGCCACTTTATAGAGAAGAAGATTTCCCTTGAAAGGGGTCCTCAGGGTGAATGGGGTCCTGGGCAGCTCTATAAAGTGATTTGGGTGATGTATCTCATGACTCTATAAAATGCTCTGCCGCAATTTTCTTTCTATAAAGTGCCCTGGATGCAGCACAAATTCTTCTTCTTAAAGGGCAAGTTTCACTCTATAAAGTGCTTTGCCATGTATACAGCCCCAACAGAAAGATATTGGCCCGAAATCATTGGGGAGACATGTTTCTATAAAGTGGATGGTGTGACATATTATGGCCATTCTTTGAAGGGAACCAACGGTCTATAAAATGCATTGCCGCATATATTGAGTCGTTTCCTTGTGGGGAACCAGCCGGGTATAAACTGGAAAGCCAACGTTGCTATAAAGTCATCTTCCAGGTCCAAGAGCATGTTACTCGCGCAAAACACGGCTTTATCCCCCATTGTCGGTATATAAAGTGGCGACCGGAAACCCACTTTATAAGCGCAAAGGATGTCCACTTTATAGTGAGCTATACATGGGGGATTGTTTGAATATGTTTGTTACATATGATGTTTAAAATGTTTCAAGTGTCAAACATAACCGGCAGCAACAGCTGCAAGGAGTAATCTGACTAGACTGACAACGAGAAGCCCATATCGATGGCTGCTACAAAAGACAAAAACTTAAACGGGTGAGATACAAATAAACTCGATATTGAATATTTCTTGAGCCATGTTGCTCTTTTCGAAATGGCGATGAACATGTTACAAACAATGGCAGTGATGATGACAATGATGAACGTGATAATGAAGTCATATCGGCAACGACATACATGCCCACAAACATATCACATCTTTCCAATCAAAAATATCCTGAAGCATGGACAAGACTCTATCCTCCACGGGCAACGAGGCAGCCAGGCTCAACAAGTTACGCTGCTTGGCCTCATTCTTCGGATTCAGCTCAGTACTCCTTGGTCGAGGCAAGTTCGGGGTGAAATTGCATCACTCATCAATTACAGTACTCTTGATATCTCTTGGCATACCACAACAAAACAAATCTCTGGCGGGCAATATTAGATTGAAAGCTGCAAATGAAATGTGAGGATAATGGTACTGGATGCTAGCTCTATGGGCATTGCATGACAAATGTCAAGTGGATTCAAGTGATATCACTCTATTATAATTCGCCTAGTTCAAGCTTAAGGCTCTGGTGCATGTACAAAATGTTGCCCTCAAGAAGCTCCTTTGACTGCGCAACAGCGGCATCAAGTGCTGCCACATGAGGTTTTATGGCCTTACTTGGCTGATGGTGGCAGCACGGCTGCACGGCAAGGAATCCATATACGAGTTACAATACATATCTCAACTTCCCAAATTCTGCGAGTCGGTACCTCTCAGTTTCTTGACCTTAAGGCTTAGATAAAAAAAGAGACGGTCACAGTTACAACTAGCCTCAAGCCGCAAGCCTTTCAGCCTTTCAGCCTTTCAGCCATTGTCTTTTTCCGTATCTTTTTCCATTTGCCTTATTGACAGGCTAAGCATAATTACTGTATTATAAAATCCCGCCATTTGAGGGGGGTGGGGGGTAAAAACTAAGATAATCATTTCAAAAATGGGAGGGTCACCCCCCACCACACAGATACCTAGAAATATGTCAGCAAAAAAATCTGGCTTATATACGATAGAATAAGGCAATGGAAAATTTTATCGCTGTCAGTTATGCATCAGCGGGCACCAGTGGATGTGGTCAGGTACGTGCAAACGGGCTGAAGCGCGCATTTCCATGTTTTCTTCTCTCCCCAAGCTTTGCTTGTGAATTCTTGAGGGGGGGAGGTGCAAAACCACGGTATTTTACAGCTTTATAATTTTAAAAGCCCCACCCATAGAAATTCCATTGCAGCAGTAGGATTCCGTTTCTGAGTATCTTCAAAGACCAGGGAGGAGTTGGCAGAGGTCATATGCGGTTTGCTTTTTGGATTTATGAGTGTATCCAATTGACATATCTAGGCAAAAGTCTGGCATCCGGAGGACCCCCCCCTCTTTTGGAGGCCCAAAAAACAAATGTGGGGAGGTGTTATATTTCACGTGGTCAGGTGAACTATTTCTCGGAATTTTCTTACTTAGCCCCCCAAATATTCCAGGGTTAAAGGGAGGGGGGTATTATAAATTGTAACAACAGGGTCAAAGGCTAAAAGAGGCGGTCACCGCCACTTGAAGAATGGTATGTTCTTCCAAAAAATCCAAAAACACCGGGAATATCCTCAAGCATTGGCAAGTTACATCAAGAGCAGCAGCGAGCTCAGATTCATCCACAAGTTTCATGGCGTACACCGTCGGCACACAGCACTGTCTAAGGCTGAAATGGCTGAGCTGCAGCATGCAAATAGCATCAAATCGATCTTGAGACACTTGAGGGCATCCATTCGCAGGTGCACGTTAGGGGACGTTGCTCTGTTGCTCTTTGCTGCCAGTTTGGTGCTCCACTTACTGCAGTTCTGTTCAACTGAAATTGAATTCATGAAATGAAGATTAATTAATACAATATTAAGACATTATTAAGGTTGAGACGGATGAAATGGATGAGCTCGGTTGAGAGCCAGGGAAGATCTGTACTAAACATCCCCATCTCCGCCACAGGCCTGCCGTCGGCCAGGTGAGAATTCACCTGACGCCACGGAGATGCCGTTGGCTCAGCACGCGACTTTTGGGTTTCGTTCCTAAGCCAGCTCAAATTGACTCTATAGTCACTATATAATAGTCACTAATAGTCACTAATGGTCACTATAATAGTCACTATTTCATAATTAGTGTTTTTTCAGATTTTTCTGTTTTCTGTCATATTCTGTCATTGTTGGGCTGTGAAGTTATGTCAAATTCAGGCAAAATGTTGGATATTGTTGGATGGCAAGAGACAAGATTGCAAACAGAACAAACATGAACAAACGAATACTGCCAAATTGTAACATCATGCCGATTGCGACTTTTGCAAAAAGGAAGGCTCCATACGCAATCCCATCATGTTGAACAATTCGACTTCTGCGAGCCATGTCAATACCAGCACCAAAATTTTATGTCACATCACATCGAAGCATGCGAGCCCGTGTGGACAGGAGATCACATTAAGGACTGGAACAAAAATCCATGAGAATATTGCATTCTAGACACCTGCTAAATTCATCCAAACTCTGCCTGCAAAGTGCCAGAAAATTGTAAAAGCCGCTCATCTCATATTTTTTTACTCGAAGAAGGGAAGAATTCAACGGCCATAACGGAGCTGTTGCCCCGCTGAGATTGCGGCGGCAAGTGTGGGCAGGTGCACGTTTGGTCAAACAACACACATTATGTCAACTACCATTTGATCACATTTGATCAATACGAGGAAGGGAGACTATGAACTTGCTGTTTCAGAGTCGAAAGGCTACTGAATCCTGAATTCAAAATTGATGAAACATGTGTACCTGGAGCATCATCATCGTACACTATGCTCTGCCTCGCAGTGCCCCTCGGCCAAGCCTCTCTGATCAGATCCAGCTGTCCACTTACGGGACGAAAAATATTGCAAGGGCTGATGGCTTTTTAAACATTTCCGCCCTGTCGCCCTACTGCTGTGCTGTGGTGCCTGGGGTCCAAGCCCAAGCCTTTACAGAGACCGCCGGTCTTGCCACGAAATGTCACAAAAACTTTCTCATCCCTTTAAATAGCAAACCGTAGGAAACCATAGCAAACCTATGCAAAACTATGCAAAACTTACGTGATGGAGGTGATTGTGGCAAGGTCGCGGTTTGCACATGCACTGCATGCCCTGGTACCTGAAGCGTTTGCTTCCCCTTTGCCCAACAACAAGTCACCTTCTCCGTCAATCGCTCTCTGGAGCAGGGAAGTTGCACGACAAGCGCCACCGTCAGACACGCAAAAACTGTCATTCAAAAGCAACATCATTGCAGTAGTGCATATTTAATTATATATAATTGTATATATATATATATATAATTGTATATATATATATATTATATATTTGACACAAGTTCCCAAACTCAAAATGTATGAACGGTGAGTCTCGGTGAGTTTTGAAGGTGCAAGCCTTCATCAAAAGAGGACCCTGGATTATGATGCCCCAAGCCACGTCACTTGGGCGTTGCATCACCTCAGCAGCACTAGTGAATAATGTCGAGCCAGCCGCGCAGTGCCATTGCATGCCATTGCCACTAGATCAACTATGTAGACAAGGCTGCAATTTTACTTTTCATGCGCCCTACCCGCATTGCACCTCTCAGGAATCATGCCAACCCTCATGTCCATTCAGTTCCAACTGCTACTGCTACTGCTACTGCTACTACTACTACTACTACTGCTACTGCTACTGCTACTGCTACTGCTGCTGCTGCTGCTACTGCTACTGCTACTGCTACTACTACTACTACTGCTGCTGCTGCTACTACTACTACTACTACTACTCGCAAGGCTGTGGTGGCTACCCAACTTGTTGAATGAAACATCCTCCTCACTCAACATGAGTCACATGAGTCAAGTGTTGCTGAACCTTCCCAAAGTCAACATGCCCTGGCCCCTCAGGATCCCTCAGGCAGAGGCACCTGCACATCGCAGGGCACCTTGTAAGCTCCCCAAAGCTCCCAGGAAATCAGAGTGGCGCAAGAAATAGGCGCAGCCTGACGAATGGAAACGGCTCAGAACCGCCAAAGATGTGATGTGATGTCGCATATATTAGCCTCCCACCCAAATGACTTGACAAACAAACATCTCACCCTTCAAGTAGCCTGTTGGTAAGCAATGTTGAAAGCATGGTCTTGTTGTTTGATCGTCGTGCAACAGCTTGGCCTGATGTAATGATTAATTCTGCGGCCGTCTTTTCACTGCAAGCAATTAAATTAAGCTAGAGTTAGAGTACACTAGCACGCGATAGCACCGGCATATGTGGTATAGGTGTATTACAGATGATTACAGTGGGTCGTTTGGAAAGCAGCTTTGACGAAAGCAGATGGACGAAAGCAGATGCACAGTTTGCACTAATGTTGGCATTAACAGTTTATATTTCAATATATACTCTTCAATAGTGTTGAAGAGTCGCTCGTCCTTCACTGCCGGGTTAGCCTTTAACAGCTGCATACCTCCTATATAGCAATCAGCTTTCTTTAATTCACCAAAAATAGCGCGTAAGAGATGGATCGAGATGTTTTGCGGTGCGAAGTTGAAGTGGTGCACCGCAAGGATGCTTTGCCAGTGGGGGATGCCTTTGGACTTGGAGATGCTTTGGCGCTGCCATGCACTGCCGATTGGTGACTCGTTTGTGATGGCCCACATGAAACTAGCTAGCGCGGCCACATGAAGGTGACTCGTTTCAGGCGCTAGTAGAGGCCGCTATTGTGGGGTGATCTATAAGTATGCATGGTTGCTATTGGTTGCTATGGTTCACATTGCCCTAGCCCAATCCAGGCTGTCAGAAGCGTCGCACGCCTCCAAGGTTCCGAAAGTTGGCTGCAATGGACTGGCGTCGCAGTGAAGTGCCGGCTCAATTACCAATATCATAATGAGCAATGAATACAAAATGATCGCTCTTCTGGTTAAGGTGTCCCCTTCTTGGCAAATATTGATACAACAAAATTGTGATTCTGGCGGGACTGCCAAATCCCTGATTGCTTACATACACCCCAATTGTTCGTGTGAGCCAAAACCAAACATCATGGCCCCCTATAAAGCTTTATAGTCTATTTATAGTTGAAGATATTTCTCTAACAGTTTGCATGGTGGGCAATTCATGGCAAGTCTATCAATGTTTGCCCACGATTTTCTCGGATGGCTGGCCCACTCCCAAAGCTCAACCAAGTATTCCCACCCTTCGAGCAATGACGTTCTTCTCGTCAACAAAGCCACCAGCAAAGAAAACCCTGACGAACGCGTCCACTTCAACAGCAACAGGGGGATTCTCACTTGGGCCTGGTTAGCAGTAAAGAAGTCATATATGGATGTAGTGAAAGCAGGGAGCAATGGGAAACAAAGATCCGACATGATCCGACCCAACGACACAGAGAGTCTTTCTGGAAAGAGCTATCGAACCTCATGACATCTCATTACCCATGGTCTATCATGGTCTCCAGGACTCCGATGAAAGGACAATTTTCTCCTTCGTCTTTCGTAAACAGTATGCCAGCACATAGCCAAAGAAAATATGACATTTGAATCAATTTGAACAATGAAAAAACCTATAGTAAGTCCTTTTCTTTGGGAGAACGACCATTGGAAATGCAATCGGCAGATCTCGAGAAAAGTTAGCATTTTGGACTCACTTGATAAGCGGCAAGCAAGTGTACACAATGTTATGTTGCAGGGCTAAATATGTTTCGGGGGGTCACCCTTCTCAGATCGTCCGTACAAGCTTGTAGGCTTGGTGCTGGTGAAGTGAAAATAAATGAACAGTCTAAAACTGGCCATAACTGGCCTGTTGATGCATCCTGCCATGCGAGCATAGGCAGAAGCCAAAAGCACCGATTGCTGAGTTACCATTTGCAACAAAGAACGTGCCAGATCCTTCTCCTCAGTGGGGCTGGTGATGTTGGATCGTGCTTTAATAAATATGCTCCACGCCCACGCTACAATATCTCTAGTCGTTCACAAAATCAGTAATTATGATTATCATATTGGTCATATATAGGTCATAGATGTTCATAGTCTTATAATTAGTTATAAGTTATAACTCCACACTGTGTAAAGCTCTCAGGAGAGTCTGAGGATGGTCTGGCTGAGGGTCGCAGCACCTGTCTGTGCTCTCGCCCAACTTGCCGAAATTGGAGGCTGTGAGATTTCCGGGCAGTCCCAGGGTTGAACAGCCTGGCGACAACTAGCAACATATTTAAGCCCATGCACTGCAAAATCATAATGTAGAACTGTAGCAAGGGCAACGCTGCGCTGTCATGTTGCAAAAGAGATGCAACACGCATAATCATACACTGGGCTCAGGGATGTTCATGGTCCATGTTGCCGCCAATGACACATGTTTCTAGAGGACATCAAACAACATGAAGTATAGAATAATTAAGTAGATTAATTAGAATTAGATTCGGCAGCATTGGGGCAATCAGTGATCACAATTAGTGTTGCAGGATTCACGGCGGCTGCACATGGCTGTACATTGGCTGTAGCTAATCAAGAATCCCCATGCTGGGCTGCCTTCGTCGCCGTAAATGTCACTCACCAGCTTGTCCTAGGAGCCAATATGAGCCAATGTCCAGATTGAAACAAATCGTAACAACTTCATTGCCAATCCTAAAGTACATTGCAGATTAGGACAAAAGCCTCTGCTGGTTCATAGACGTTGGACAATGTTAGAAGCTAGGAGCTTATTTCCACAGCGCACAACGTGACTGCGTAACTCATCTCACCCAAATAAAATCCCTTTGACCTTCACAGCAGCTGCTCAGAATGACACCAAGAGTGATCCAAGAGTGCTTAGTCTGTGGAGTAGACAAGAAGCCGCATTGCAAGCGTCACCCAAGCTCGCCTATGCCACTGGTGCCACGAGTTCAAAAAATGTTCCACAAAGGTTGGAACTTGAAAGCTTCAAAGCTTCTACCAATTGGATCCAATTGGTAGGCACATAAAGCAAACATGATTGCCGTTGGAGCCCCTTGAAAAAAAAGCGTTGGCCCATGTGACACATGAGATCGATAGGTGGAAAAGGACATTGCCACTTGTCCTGTCCCGATTTAAGCACGTAACCACTGTAGGGCCTCTGAAGTGAAACGCGAAACAGGAAGACACAACGGCGTTTTGATTGGAGATTGTTGTGGTAGCCATCTATAGGAATATAGTTGTTATACATACACATAGATAGATAGATAGATAGATAGATAAATATATACAAAATATACATGTTAAATATCCACAAACTCGATAATCAGTTGGAATAGATGATAACAGTTAGGCAATACCTAGACACTAATTCCATCTAATTACAATAGTTTGAAAACACCATCCACTGGTATCAACTGCAAATTACTGCAATCCAGGATGCCATCTCCAAGGCTTCTTCAAAGCTGGTGGCTGAGGTCAGCAGCCGGGCCAAGCCCAGGAAGGTTCCTGCCACTCCCAGCCCTACGACACTACACAGCACCAGCACCAAAGGTTAGTGGATGGGATGGGGAAGTACAAACAGTACCGTAGTACCCTACATCATTTTGAAATGTTGGGGTGAAATGAGTATGTATGAGTATGCCTATCGCCTGTTCCAAGCACAGGAATGCAGAAACAAAACGGCACAACAACAAACACCAAACACAGGCAACACGTTTCTGCTTCTGTCAGTGAATTTCACCGTTGCGTCACCCTGAAGCCTCCGCCACAAGCAGTTCCACCGACTCGCACGAAGTCGCCCGGCTGTGCAGAATCCACGCGCAAGACGGAGACGCCTGTGCCTTAGCTAGCTGCAGAAGAGAAGCAGGGGCTTGATCAAAACCAAGGATATTTGACCTGCAAGAAGCCACAACAAGTAGAGCTTTTTTGATGGCGCTTTGGAATCTATTGCACGTCAAAAGCATGGTCTCCTTGACGCCAAACAAATAATAATTTAGAAAGTTCTTTGTAGTAATTGCATTGAACTTCCCCTACCCCGATCACCCGAATCCAATGGATCTGTTCAAGAAGGCCCCTGAGGATGACGTTCTTTGCTTTGCAGGCAAACATGGCCACAGGTATGTACAACGCATTGCAACGCGCCAAGATGCCCATGATGACCAGAATAAGTGGAAAAAGTGGGTCTGGCCATGGTTTTGACACTGTCATGTCATCCTCCCAAACACGCAGCAAAAGTCAACAAATAACAAATACAAATTGCTATTTGAGACAGCGCATCTTTCAGACTCAAGCTAGCTTTCAAGTTTGCGAGTGACGACTGCAGTTTCTTCCCAATTGGTAAGGGCATTGGCTGTCCCATGCAGCATCATTATCATGAAACTTACAGCATCAAGTAATTGGAAAACCATAAGCAAGGGCCGCAGGGGGGGGTATTCTAGGCTTGTGAAAGTACATACCTCGGGTGTCAAAACATGTCAACTTGCCCAAACCCAAAGTTGGATGGCTAACATCTGTCAGATTATTGAACTGTTATTCTGTTTAAGTGAGAAATTCCAAAATTCATCATCCAGTTCAGTTGGCCCGCGCAGGTTCGGGTATGTCCTCGTTGATGGTGAAAACGTCTTGGTTCAGAAGCTCGCTGCTACCGCCGGTGCTGTCAGTGCCTCGGCGCCAAAACGTAATGCAGTTCCGGTCACTACACTCCCTTCCATTGATATGGACGTGGAGGCCAAAAAAACGTCCCACTAACATGGACGTGCATCTGGTCAAAACCAGTAAATTCTCACTAACAAGGACGTGGTCCGCCCAAAATTTCGCTAACAAGGACGTGGTGCATCTGGTAAAAACCATCACAATTTAGCTAACAAGGACGTGGTCCTCCCAAAATTTAGCTAAAAAGTGTACACTAAGATGGACGACATTTTTTTCATATTTTGGCAAGTTCCCCGGGAATGACGCCATGGCAGTACACCCAAACCTAAAAACGTCTATGTTAACAAAACATTGAGAAGTGAACCCTGGATCCCCTCGGCCCACAGCTCCCTTTTTTTGTCGCAGTACATTGACGAAATATGGGTTTGAATGTTCGAGTAGGACTGGGCATGTCAATGCAACACCCAAAAAGGGTAATGCCGATTTGTTTGTTTGCGTGTTTGCTTGCAAGCCCGTGTCTTATCACAGTTTCACTATGTGTGCACAGGGGTGCCAAATCAGCGGTGACATCATATTCTGCCATAATTGTAAAAGCACCTGAAACATGCAGTACTGATAACAAAAAGTGCATCAAATAACACGCAAATATCACATGATTGGAATATAAAATAAAAAAAATGAACCCCTTTGTTGATCTTTCGTGACTCCAAGAACTTTAGTGAGGCAAGCCTTTCCTGGACCAAGCGGCCCATGGAGTTGCAAGGTGCCAGCAAGAGGAAGCCATCCACCAATGCTCTCATCTCACGCACCGGTTCCAGCTCGACCTTGGAGAGAAAACAAGGCCGAAAAGAGCGGGGGCCCAATGACCGCCATCGCGAAGTTGCTTGAACGCTGGCACTATGCATGGCACTGGACATTTGCAATACATTTGGTGCATCTCAACCCCAGGTGGCTCGGTATGGATCCATCACGGTCCATCACCGACCAAGATAGACCAAGGTACTCTCAAGGCGTCACGGAAAAGGGATGCAAACTTGCAAGCGCCACCCCCGGCGGTGGCCATACGACCTGGAAAGTGCTGATGGCGTTCACGGGCTCTTCTCTGCCGGATCATTGGATCATGATGGATGTGTTTTTTTTTCTGTGGGATGTTGGCGAGCATCATTGAGCCGCACAAAACCGCCACAAATTCAGCAAGAAACAAAGAGACACATTCTTGAGCTGGAATTTGCCGTGATTTTATGAAAATATAAGTACGTTCCATCCTTTGTTATCCCACAAGTTCCGTCCAGGCAGACTCTTTGCCAAAGGTACGGTGTGCTTTCCTTGAGCAAGAGAAAACTTCATCCGACCAGCTGGAAAAGGTTCGAGCGAAGGGCCTCATCAAGCTTGGCAGAAAAAGCTGCAAGATTGGATGAACGTGTCAAAAGGTCAATAAATAGTATATAATATAAATTGAACGATTCAAACAGTTTTGGCTGTTCACTTTCAAAACATCTCAAAACTAATGTCTGTTGGAAGTGGAACCCCCGAACACCTATAAACAAAATATAATGGTTTACCTATTTTACATTGCTGCACTCTTTTGATATTTTCTCACTTGATCTCACTTGGCTTGTCACAATGTCAGTGATGGGCCTGGCATCTTCGCTGCTGTTGGATGCTGCGCCCGGTGAGGTCGGCTCTCTTCGGATATGTGAGGCATAGCCGGCTGTGCTCTCAGAAGCTTGGCGTCGGCAGTCACCCAAATGCTCCACTGCTTCCTGCCGGATGCCGCATATGCCATGAAGATCCATGAACACATGCCATGAACTGCTCTTAATGCTCTTGCATGTGCACATATTTGCAAAGATGAGCAGTGACTCGTGTAGTCCAGAACCAGCCAAGAAGATGCAAGAAGCACAGTACATGAGTCTGGAACATAGCAACAAAATCAATCAATCAATACTGATCAATGCATCGATATCAATGTACAAATTAGCTTGGCACATCTTGGCACGATTGAAATAATTCATTGTGTGAACGGCCTCTGCATGCTTCCACACGTGCCCCATCAGATCATGTCTTAAAGGCTCCTCGAGTTGCGCGGTGGCACCGGATAGGAAAGTCAACAAGTAGCTCTGATCCGCCATAGTCAGCTTCCTCAGAATTGCAGAACAGCTTCGACTCCCTGAACAAGCATCTCAAACATGTCGACTTTGAGCTGTCACTCTAACGCTGCCCGCGAACTTCAGCAATTGATATCAATTGATTGCATTCAATGTTGGCAAATCTGAGCAAATCTCAGGCGATTGAGCTACTCAGTCGAGCCTGCGCACCCGTCCTAACATGTCCTGACACAAAAGCACGGAGCCGAGGGTCATTTGCAGGTGTCGATGGCAACGTCCTGAAGTTCCAAACTTCTCGGGGAAAGCCACCACATCCTCTCCCTCTGGAAAAGCCATGACCTCAAAAGCTGCCATGCTTGGTGCCTTGGGACATCTTGAGGCATCTTGAGGCATCTTGGATAGGATCTCATCATCACCTGAGCCCCCCAGCCATCTTGGCCAATGATCCACCGATGTCACAGCCCATGTGTCCGGGAGCATCACCTTGGTGGAATCTGCATACAGCACCTGATGAATATGTTTGAATGTATCGAGATGACGAAGAATTGATGTCATGCATTGTGATCTGGACGCCAGAGATAGCTGTTGTCTTCAAGTGCATGGGAAAGTGGCGAATCTTCTGCAGCACCGAAAGCACAGATGAACAAACTTGCTTGCTCGAAGTCCGGCCAGAGGGATCGCCTGCAGTTCTGGAGGTTGCCCACGGTTCCATGTTGTTTCCAGAACACTTGCTATTTGATTGGATGCAAATTCAAGAATGTAACACTTCACTGTACTGTCCTGACAACTGCGTGCAGGGATGCGCCTGAACTGCCATCAAACACCTCTACCAAATTCTATACAATGGCATCAACCGGACTGGCCACTGTTGCACTTTCATCCACTTTCTGCACATCTACTGGTTCTTGAATGCTAGGAGTTTGTGATGTGCCAGGCCACTTTCATGACTCCCAACACTGCGCGAACCTCGGAATCTTTCAGCAAAGACCCGTCGCAGGAGGAACCCAAGAAAAGCAAAACGTGAAGGCTGGGAGGCTGGGACGCAGTGTGGATGGATAACCCCTGGAAATTTAAGTGGCCAATTGCTGCTTACCACTGCCAGCAGAGGCAGCAGCAACAGCGGCAACACCAAGCATCAGTCACACCACCCCACCATCGACAACTTATGGCAAATTGGAAAATTATGTACTTAGCAAGCAGCAATCTCCGCCACCGGCTCTTCGACCGATGTCGTAGCCTTAGTTGATGATGCCCGCACTGGGCAGGAGTTTGTCCCACGCTTGTCCCACTGTTGCTGCTGTCGACCGCACTTGGTTTCCACAAAACAAATTCAGTTGACCAGTCCTAGGATTAAGTATATACGGTCATCAATCTTGGCTTTGACCAATTGTCTCATAGGGGCCTGCAATAATTGATTAATAATATATTATATAATGGAATATCTATTTATACCTATATTCTCATATATCCATATATCTACCAATTTATGTCTAGTACTGATCTGAGCAGAAAATGCCCTTCGATGACAACGGTCTTTGCAAGCAACTCCGTAGTAGGGACTGCAGCAAGGATCTGTCAGGGGATGCACCCAGAACTGGCAAACCACGCTGTTCGGCCAATGCCTGGAAAGGGCATGGATCCCTCGATTCTTGGTATGGATCACAGCTACGTCGTATCATAAAGGAAAAACATAGGAAAAACAATAAACATCAATGAACATCAATGAACAACATCTCGAACTGACTTCTCAGGACCAGTCTCCCCAAGCCTGGCCTCTGATGATACGGGCAACCCTTGAGACGCCAAAAGTTGGCAAAATCAGAACCGGCCGAACCGGCGTTCGCAAATTTTCCATAGGATCCAAGTGTTGAGTGGCACAGTGACACCCTTGCGGACACCCTTGCATTCTGGCGATGTCTACTGTAAATAGTTATTTGCTAGTTCTTAATATCAATCCAGAGACCTACTGGTACTAGCACCCAGAGTAATGAAACCCCAAAAGCATCCAAAAGCGGCAACTAGGGGGTTTTCTGATCCCATTGACGGGGGGATAGTGTGCTTTAAAATGCAACATGATTTCAACATAACATGTCTAAATGATTCAGAAAGTCTGAAAGCGGGTCATGAATAATTGCATGATATCTTTCACGTTGAGCCTGAAACAAATTGGATAAAATTGGAACCACCACGGGTTCCACTTCCCCCTGGCCTGCAACTCCTCTGTGCTCAATGAGGCATACTCATCCTCAGGGATTCCACTCACCTGGAAGGCTGTGCTGGCAGGTTCGCTCGAACGGATCGGAACCAAGCCTGGCAGCCTTTTGAATCTTGTGAAGCTTGGCTCACGAATTCTTCTTAACTTCTTAGCACACTGCAGCATACTTAGACGATAATTACGATATATGATATATATTACGATAATGAATGACTGATGATACCATCTCCCATCCTTCGTGGCATTCTCCGAGTTGCAGGAGACTCATCCTCATAGCTTTGCGTCTGACCCATGTTGAGAAGCCCCCGTTGACCAGTGCGACCAGTCCAAGTGTGTGCAATGGTCTCTAGTGGGAGCGGTGTTCGCTCCAGGTGCGTCGATTTCACGCAGCCAAATGGGTATTTCTGAAGTTCTACGAGCTGAAGCCTCAAAAAACGCATCATTTCTAGGACTGTAAGGATGGTACCTGTTCAGTCCTGTTCGATATCTTTGAAAATGATTTGAACATAGATGAAAACAAATGAAAATAAATGTTCCATATCTAGCCAGTCGGTGATTTGAAAATAGACGAAAACAGCGGGCTGATGCGGGCTGAGCCAGGTAACTGCGGATTTTCCCCCTGGAATCAGGCGAGAACTCTTGAGTCGAGTTGCAAGTTTCCCAGCTGTCCCGCAAGAGCCATGCTGGCAGATCAGCAACCATGAGATGGCTGGCCAAGAAAGGAGCGGCTAAAGTACTTCTATCAACTCCTGAAAAGTTCCACTCATTTTAGTCGACTGAAGAAATGGATGGAGATGGCCCGTTTTGCCAACCAAGAGCTCTGTTGGAACAAGGGGCAGCTGTTCCCTACCTTGTCAGCTGCATCAAGTCATTCAATGTGACTTCCACCTGTCGGCGGCGGCGTCCATTCCACTTAGCAAAGAGTGACTGGCCTGTCATGATCCATCCGGACAACCAGACGTACACCAGAAATAATCATTATAGTAATCATTAGTAAACTCTTGTAATTTTGTATGTGGATATAGGTTGATAACACGTCCGTAATCAAAAGATACGAAGGAACTTGGTGAAGCGCTGGCAGCCGCAGGAACCGTTTTATCAGCCACGTGCCTCAAGAGCCCAACTCTGGTGGGGCTAAGAACCGTGGCACTGTGGCACTCCCGAACAGTGACTTTGACTTTGAGGCTCAGGTAGGCCAAGTGAAGTGATGTATGAAGTGATGTATATAACAAAGTACCGGAATCAAACTTATCAAACATACAAGTTCATACAAGGTCGTCTCTCGTGCCATATTTAACCATGTTATTAGATGCTCTTGCCTGGCCAAGTTTAGGAGAGTTTCAGCACGTGCAGTTCTGACACCCTACGCTTGTTTGTCAAATTCTAGTTTAGTGTAAGCCTTGCACATCACCATCACTGGTCACCTTATCGCCTTAAAACTTCAGACGCTGTGTCACAGGTTGGTTTGGCATCAGTCGCCAAAAACGTGCGCGGGCCGCTGCCAACGTGCGGTTGTCATACGGCCACAAACCACCAGGGGTGTGGGTAAACAGTGGCTGGCTTGCAGCAGCCGCTGCCCCTCTAGATATTGAGCGAGTACTCCAGCATAAGATGCGGCTGCTGCTTTGAACATAATGTCACGGCATCAAACGGACAAATGGGATGCCCGTAAATACATGCAAATTACTATATATCTAAATATAATATCATATAATATCTAAATATGGTGTAGCTCGGTGCTTTCATTGAGAAACAAAACAGCTAGTGGGGCGAAAGGGAAGAGGACTGTCAGCTCCCACACTGCCTGCTAGAGTTTAGACTCTAGACACTCGGCTCACCAACCAAAGTCAGCCGGACAGGCGGGCATTACTCACCTCCACCGATCCTAAGCTGATTGGTTTGTTGCTTTACTGACAGCAGCTGGGCATTGCCACCTATATCCATCCAGAATTAAGAACCTTTGCTGCCACTGCTGCTGACACAACTCAAAAGTGGAGATGCCGCAGCTACAAAGGACATAACCTCTGCCTTAGGCTGGGGTCCTTTCTGCCAGTTTCACCCGCCCAGTCACTCAGCAAAACTCCTGCAAACCAAGCGCAGGACCAGCTGGTGCCCTTTGATTCTCCAAGGTCAGAATGGATGATGTTTGACAAAAACCGCAAGTTCAAAGCGGATGTAGTGCAAGAATCGGAGCATACAAATCAGTACGTGTTGGGTATAGTCAGCTTTAGAGAGAACCACCCTGGGGCACTATGCAGCGATGATCATGGCGACTAACCATAGAATCCATGAACAATGCCTGGCACTTGAAACTGCATCTAGGCCCAATCTAGGCGTTCCCGACAGGGTCCTACAACGGTCAACCTATGGGTCCGAGGCATGTTATCCTCTGCAGGGAATACAGTCAATACCAATCAGTACCTTGTACCGGTATAGCCACTAAAAAACCTGATTCTTAATGCCACTGCCCACATGGACATGGAATGCAAATTACAGTATGTCACTATGTCAGTATGGCTGTCGCAATGACAAGAGCGGATACCTAAGTATAGTATAGGCAAATGAAAAAAATGCACTGCAACCATCAACAAATCAAATACCATATAATTCTATACGTAACATCTACTATGACAACGTTGTTGTATAGATTAAATAGATAGACATAGACATATGTACGTATATATACACGTATATTGCGTCTATACGTAATATGTGCGCATACAAATATTTAAAATGATATATAATTAGATTGACCGTAGGTCGACATTACATGTTAAGTAATGGTAAATATGTAATAAATATGTTAAATCCATACAGATATATACAGCGCATCCTCTGCCCAATTTTATTGCAGGTCATCCTCCAGCAGCTTCGAAATTTCATGGTGCCCAGCCACTCGGGCAACATCCAAGGGTGTCTTGCGGTCCTTCGCCCATGACTCTGAGATTCACAGCAGTTGATGACCAGGTCGCTTTATGCTTCGCACAATGAAGGCCGCTATTGAAAGGGCGAAAAGGCAATGGGAAATATATGTATATTATATATTATAATATATTATATATATATTATGTATTTGAACGATACCCGTGACGGCATGCAAAAAAATGAAGGCGGCCCGGTTGCGGGCCATTGTTTTGATTTGAGTTTGCTCAGGCTTTCTCAATCCTTTGATGCTCTGACTGGTCTGACTCAAGGAAAACCAGCTGATGGTTGCCGATGGTTCAATGATATCATGACATATCACAAAAAGGACAAGTCCTTGTTCAGCAGCAAAGGGTTGGCGCGGGCACTGCACAGCGTGGCACAAATCTCCATGGCCCCTGCCTGCGCAAGACCATCTTTCTGCCTTTCTTTATTTATTTTGTGTTTTGTTTGAGCAAAGCACATAAGATATGGTGCGCCACACAGAGTGCTGAATTGGTTTCTCTCCATGTGCCGATACAGTGCACCATGTTTTCTTTTAGACCCATTGAATTCCAGGTATGAGAGGTATACCACATTAAAATCATTCAATTTCAAATGGTTGCCACAGGATGCTACAGGAAACTTCCACAATTTCTCTCAAGAGTATAGTATTATATATGCATATTATATGTAATTATATATATACACATTTAAATATATAATTATATATATATAATAATGATAGTTCAATGTATCCCAATGTATCCCAATAATGCAAAGTCCCAAAATGTCCCAAACAATCACTAAGTCACCAAGACCAGCTTTGGACTGCCAAAATTCGCGACACTCCGCACCCTTGTAGCCAGGTGAAGGGCGGTGTCGCCCCAAGGGTCAGTAGAATCCACGGGGATCTGCTTTGCCAAGGCAACACGGATCTCCGGCAGGGAGCACCTATCCGGCTATCCGGCTTTGAATTCAGCTGGGGAATGGTGGAGGCATGACAGTCTACCAGAGATCAGTCTAGAACTGTGCACAGGATTGGGGCATTGAGGTGATTGGATGTGATTGGGGAATACAGCCGCAGCCCTCACCTCAGAGCTGCCCAGTGCAAGTCATTGCAGCCGAACGTGAGTTCCTCCAGGTGGAATAAAGCCACATGGAATCAGCTCATTGAAATAATCAAATAATGAATGTAGCTCTCATTTTTTTGACTCGAAGCACCTGTCACCCATCCAATTTTGGATGATCAATCACCTGAAGTTCGGTAAGATTTTTTTGGTGTGGCTCCTTTATGTGATGAAAGCATATGTGAAAGCAATGAGGAACAGGACTGTGCAGGGCATCGATGATCGATGCAAATGGGATGCGTGCCACATAATACTCAAGAAATTCGCTGGCCAGCACCACAGCAGAGAAGACATGACATGGCATTTGGCCTCATCCTCTATGCGAGGGCTGCTGGCCGCGGTCGAGTCACTGGAGACATCCTCAAGAGTGTTCAATGAGCATACTACGGCATGGTGGCATGGTGCAAGCAATTCAGATACCATGTGGCATGCAGCTGCTAGTGGTACATTTCATTCCCATCATTTTTAGAGGCCAATCTCGCCTGGAGCAGAACCAGCGAAGGGCAAGTGATGCACAACATAAGCATGTACTTGAACTCTGGTGTCCAGTATCACGGATTGGCCCAGTATCAGAACAATTACCTCGAACTCTAACCAAGGTGAGCACACATCTTGGCAACCCTACTTGAGTATCTTGTTCCAACTTGGTCTCCTTGATGGCAAGGCCCTGTGCCAGGGCGGGTACTGAACAATTCAAATACAACCGTGCCATCCCAGCTCACGACATCCCCCAATAAGGAAGAAAATCCACTGTCCGCCTTGAAAATAGCAGGTATAAGTATATAATATGGATTAATAATATGGTAATACAGGAAGAACAACGAATCAAATGCTACCATAGGGCATCTCAGCCTGTGCAATTCCGCGGTTGTGATTGCACCCGGGTCCATGATTGGCATACCGCATACCTTCATTGATGCTAGAGATCCAGGATCTCATTGTAGATTATTGTAGTAAACAATGCGTTGATGGAACCTGGTTGGACATAATTCGTCCAATTTGTTCCTCTTTACCTGATTGATTTTGTGACGAAAGTTCCGCCGGCCTTGACAGGAGCAGGTCGCCTGGCACTTCGCTGGGAAAGGATGATCAAAGTGATGTTAGAGGAAGTCGGCAGGAAGGACTTCACTCAAGCTCAGTTATATATAAAACAATGATATATATATAATATATAATATAATATATATATATATATATCTGTGTGTGTGTGGGTGTTTTATGTCTATGTCTTGACATTCTTGAACTTTTAGGCTCAGATCGGAGTGGAACAAGTGTTGAATGATGTTGAATGCCAACTGAGGCTCTGATTTGTCCACTATGCAATAACCAAGCGGGCTGCAGCAAGCCCCCACACCTGGCCAATTTGACAGGGCTCAGCAGGTCGCAAATCTCAGAGTGACCAGACAAGGCAGCGATCAGCAAGGGCGTCTTCTGGTTCTTGTTCAGAACCTGCCATGCGGTAGTGCTGGGCAGCACTGGGCCATAATTGCATATAATTGCTGGGTACAGTAACTCGGCATCAGCAATTTGAAAAATGTTTCGTTTCAACAATGGCTAGACGCATGGCTGCATGGTAGTAGTAGTGTGACATGGCTGGCTTCAGTGCAAACAAATGAACACAAAATGAACATGTGCACGCAGGTGAACTGAACTAGTTGTGGGTTCGGGTGATTGGAATGCTACAAAGCTTCACCATATATGATCCATTCAAACCAAACTTGCCAGCAAGCTCGGAGCTAATAGGTGCTCTTGCATGCTCTTGCAAGAATATCAATCAATTATCTAACACAACAACTTTGAACCACACTGTCACATTTCCAAGCTTTGTCCCCTTCGCTACAGTGCTTACCCATGCTTACTCTCTCAAAAGTTGATGTTCGGTGCACCCTGGGGTCCGCTCCAAAGCCCAGCAAGATGTCGCAAATGTCCTCATGAAAACGGAAACAGGTGCGGCCTTGCATAGAAAGCATGAGAAGTGCGACCAAGGTCACACATCGATACGGATCGCCCCATAATGTTTGAACTTGGGACGTCCTACCTAAACTAATCCTATGTCTTCATATTTCTTCTAAATCTGTATGCATGGGGTCTTAACATGTCTTCACATGTCAGATCTAGCTGACAGCTACCAAACAAAGCGTGTACACCTTGTAATACCAATGCTTCACGCTACCCCTTTTGGAGCTTGCCAAACCATGCTGCTTGCGCTACCCCTGACTGTTTACATCACTTCAATCCTGCCATCAAAGTCCTGCAGTATTCCTGAAGTAGCACTTTGGGATTAGGACATGTCAGGTGATGGGCCAAAACTACCACGACAAAGCCACAATGTTGGAAGCAACTTTTAAACATGTCCAATGTCAAAAAAGCTAGGAGTCCACGTAGCCACATCGCGCTGCCATGTGCAAAGGTGTCTCGAGATAATTGTCCGTTGCATTGACATTTGCACCTGAGCGACCAAACAAACCGATTCTATCCGATTCTCCGGAGACCCAGGAGTGACATCACACCATACTATCACCATCTAATCCTACCTGCCACCTGTCTCGCAAATTCTTAGCGAATTAAGTTGCTCGCGCTCGGTACTGACAAGGATACGACTCTTGTGACAAAATCTGGGCTTCAAGCGAGTGACATTAGGTTGGCCAATGTTGGCCATACATCATTCACAAAAATAAAAACGGACTGGCTATGACTGGCTCCATCAACATCATTCAACACTTGACATCCTCTTTGAATCAAATGATGTGCCATTATGTGCCACTCAACCATGAGGGCAACCTTTGACACCCACTAGATTCACTAGATCCAATTGGCATCCAGAAAGCATGCACTGCATGCACCATCAGATCTCCAAGGATTTCCCTGCCCACTGCCATCTTAGGCCAAAGCACCAGAGGTCAACAGGATTTCCACGTCGCGGTAGAGGCCATTGTGTGCAGCCCAGTGCAATGGTGTACAGCCCGAAATCTCTGGGATCTGCGCAAAAACTGGAACAGGGAACAAGGAACATAACATTAAAGCGAACTTCACTCACAGATTATGCAAATATAATTTATATAATTATATAATATTATATTATATGTATATGTATAAATATAAGATTTATAATATAATATAATATTATATATTATATATATACACATGTATACATTCTTATACTGAGTTTCCCACAACATCGTAACATCATCATAATTACTTTGATGATCTGGGTTGGTGTATGGACACATGAAAGTCAAACATCCTGGCACATCAAGCTTTGGAAGGCAGTGACGGAGATTTAGAATGTGGACGTAGCATGACGTAGCTGTGTCATGTGCTGAGCCCCGAACATTCTGTGATTGCTCTGACTAGATTGAAGAAAGTACATGAAAATTCCTCAAATACTTGCTACCACCTTGTTTGCGCCAACCCTGACACTGCCCTTCATTTGCAGGAGCCTGAGACAAGTCGATGCTGCTTTCCTCCTCTACATCGGAGTTTTGCTCTGATGGTTTGCGCTCACGTTTTGGCACCTGAAACGTGAGCGAACTGAGGCATCATCATGTGTGATCCTGTACTGTGGCAGCTCCAACGCTGAGCTGAATTGGGTCTGGCCTATTAAATATCTTGAATGAATGCGCTTCGCATAGATCATCGTAGATAATGTCCACACATAGGGAACCATGAAGACATCAAGCGCTTTGAGGTGGGTAGGCTACTCAGTAGGCATGGACAATTCCGTCAAAGACCCACGGAAAACCTGCGTCCACAAACCATCATGCATGAAGACCTGCTTTCCCATCTATTTGTCTGCGGGAAGAATCGCAAGAGCCACGATCTTCAAACAAGAACTTTAAAAGACTCTTCTAGTCCCCACCTGCATGGCGGAGCTGAGAAAATAGAAAACTCCGGCAGCAATGAGCAAAGCCAGCAGGTCTGGAAGAACTGCAAATGCATAGGTCTCTATGTATCGGTTGGCCAAGGTGCCCTGAGCGGCCGTCTTGGGCGATGATAGTGTAAGGCCCCCTGGGAAAACTTGTGGATATTGAATACTTATGACATTTATGAACTATGATCCCCCACCCCAAATGGTTCAGGAGTAGGGGAGTGAATCCTACATTTTTTCAAATGTATGGAGACCGGGGTCAACCCCTCACTTTCTGCCAGAAACGTATGGGGACCAGGGGGGTTAACCCCTCAAAATGAGGGGTATTGAATCTGAAAATGTATGCTTTGTGGGGGGTTACAACTGACAAGAGCCAATGGATACATAAACTTTCCAAATGTATGGAAGCATGGGGGTTCTGCAACTCAATCCAGTTGATTTTTTTTCCTCTCTTGTGGGCCACAAATTGTCATTGGTGGGGTCGTATTGATCCAGGCATATCCAAGCATTGCCATGGAGACCCTCTTGGATTCATTTCCACATGGAACTTCTTGGCCGGTTGTGAACGCAGCACGAATAATTAGTTAGGTTCATTTTTCCTGTCCACAAACCTACTGACCCTTACGTAAACAAAAGTCACCCAGTGGGTTTCAGTTTCAATCATGAACCCTCGAGCCATAAAATGGTTGAATGCTAGAACTGAAATATGCTGAAATGTACTGTATGCTTTGCAGGGGACCAGGAATCGCTTAGCAAGATGTATAAAATCCATTTGCCAAAAATAATGTGCTTTTCGTATACCCAACCCCTCTAACATACTTTCTCTTTATCAATGCCGTAAAGAGGCATTCCCCAGAAAAAAAATGGACATTCCCGGGGATACCCGGGGGATCCTAAAAAAAACAACCCCCACAATGTATTAAACCACCCCCGACATAAAATAAAAGATCCTGAGGGGCGTGGATATCCCGACCCATGGATCTTATTTTTTTCAGGCGCCCCTCGTCGAAAAATGTATTTTTTGGGGGGTCCTGGGGAATCAATTTTGAAGGGCGACGATAAATGTATTTATTTTTCCTGACCTCTCCCCCCTAAAATACATTTTTAGGGGTGGGTGATGAACTATGAATAATTGTTGTTCATACTTCTTAAATCCCGGGCTACCAACTAATTTGAACAACATTAAAGTAAAACAAGCCGGCGCATCATAGGTGCCAATCTGTGGCATAGATGGGCGTCGCAAAGGAAACCAAGCTAACTAGAAACATCTGAAACATCGACAAAAAATCACCACTGGACCACCCCACAGTATAGAATGCCAATGCCGTGACTTCAACACATCATTTGCCAAGTTGCAGGGAGCACCGAGGTCAGCTCCATTCGCTCCAAGGCCTGTTGGATCAGACCGAGAAAGCCAAAGTTTACCTCAAGGGCACATTTCGGTGCTTGTTGAGGTCAAAATATCGTTATAGGTGATGATGCACTGAATGCACTGATGAGTTCATTTATCATTTCTGGTGCAACCTATGATTACCATCACCATCAGCAGCACCATCAGCAGCATCATCACCAGCACCACCACCGGCACTACCAGCACCGCCGGTTTCCCATTGCTTGCAAAGAAGAGCCAAACATTGTTATCTGCAAAAAAAGGTAAATAGGTCTATAAATATCAATAAATAGATAAATACCGCACACGTTTAATATCATTTTCAAGGGGCTGCAGCGTTTTCACCCGCTCAAACTCGGTTGCTAAGGCCTTGACGAAGGATTGACCCTCACACTCGTCAGCCGCGTGCACGACAGCGAGGAGGAGCGTCAGTACGGTGAATCGGTTGCAGGCCATGAATCAGGGGATATCAGGGGTGCCTGGGGTTGGAAGTGACTCAAATGGCTCAGGGTGTCTACCGAGGGTGTCTGCGGGATGAAACGTGTTTTTTTACCAGGCACCTTATTATTGACAAAAGGGTTTGCTGGATTGGACAGGATTGTTAAACAATGTGATAACCTGGCCAGCAAAACAAACTCACAGAATTTGATGCGAACAAAACGTTTGATCACCACCATCTGCGGTGTATGGGATTGGCCTCTATCATCACAATGCTCACACAACTTGCATATAGATCATATAGTCACAACCCCAGCAGCTCCACATGGTCCTGTAGTGAAGCCTCTTCTGCCATTCCTTTTCATTGTAAGGACTGAATGCTGGCCAAGCCTGTGAATCACACACACACACCCTTCATCTACCCAAAACTGTCTGACATCAAGGTGGACATACAAAAGCTTAGTTCAAAACAGTGGATAAGAGCGATTTGCTTTGGAAGGCATCACCCAAGGTGTGGCCGAGGATCAACAGAAGATAATGAAGACCTGCGTCAAATAAGCCCGACAGCTTTTTGACAGGTACACAATATTCAGCACGCGATTGGGTGCATGTGTCTCTGTGCACTGGTGGGTTGACTACCAACCTACTCAACTATCCTAGAGCAGCATTGAATCTCAGGATACAACAAGTATTACAAGTATAATATCCCCCTTGCAATTGGGGGGGGTGCTGGACCCCTCGATTCAGTAGAGGGCCCCAAGGTCAGGCAGCAAAAAAATCTTTAGTAAATCAATGTCTGCTCTCCAGACTAGGATGTCGATGTCACCTTCTACAAAATCAAGAACCTTCCACAGAAAAAACATCTGACACGGCAAAATCATTTTTTCTACAAAATCAATAACCTAAAATTTGAAAGCATCAAACAAAATATGTTGGGATTTTTGTTTGGGTAAAAACATCCAGGATGATTCTGTAGAGACTTGTGTTAGAGTCGATTCTGTAGAGATATTTTGCTTGTCTTTGATTTTGTAGCATGAATGTGTTTACAATTTTTACAAGTTTTACAAGTCCCATCCAAAGTCCCAAAGTGTCTGTCTTTGATTTTGTAGCATGAATGTGCTGACAAGTTTTACAAGATTTTACAAGTCCCTCCAAAGTTCCAAGTGCCTGTCTTTGATTTTGTAGCATGAGTTCCTATACAAGATTTTACAAGTCAGTCCAAGATGTCCAAAATGACCGGCCTTTGATTTTGTAGCATGAGTTCCTTTACAAGATTTTACAAGTCAGTCCAAGATGTCCAAAATGACCGGCCTTTGATTTTGTAGCATGATTTCTTTAAATAAAAATCCAAATTAGTTGCACACATTTTGGTGACAAGGTTCTTGATTTTGTAGATTTTTGTAGCATTTTCCCAGGAAAAAATGTGAACAGGCTAGAAACATCTAGAAAATGCTACAAATATCTAGAAATTGCTGGAGTATGCTAAGGTCACATCACAACCTTTCACAACCCATGGATTTTGTTTTCTTGAAGCCCTCACCTACTCGCCCCCAAAAACATTCATTCCCCTGCAGGGCAAAACCAGAGGATCACCAGGGTTTCAGGGGAACTATCCTTTACAGAATCAAGGTCATTCCCTCCTACCACCTCTCACCACTACATAATCGAGATCTGAAGATATGACATTGAGGGGCATGCTTTACTAGAAATTCAAAGACCGTAGGGTGTCGCCAGCCTTGTCTACAAAACCAGTTCCCTGACCAAAATGTAAGGTTTTGTACACTTTCTGCTCAACATTGGGGCCCCCATTTACAGAATCAGGGACCTACCAAAATAATTATAGTCCAAACATGTCCAAAATTGGTGGTTTTTGGGTGCTTGCCAGCCCATGGTCTTTGATTTTGTAGCAAAGTGGGGGTGCAGGAGGGCTCTCCAGAATCGAAGATTTTTGGGGTGCCAGCCCCCCCCGATTCTGGAGAGGAAATTGCAACAAGGATAGTATAATCATGGTTGACTTGGATGTGCATGGGAGTGACTTCAAGTTTTCAGTTTCAAAGGCTTGTCAAAGAATACCAAGTGTACTCCTTTAACCATCTGTTAATGCTTATAGTCAAAAGGACAACCCCCTGAAGCATCTTGAAGCAGCGATGGACACAATTTCCCTCTCTAGCATGACTAGGCGAACAACACTCCAGCTGCATTGCAAGCAAGATGCAGTAAGCGTTCAAGAAAGCGGTAAGTCGAGCGTATTGACCTGCCGCAAGGATCATCAAAGATCCGCAATGCAAATGTCAAGCACCGTTTTGTGGAGGTGCAACATGTTGTCAGCGCACATTCTGGCCACAGACTTCATTACATGCAACGCGAAATCATGGAATTAAACATGGAATTAAACATGGAATTACTCTCAAGTTTGATGATGTTCAGGCATGCACATTACCAAATTCAAGCTTACTGCCTCCCTGATGCCCTGACAATCTCCCCGCGCCTTTTTATGTCTCGCACCTCGACCCGGAGGGCAGATGGCACGAGATTCACTCTCTTAGTCTTGAGCCAAAAGTGTGCGACAGAAATACGCGGCAGCTCAGGCTCGGGAGATGCCAATTCCGATTGCTTCAGCAATTGTTGTGCCAAGGTTTCATGACCGTCATGACCGTTGCCTTAGCACGTTTGCAAAATGCATACGGATACCCATACGGAAATGAATGCTACCCGAAGAGTCTTATGGACTTCAAGGCTTAAGGGCTTAAGCGCGTTTGCATTATGCAGGCGCTACCGGTTGGACCTGTGACAGTTTGCACAGAAACAGTACTAGTACATGTTATTATAAGTTATAAATATATATATATATAAATACGAGAATAATACGTCCACTTTGAGAAAACAATGAGCCGTCATGATCACCCACACGCTTGACAACTCAGCTTTTGGGTCTGAACAGCGCTGGAGCGACGACAGTCACGAAATCCCCTCGTGCCGTCCTGTTTCACATCTGGGTCACACCAGCAACGAGATATCAGCAGCTCTCTCCAGATCCTGAGTCTCCAGAATCCACTCAGGAACACCTTCGAAAGGATCCAAATTCAGCCGTTTCACAGGCCTTGCGGATGAGGCCTCAGCATTTGCAGAGACCGGCTGAGATTCAGCTACAACACCACGAGATTCCCTCGGAGTTGCTACCTCCGGAGTTTCAGGTGCTCCTAATCTGTCTCTTTTCTTCTCCTTGCGCACTTGCCAGCAGGACCTCAAAGGCCGGAATCATTGAAAAACTTGGCGCCTGATGCTCCCTTTGTACAGTATCCCTTCGTCACTTTTGGACCCTTCATTCCAAGCAAAGCATGCAGAGAGAACTATTGAACTCTGTTGTCTCACAATCCAGTACATGGTCCTTATCAACTTGCCAACTTATGCACATGAACTGAAAAGTCATTATCGTCATACAATAACATTATCGAAATCATTATCCATGCAATTACTATGTGATACATTGTGATACTACGTGTCTGAAAAAATACAGTCATCAATGAAAATGTTGTTTGGTGTTTTGTAGAACGAGCATCAAAGACTTTCGCCATTGGGGCCTCTTTCTCTGGGTTTCTGCCTAGAGATCAGATGGATGGAGAAAGGAACGCCATCTGATGCAGCTGCAGAATCTGTGCGATGCTGCCGATCAGCTGCAATGTGAGGAGCTTCAGCCCTTGCAAATGATACAAGAATATGTCATGATCATCATGCTCTCCTGCAGTTTCTCTCTTGGGGGTGTACCATTGGAATTCCAGTGTTGTGAGCCATGTTTTATGCTTCTCTTTTGGGGGGCTCACTGAAATAGCACCCTCCCTATTTATCACAGCCAGCGGGTCGATGCCTCTGGCGCCTTCCTCTTAGGACTTGCTGTAGGCTGAGAGAAGTCCTCTATGAAGTCCTTGACGCAGGAACAAACAGGAATAGATTGGTACTTGGTGCTGGGCTGATGTCAGCGACTGTTCAAAGATGTTTGGGATGCAAGATGATTCAAGCCAAATTCCACCCATTCGCACAAAGTGCGCACAATAGTGCAAAAACATGCAACAATTAATGACACATTCAGAACAGAGTGTGCAAATGTGTGCATGCAAATGTGAGCTAACTGGAAAGTTGTGATCGCTCTGGGCAGTGCCCATCTCCTCATCTGCTGCTGCTACCAATGCTGCGGGGCCAGGACCCATCCTAGCGGCTGCAGGTGCCCCTGCAGCAGCAGCACCATTCGCTAAGGATTTGCGAAGTTCCTCGCGTTTCTCTTCCTCGCGTTTCTCCTTCAAGTAACGGCGATAGCGATTCCTCGGATTAAATTTCTGGACAGCAATGTGGCAAAGGACTGCTTGTTTGGCCAATGCATTCAGGGTGTTTGTGAAATTCATCACAGCAGCTGCAAGGGGACTAAAAAAGGGCTTGCCATGGTTGCCCATCTTATATACATTATATACTGTAATTAGTAATAGCCCATAATAGCCCAATGTGGAATACAGTCCTGGAGAGTCGACTCCGACACATATGCGGCAAGAGCTGTCCTATGCTGCTCAAAGTTACAAAGCCAGGGGTTGAAGGGTGAAGCCCTGGAAACATTGGAGTTTTTGATGTTTCTGAGGGAGCCACAGAGAGGGAAGAAAAGATCGAGAGTTAAAGTCAAGAAGTGGAAGTGAGGATCTCAGCATGTGCTGTCAGTAATGTCAGACCTAGTGTGCAAGACAAGCATCTGCATAGACTGCCTTGGCTTGTGACTTGGCATTAAGAACGCAAAAATACGCAAAGCATCCACAAGCGCGATTACATTTGAAAATTTGTTCCGTGTTTCAAAATCCTTTCCTCCCATCAATTCAAGTGTAATCATGCAAGGCCTCGTCTGCCGCTTGTCTAACATTGGCCCCTGCTGTGACATTCTGCGGCCAATAAGTGTCATTTCCACAAAAAGATATCAGAAAGGATTAAAAGGCAGCCAAAATGCCAGGAGTGCCCTGTTACCTTGGCAGTGACAGCTCGTTGCCAGATCTCTTTCCCCTGTGTCCTCAAGTAAGGATTCTTCTTGACCCAGTCCACCATTGCAGCATCATCCTGGAGGCCCAATCATCATTTTCTCATATCCATTCATGCTGAACTAAAGCACCCAAGTATGTGCATCCTGGATCATCCGAGACAAAAATGTCAAAATCATTCAAAATCAGTGAATCAGCAGCATCTCACATCGTCCTCTGCAGTGAACCTATCTCGCTTCTGGTGTCCGCGGCGCGCAGGTGCAGCTCCTGGTGCAGCTGCCGCAGCTGCCTTCGCAGCTGCCTTCGGAGCCGCAGGAGCCACATTCGCTGCAGTGCCAGCACCAGGGGGCTTTGCTAAGCGGTAGTCCGACAGTTGCAGCAAAGTCTTGCGTGACATGCAGTCCACAACAAAGCGAGATGAGATAGCATCCTGTCCCGTCAGTGATCAGTGAGCGCAAGATATTGTAAGATTCTGTAAGATATGATCCATGATAGTTTCTAACAAATATATCATGTAAACACAATTAAACAAAACACACGCGCACACACACATGACATACTACAAGCAAGCAATTCAAGCAATTCTGCATGCGTATGTGTGTGTGGGGTCGCATGTAGTGACAGGCCGCCCCTTCCTACTCCGTTGCATCCTCCCTCAGCCCTGCCCCAGAAAAAACAGAAGGAGGTTTCGGATGCTGATTGCAACCAGGTTGGTGGCGGCCCTCCGTACTTTGCCTACACAGTCATGACCTATCACTGTGACAATATGACTATGTCCATTATACAGGCAGTAGGTAGTCAATGCATTGAATACTTACAGTATCTTACAGTTCCTTACAGTTCCTTACAGTTCCTTACAGTTCCTTACAGTTCCTTACAGTTCCTTACAGTTCCTTACAGTACTATCAGTGACTAGCTCTCTGTTGGACATCACAATCTTCATGTGCGCAGCAGTGTCCTCAAGCTTTCGCAGTTTTTTATGCTGAAGGCCTTCTGGGATCCTGAGTCAGTGGTTAGGACACTGGAATGCACAACGGCACCAAGCATTTTTTGGTGAGAATCTGTATGCATGCTGGTTTACATTATCTTCTTGGAGTGTATTTTCTATAAGATCTATAAGCTCAATGCTTGGCCAACTGCTGGTGACATGAAATCTGGACAACAAGATCATTTGTACGCAACATATCGCAATCATTTCTGCTCGTCTAGCTTGTGGATGCCTGAAAATTTGCACGCTCATGTATGTGGCTTAAAACGGATCAACTCTTGGTGAAGCTGGCCAATTGCAAATCTCCAGAAAGACAAGCGTGCAGCAGTATGCTCAACCCAAGGTGTTTTAGGAACAGAACAGCCTTCTGTCTTTGAAACAGTCGAGAAGCCGACATTCCTCACCACATCAGTGAACGTAATATCTGTGTCAGTCAAGGGACAGATTGATGACGTCTTTGCTGGACTTTTCTGCCACTTTGCCACCACCAGCAGTGATTAAACGACGGAGTTCCCCACCATTGTCGCACGGCGGGACCTGCACAGAGCACCCAAGGCAGCGGACACAAGCTCCAAAGATTTCCAAAGTACTAAGTATGGAAACATCATGAACCTGCCATGGCATGGTCTAACATGGTCTAATTGAATAGCGGACAAATTCACTTGTTCATTTTCATGCCATGCGCAAATTAGGGTAGTCGTCCCCTATCGGTAGTGAAGGCTTTGCACACCCCTCAGCGAGGCCAAGGCGAAGCAAGACTAAATTAGTATTATATACACTACTGGTAATTTTGTCGGTTACTCAACTACCCTGAGTCTTCGACATCTGCAACATACACTAACTCATACTTCCTTGTCCTGGAACATCCCAAGGTCACTGTCAAGGCACATAAAATGCCATCGGAGTCCCAGTCTCAGTGACCTCAGCGTGAGGAAAAAAAACATCCGGATCGAGCTGGCCTCGGCCTGGCAATGTTGATGAACATAGCAAGAACAAAATGAACGAACAGGTTGATTGATGACTATTGATGTTGATTGAACACAGGCATGGGAAGAACACATGGCGATAATGCGGTGGGACCATCACTCGCTCTGAAAATGCGTCGCTGCGTCGCTTGTTCTCTGCCACACTTGGTATTTTCAAGCTGGGGCTGTCATGGTCTGGGTGGAGTATATTCAGCCAGCTGCATTGAGAGAAAGCAAAACAATTGGGATATCTTGCCCAAACAGAATCATCGATCAATCATTATAGCTCTTGCAGAATTCTGACTTTTGTATGGCATATCCCGCTCTAGCTGGTTTAATCATGCATTACCTGACATAGTTGATATATCTTGATATCATATAGTCATAATATGTCATAATACTGTCTGATGTCTCTACATGGGCCCTACCTCCCTCGCATCACATCAGTTCAGCTGCAAAGATTGGTGAGGATTGGCTGCTGGAGGCATTGGCGCTGCTTCCCTCAGGGTGCAAGCATATGGAACTGAGAGATGCATGAAACAGGCTCAAAGGAAAATGAAGGCATCAGAACCGACCAGGCACAACTACATAATTCCAGACTCAGGGCTTTGGGAGGCAGCATTGTCCAGGGGCCTGCTGATGTCTGAAGGTGAAAGCATAGGTTGGATTTCCAACGTGCACTTGCGGCAACTATGTGCCAGTGGCAAACTGCAAAAAAATACATGATCAATATGACATATGGGTATTACAATGATGATATGATGGATGATGTAAGTCTGGGAGGGCCTACCGTCTAATTACTGTAGCTGAAGTTAGACTTTGCCATCCTCACATGTATCTGCTACGCGCAATGCCCAAACTTTCAACGCAAACAACAAGCACCCACTGGCCCAAAAATGTCATCCTCATGTCCGGATCCCCTTCAGAATCTTTCGTCCCAATCCGTCAATAAGTCTTTGATGAGTGCAACTGGGCGACCTCCGGCTGCTTGAAATTCAACCGACGGCTGGGAGGCGCCGAAGGCGACACCACAACTGCCTTCGTCTTCGTCTTGGGCGAAGGTGCCATGGCTGGACGTTTCATTTTGCACGGACGCCCAGCACACCCGATTCTCAAGTCACTCTTTGGAATTGGGTTTCACCCAGGGTTGCTGTTTTGTTTTGGTAAGTCACGGTAAGTCTGACTAGTAAGTCTGTTGAGTGACTGCTCTTGTCGGTGACAAAGGATTGAATGATGTTGCTTGTTGCAAATTCTCTCGCAACCATCTGGTTGAGTTGCCTGGCCTATTTCTCGCCGATGGAGTTTGTTGCTTCATTGTTTTCCTCAGAAAGAATAGGAGGCCCATCTGCGCCTTGCAAAACGGCGCCAACAAAAGTCACACTCAAGCGGCAGCCCGCTCCGACAGCGGGTTCGATTGCATCTGTGGCCAACACTTGGAATGGCATGCAACGAACCCTGGCATCCAGAGTCTAGCAGCCTCATTGCCTCTTTTGTAAACATGATTTACTGTAATGTATAGGGTACCAACAACATCATCAACATCGAACAAGCCAATCATGCTGCGATGCAGACTTTTTTGCCTCTGCACCTGATGACTGGTAAAGCATGGTAAAGCTTGGTAACGTGTTCGCAGTTGGCAAATGTGCCTTTTTGGGCTGCGTGCCTCCGAGACTTCAGTCTCGAGCTTACAGTACATGTTGCAGAATATGCACCCACCAATATGTCTCTTGTGTTAGCGCGTTTCTTCATCCATACAAGAGGAATTCCGCGCCATTAAAATCTGCGACTCCTCACTGACTTCAGTACATGAAGTATCCTGGGGGGTTCTTGGATCCACGGGGATGTGCAGGAGGCTCAAGTAGTCCAAGCTCCCCTGTGACTGGACTTGGGGGAAGGGTTGGCTTGGCGTGAAACATTCGACAGTTTCCAACGCTGGCACTGCCGCACTGTTGGCAATCAACTTGCATCCACTGCAAATAAAAACCAATTGAAATCACACATCTACTTGACAGGCACAGGGCTTTAACTTGCAAAATAATAATCTGACCGCTTAGTGGAACGAATCTTTGTTGATCCTCAATTCAGGATGCGCTGGCCTTGGGCCTTGCCCATCCTGAAGGGATCACACTTCCAGACTGCGGCAGGAGGATCAGCAAGCGCTGACCCAAAAGTGTTCCGCTCCAAACAAGAAATACATAGAAAATACATAGAAATATATAGCGCGTCAAATCTCAAGGTCCTGACACAAAAGGACACATCAAATCATGGCTGTAGAGACTGGCGGGCCAGGGCCCGTTGCCATAAAGCTCGCCATATCCTGGCAATTCTTACGAATCAAATCCGAGTCTTGAGGGATTCAAAGATACAGATCATACAGTCCAGTCATGTCCGTGTATCCTACATCTCCCCCAAAAATGACCTACAGTCGTACGGCTGACAAACATGCCGATGCCGTGCCGCGTGAGGGATTCAACTGATTCATGACTGCCGATCTGCTATGTGGATTTGGCCTCCCGAAGTTTGCCAAGTTCCACTTCCATGTAGCTTTGGAATCCTAAGTGCTCGAAGGATTCAAAAGGAAAACATAGCCTTAGCGATACAGTATGATACAGTCCTTTGACAGGGTGACACCATAGAACATTCCATACCTGTTCCCATCTGCTCCCCCCCCAAGATGGCCAAGGTTCTACCTTGATTCTTCATCATCCAGGACTGGTCCTGTCTGAGGGCGATGGCTTCTTGCAGCTATATAGAGGGTTCAACCTTTGATTTGAGAGGACAAACGCTATATAACAATTGTTTCCATCAAGTTCGAAGCAAATCCGCGAAGCTTTAGAGCAGCAATTAAGAGCTGCAAGCATCAAGGTTGACAACATCTGAACAGAATAAATTAGTTGACAAATTTGCAATCTCAGCGCCCCGAGCCCCACTCACACACTGGATCAGGAAACGAAAACGGCCCTGCAAACAATTTCAATGGCTTCATAGTCCACTCTACCTGGATCTCTGTGAAACATTTTCCATCATTTTCCAAGCCATCAGCACACACACACACATACAAATAGACTAGGCCCACAACCCAAACCGCACACTTCAGGAGCTCCTGGATAATTTTTCCCACATCCATGGCACGTGCTTGGCCACTGAATCGGAGGCAACCCAGAAAAAACTCTTCTATCTCTACACTTCCTCCTGCAGCTGCAAAGGTTTCAGCAGGATCTACGGCTCATGCAAAAGCTGAGTGCTTAATAGCCTATAGCAAGAATCCTGAGACGGTGGGACATTCCTTGTCGGGAGGGGGCCTAGGCCTTAGGCACAAAAAACATCGAACATCTTCGAACCAAGTTTTTGTGGGCTCAGTGATTAGGCCAGGCCGCCAAGCAGCCAGTTTGTCAGCTGGATACATCTTATTTAAACATACTTAGAGAACACATCATCTCCCTATATGTGTATGTATATATGTATATAGAGAGAGAGATATTGTTGAATGCTATTCTACATTGTGAGTTGAAACGATCCAAACTTAAAGAAATCGAAACTCTCACCATGACAAAGCATTGCGATGACCCATGCGTGTCGCTGCTTGGTTTTCAACCTAGAACTGAACTAACTCAATTCAAAGTAGTGGGGGCACTAAATTGTCTCTTTCTGCATTCATTCATCCTGATGGTGTGTTTAGTGTCATGTACTGCATCTTCAGTTGCATCTGAAACGAGTCCATCAATGTCAATGGAACACCAAGAAACTTTCGCTGGGCGGAGTACAACATGAGAACAAATAATTACAGAATGTATATGCATGACATTACTAAAATATTGCATCACCATCACTCATCAACTAATGTGATGTTGCCAGTGCGTAGTTTAGATAACCTATGATAACCTGAAACACCACAGAGCAGCTCTGTCAGTTTAGAAAATCACCACCTCCGTCAGCATCTAACAACTTGAAGAAGGCCCATGGATCCCAAACATCGAGGCCCAAGGTTTCCTAGGCAATCGAACCACCCAGCACATCCAGCACGTGGCAAATGGTTTTGTCAATATGGCCAGGTGCACTGTAAATGGTACGCTGATGGGTCTTCAATTTTGATTGCCATTTAGTATCATTTAGTAATATGTTTGTTTTATATGTTTCAATTCTCGGCTACCTTCACTGACTTGATCAAAATCAGTAAACAAGAAATGCGCACAGCATCAGGCTTGCACACCCAGGTTTCAACCTTTTCACGTCATATTGTGAATTAAAAAAAATCACCCAAACATATGGAACACTGCTCCATTCAAATACCAAATTTGCTGCCACAGGGTTTTGCGTGGTTTTTCATGTTTTCGTGCTTACAGTGCGTTTGCCAATTACTTGGGGAACTGACCAGACATGCCGTGTTGAACATACATTCCTGTACATTCATGCAATTGTTGGTTCTTATTCCACTCTGATGATTGTGGCTGGGATTGTTTGTGTTTGGCGTATGTCGTCAGAAACCCCCCCCTCAGAATAAATAAAAAGTCCATGAAAACCCTGGATAAGACAGAATTGTCGTGGCATTGTGACCTGGCCAAGTTTCGAAATAATCACGTACAGCCGGAGATTGGATTTTTTCTTCGAAGACCCCGTAAGTAATAGCACCACTGGACCTGAAAACCGCGGTTTCCGTTTTGTTTGGAATTTCACGACATTCATGGATATGATAGTACAAAGAACGCATGACGGTCGTGGAAACCAACACATCGGTTTTCAGTGCGACATGGAAGGCCGAAAAGAACAACCCCCACCATCCCAAGCAAGTTGTTTGTCACTGTGGTGTTTGACAGTCCCAGGACGAGCACCGGAATAACAAGGGAAAAGATTCCAAACAGATGAACGATGGAGAGGAAGAAAGGTGGAAGGAATGAGTCAATGGAATGGTTGGAGCCAGAGGACTCGGTGGAATTAATGGATCATGGAATGAAGGGGGTGGGCTGAATGAATGAAAGCATGAAATGACGGACCGTAATGTATGGCATGGGTGAGAAACAAAAACAAGACTTAAGATGACGTAAGATAGAAGCTTGAACAGAACAACAAATTAGAAAAATATATACCTTACTTCAAGACCTTCAAGCGATCCCCACCCTGACGCACTATTCATTCTTCTGGTATAGTTTCTGACATATCATCTGAAAGCATATATGGCACATCTTTTTTGCCATTCCATCTAAAATGTTTTCTCCCATCTACTGTGACATGATACTGTATTTGACATTCTATCTGACATATTTCTGGCATATACTTTGAAATTCTTTCTGCCATATCTTCTGACATACCTTCTAGCATCTATTCCGGCATTTTTCTGGCATCCATTCTGGCATTCTATCTGGCATCTTTTCTGGCATTCAGTCTGGCAGCATCTATTCTGACATTCTATCTGGCATTTGTTCTGGCATTCTTTCTGGCATTGTATCTGAAATATGTTCTGACATTCTAGGCAGTCTTTCTGGCATCTATTCTGATTTTCTTTCGGGTCCAGGTGTGGCAAACTGCGTCCGGAGCTCGTGATAGGGTTCGGCTCCAGGCATGCCCAGGTGCATCCTGAGCCATCCTGAGCCCACGATATCGCGCACAACGCTTGAAGCACACAGCCGCGACAAGCTGCAGAAAGAGCACACCAGGAGCTGCAGAACTATAGGAGGAGTAGCCGGAAGAAGAAGGAGTAGAAGGAGAAGAAGGAGTTGCACCTCTGCCAACATCTAGAGACCCTCACCTGGTATGTGGGGAAAAACAAGAGCAGAATCAAAACTGATTCACCAAAAAACACAGCCACAAAAAAGAATCAGCAGAAAAACAAGTACACCGGCAAGAGACCCCAAATAGTGTGGAGGGGTAGGAAATCAATATACCAGATACAAGCAGCAGTAGCGATGGAACAGTCACAGATGAGGTGAGACATTATCGCAAATGCGGACCTTCTATCTAGATCTATGTAAACCTATTTAGGGGTCACACAAGAACTTCTTATGAGCACAAGTACCAACGCAGAGGATCTTCAAGATCTTACTGCAAGGACCTCTTGAGGAGGCTTTCAACCGGATGTCCAGAAGATCTCCTCACAAGGACCTGTACCAGATCATGTAAGGACACCGAGAGGATTTCAGGACCTCTTCAAGAGCCCACAAGGACTTGTACAAGATCATGCAAAGGCCTCTAGCAGGAGCTGCCTGGGATCTGCACAAGATCTTCGCACAATGAAGTGTTAAAGACCGTGAACAAGATCTTCATGCCAGGACCCAAGGAGAATTTCACAAGATCGTCATAAAAAGGACCTGCTCCTGCTGGAGCGGGTCTTACAAGATCTTGACACAAGAACCTCCCAAAACCCTCTCCCACAACAGCTTTAATACAAACACCCCTAAGAGACGGCATCTGCAAGCTCCACACGCAAGGGCCTCTTGGAAAGGAGCCTGCCAAGATCTCCACAAGATCTTCTGTTCAGGACTTGTGCGGGATCATGCTAGGACCTCTTAGAGAGAAACGCAGCAGGATCTCCACAAGGCCTCGTTTTTTATGCGAGAATTTACATTCAAAATCGTGAAAATGCAGCAGGTCCAGAGATTGAGAAACCCGCGGCACACACTCTGCGTGAACCTGCGCCATCGAAATGCACATGGACATGTCACAAGAGCCATTTTTACGCAAGAATTTTCAAGAAAAATGCCGCGCCCCAAGAGCAGGAACTCCATTTTGTGCGAGCCTGCGCAGTCGAAATGCACATGAGCAAGTCACAAGAGCCATTTTATGCAAAAAATGCAAGACAAATGCCGCCGCTCAAGGTCGCAACGCGCAGTTTGCGTGAGGTTGGGTAATCGAAATGCACATGGGCAAGTGGCAAGAGCCATTGCGCGCGATAATTTGCAGGAAAAATGCCGCGCCCCAAGATCGCGACACACACGAGCCTGCGCAGTCGACGTGCACATGGACATGTCACAAGAGAGCTATTTTACACAAGAAATTTCAAGAAAAATGCCGCGCCCCAAGAACGGAAACCGTATTTTGTGCGAGCCTGCGCAGTCGAATGCACTTGGACATGTCGCAAAAGCAATTTTACAGGAAAAAAGCCGAAGCCAGATGGAGCACCCTGATCAAGCACCGGCCTCTACTTGTGGATAAACCTTTTGGGTAAGAAAAAGCAGCTCTACTTCGAGTGATCCCCACAGTGGCATGTCAGACAGCTGTTCAGATTCCAAGTGTGTAACTGTTCAGATTCCAAGTGTTGTTTAGGCATGTTCAAACATGCCATGCACACACACACACACACACACTAGACAAGAGTGGATCTTTTAAGAGATCCGATGGGAACTGAATCCCCTCACGTGCAAATGTGACGAAACAAACATCGACCTATGAAGTAGTATCCGAATACTGGGATGTACGCCGAGAGGACCATCACAATGGGAAACAGGTAATGGTAGATTCCAAAAAAGGATACCATCGAACGAAGAATAAATTCCGATCAGGTTCAGGAAACAGGGTGTGCAAGTAGTTGTGACATTCCCTGTCCGGTTCTTGGCTTAGCCGGTCGCCATACACACGCGATAACTGCAAAACGGAATAAGAAAATATATCGCAGATTCCGGTTCTTGGCTTCTTCGGGTGCCATGTCGGAAGAATGAAATCAAGACCCTAGAAATTCAAATTGAACTGATGCAAACACAGCACGGCGGCTAACAGAAACTGAAGTCAACAGTTCAACTTATCAAGAACAGGTACGTGATCGAGGCGTCCCTCAATCATATCCTGACGAATGGCTGGAGCTTCGTTGGATCAGGCCAGGCCAAACGTCCCTGATCCCCCTGCAATGTAGAAGAAAAAAAAGGAAAAAGGAGAGGTTTTACATCTATTCAGATGTTACACACACACACACACCCGGCCGGGACCGGGTAAACCCTGAAAGGCAAGAGGAAGAGAAAAGCGGACACAAACGACGGGCCAAGGCCGGAACAGCGCAGGGGGGGGAGGGAACGAACGGACCTCCAGAACAAACCTACACGGCGAAACGGACCTGACAAACACAGAGCACACACCTGAACCCCACAACACATTACCGAGGGGCACGGGGGAAGAATTAGGGACCGAATGGGGGACTAGTTGGTGACGACAGTGAAAGGGATTCAAATTCACTGCTAGTTTACAAAGTCGTGCGTTATTCCCTCAAAGGGACCGTGGTCAAGTCAAGCCACATGGGCATAAACGGCTGTTCAAGTTCAAGCGAATTAGATGCACGAAATGTTTTACCTCACCAGACAACCATCAAGAGAAAAGATCACCACACCTGGAAAGCGTATACCCGCCTTGCAACTTGCATGTTGTGAAATGTTTCAAAAGCTTGAGCAGCAGCAAAACAAACATGTTTCTGGTTGTTCGATACGGCTGCCAGTACACAGAAGGGCAGAATCACAGCGGTCTCCAGGGACAACAGGAACGGCAGGACATCATAAAAGGAGAAGAACGGAAAGGCCGACTGTTACACTTTACTTAGATGAATTACCAGGTTAAAAAGTGTGAATTCAGAAGTCAGGGCAGTCATCAGTCACCCTAAACAGGGTTGCCTCCAGTGGCTCCATGGCACCATGTCGGAGCCACCATGGATATTACACTAGACAAGAGTGGATCTTTTAAGAGATCCGATGGGAACTGAATCCCCTCACGTGCAAATGTGACGAAACAAACATCGACCTATGAAGTAGTATCCGAATACTGGGATGTAAGCCGAGAGGACCATCACAATGGGAAACAGATAATGGTAGATTCCAAAAAAGGATACCATCGAACGAAGAATAAATTCCGATCAGGTTCAGGAAACAGGGTGTGCAAGTAGTTGTGACATTCCCTGTCCGGTTCTTGGCTTAGCCGGTCGCCATACACACGCGATAACTGCAAAACGGAATAAGAAAATATATCGCAGATTCCGGTTCTTGGCTTCTTCGGGTGCCATGTCGGAAGAATGAAATCAAGACCCTAGAAATTCAAATTGAACTGATGCAAACACAGCACGGCGGCTAACAGAAACTGAAGTCAACAGTTCAACTTATCAAGAACAGGTACGTGATCGAGGCGTCCCTCAATCATATCCTGACAAATGGCTGGAGCTTCGTTGGATCAGGCCAGGCCAAACGTCCCTGATCCCCCTGCAATGTAGAAGAAAAAAAAGGAAAAAGGAGAGGTTTTACATTATTCAGATGTTACACACACACACACTTACACACACTTACACACACTTACACACACACACACACTAGACAAGAATGGATCTTTGAATAGATCCGTCAGGAACTGAGTCCTGAAACATGTAATGAAATTGTTTTTTGGGGTTCTTGGCTTAGCCCCTTGCCACGTCAGTATAAATCACAGGAGTCATTGACATATAAACCAACAGCATTAAGAGTATAAAGAGCACGTCAGTAAAAATCACATGAGTCTTTGACATATAAATATAAACCAGCAGCGTAAAAAATATAAAAGGTGCAGGTACGTCAGTGCTGGCCGGGCACTGATATCACGTCCACTTGGTGCGGTCTTTGTTAGATGAGGCACACCAAGGGACCCTCATCCACCTGCGTTTTGAGAAAGGGAGAGGAAAGAAGGAAGAAAAAGGGAAACAGTTTTACATCTATTTAGATGTTACACACACACACACCCGGCCGGAGCCGGGCCAACCCTGAAAGGCAAGAGGAAGAAAAAGGCGGACACGACGACGGGCAAAAGGCCAGAACAGCGCAGGGGCGGAAGGGAACGAACGGACCTCCAGAACAAACCTACACGGCGAAACGGGCCTGACCAAAAACAGAGCACACACCTAAACCCCACGACACATTACGGAGAGGCACGCGGGGAGAATTAGGGACCAAATGGGGGACTAGTTGGTAACAAGTGAAAAAACAAAACAATTGATCTAAAAAGGACTCAGTTCCGCCTATCCTAGAGGTCGTGCGTTACTCCCCTTCGGGAACGTGGTCAGGTCGTGCCCGAAGGCATTTAACGGCTGTACGAGTTCCAACGAATTAGATGCACAATACGTTTGACCTCAAAAGAACCATCAAAAGAAAGAAGACCACACCTGGAAAGCATGTGCCTGCCTGCAACATCATTCATGGTCATGTTTCACTTCAAAAGCTGGAGCTGCAGTGGTCAAAAAAGGAGTTTCTGGTTGTTCAGCACGGCTTCCAACTCGAAGGAATGAAGGTTCCAAGGGTTCACAAAGGACAGCGGGAGCCGCAGGACACCACAAAAGGGCTGATAAACGAAAGGCCATCTGTTTCCCCTTTACTAGACGAATTACCAATTGAAAAATGTCAATTCCGAAATCCAGTCAGCCGACAGTCACTCTAAAAAGGGTTGCCTCCATTGGCTCCATGGCACCATGTCGGAGCCACCATGGATATTACACTAGACAAGAATGGATCTTTGAATAGATCCGTCAGGAACTGAGTCCTGAAACATGCAATGAAATTGTTTTTTGGGGTTCTTGGCTTAGCTCCTTGCCACGTCAGTATAAATCACAGGAGTCATTGACATATAAACCAACAGCATTAAGAGTATAAAGAGCACGTCAGTAAAAATCACAGGAGTCTTTGACATATAAGTATAAACCAGCAGCGTAAAAAATATAAAGGTGCAGGTACGTCAGTGCTGGCCGGGCACTGATATCACGTCCACTTGGTGCGGTCTTTGTTAGATGAGGCACACCAAGGGACCCTCATCCCCCTGCGTTTTTAGAAAGGGAGAGGAAAGAAGGAAGAAAAAGGGAAATCGTTTTACATCTATTTAGATGTTACACACACACCACACACACATACACACACACTTTACCTACCGCTGACATGACCGGATCAATGCACAAAATAGCTCGGCAAAATTCAACAATGGCCTGCTGACACGTTTGCGCATCTGATCCTGGAAATTGAAAGTATCTCACATATATTCTGACATGTTTATTGCAATCCATTCCGACACTCTATCTGGCAACCATTTTGACTTTCTGTCTGTCACCTATTCTGACCGACTTTCTGCCACATATTCTGGCATATGTTCTGCCATTCTATCTGCCATATCTTCTGACATACTTTCTGGCATCTATTCTGACATTCTTTCTGGCACCTATTGTGAAGTTATTTTTCTGGCCATTCTATCTGGCAGTCTTTCTGCCATTCTTTCTGACATTCTTTCTGGCATTCTTTCTGGCATCCCATCTGGCATCTATTCTAACATTCTATCTGGCACCCTTGCTGGCATATATTCTATTCTGACATGCTATCTGGCATTCTATCTGACATATAGATATATATAGTCATATAGTATAATTATTGGCAGTGGCATGTATCTGACATATTTTCTGACATTCTATCCGGCACATATTCTGACATTCGATGTGGCATTTGTTGACACATATTCTCACATTCTATCTGGCATTCTACTTTCTGGTCTCTGTTGGGGCCCAGGCGTGCCCACAGCATCCGGAGCTGGCGATGCTCGAATATGGCGTTCGGTTCCAGGCATATCCGGAGCTGGGGATCTGGTGGAGTCCAGTGGGTCCAGGCGTGCCCCATAGCATCGGAGCTGGCGATATGGTGTCCGGTGCTCACTCCAATGCAGCAAGGAGATAGACCTGATGGCAACGAGTGAAGCAAGGAGGAAGGAAGGAAGGAAGGAAGAAGGGAAGGAGGGAGGGAGGAAGGAAGGAAGGAAGGAGTTGCACCTTTGTTAAACCTTGGAGACCCTCACCTGGCAGGCGGGGAACAAAACAATCAATTCTTCCTCAGTTTTTGATGTGTTTCCGTTTTTTTTGGGGGGTGTTGGTTGTCTTATTTTGTTGTTGTTCTTGGTTTTCTGGTTTGTGTTTTTCTTGTGTGCTCTGATGGCTTTGATTTCCCTTGTTGTTTTTCAACCTTCTGTAGAAAACCCCCGTATACGTGTTGTTGGACTCTTAAAACGAGACGGCAACATGGCCCGGAAGACAGAAGAAGGGAGGAGAGGAGAAGATAAAACAAAAACATGTGATGAACAATGAATGGATGCATGGATGGTTCGATGGATGGATGGATGGATGGATGGATGAATGAATGAATGAATGAATGAACGAACGAACGAATGATTGAATGAATGAATGAACGAACGAATGAATGATTGAATGAATGATTGAATGAATGAATGAATGAATGGGTGAATGAACGAATGAATTGAATGAATGAACAAACAAATATGATGATGATGATGATGATGGCGGTGATGATGATGATGAAAAATGATGTCAACATGATGCAAAAAATGTGCAGTTGGTGATGTAGTTGCCCGTGATGCAGGTGATGTTGATGATGATGTTGGGAAGAAATAAAACAGATGGTTGGCAAATGTTCTTTGAGAAAAGCCCTTTGCAGGAGCTTTTGCGTATGAACAAAATAAACGAATGAACAAAGAAATGAACGTGATAAAGAACATCACATATACATACTCATGAATATGTTCTTACTGTAACGGAGAACAACTTTAACTACCCCAGTTGGTAACTCCGGAGCTGGTAGTTGGCATTAGTTGACTATTGGCATGAATTCGGCCAAACAAGCGCCAACCTCGTGTCACTCGTGTCCATTAGTCAAGTTGCTCGTCGCCCAGTTTGCTGAAAAGTTCTCGCAATTTTTGTAAATGCGACTCCTGTCTGCGGGAAGCGTACCGCTGCTGCCCAAGAAAACATCAACACATTGGTGGAAAATCAGTGGGGCAGCGAAACATGCAAACTCTGCACAAAAATCGCTGGCAGCGGCGGTGACCCTTGTGCAATGCAATGATTGGGCGCACAACACTGTCACATCCAAACAATTCGAATGTATGCGTGCTTTTACACCGTGGTTTTCCACTAATTAAAGCACCAATCAAAATCCTCTTCGGTAGCCCTCGTCGGCAACCATTTTCCATTCGGCCAACAGCAACATAACAGGTGGGCGCCAACAACTTGAAGGTCTACAGTGGCGACATTCATGTCTGGCTTAAGAGCTGCTTTCAACACCCACACAATATCAAATTGCTTGGCGCCTTGTTGTCAAGCATGTTTTGGACCACGTTTGCATGGTCGTTCTGCGCGCTCTCTATAGCCTCCGTGCTGTCGAGCCGGGTCTGCAAAATTCATTTGCTGCGTTTTCCGGATACTGTATGCACATTTAGTTCTCCTATCTATCATGTTTTTTCTATCACTCTATTGTCCTGTCTATCTGTCTATATTTCTTTCTACTATATACAGTATCTATCTTGTAATCGCTCTTTTAATCAATCAATCTATACATTATTTATATCTATAATAGTCTATAGTCTATAGATCTTTCCCAATCTATGTTGATGTGTGCTGCATCAATCATCAATAAAAAAGAAAGCATACATACACACATCTTTACAAATACACAAATATGTATATATATATACACTACACATATCTTGTACAGTACTATATTGAAAAATTGATGTAAATCATATGCAGGGAAACATATCATATGACTGACAGAACTCCTTTGCAAACCAAGAAACGCTTTGGCAAAATACGGCAGTAACTACGTTTAAAACCTCAGTTTGCACGGATGTTAGCATGCAAAAGCGAAAGGGGGCTGGAGGACCCAAAGCACAAGAATAGAAGCATGATAGAAATGAAATGAAGGTGGCTCAAACATTGCACTGATTGGTTCAGTTCCACTGTATCGCTTCAGAATTGTTTCCAAGCCTTAAAAGGGGCGAGAATGATTAAGCCCCTTCTCTCCAACACAAAAGAAGGTGATACCACCACCTAGCCTGTAGTCTAACCTGCTGCGGTGGAAATTTGACGGATGACACATACATGACAAACTACTTTTCCAATGCAAGTCTGCATCAACCACAAAATATCATCCGGGAAAAAATGGCCAAAAGGTTGCTAGAAGGTCGTTGGAGCAACGGCAAAGTACGTGAAAGCCTCAGCCGTCACACAGCCCATTGCCGTCGCCAACATGTGCAAAAATGTAAAGGCCCCAACATTAGTACAGTATGGCCCCAAGGCATCCCAATTTTTGATCAGGCAGTCAATACTCAACAATGCAGGAGCATGCTGTAAGCATCGGCAATGCATGCAACTTGCAAGACCAAGGCGCGATGTAAAACAGATAGAGGAATGTCCTCAGATATAATAATGCTAGGTTGATTGAAAAATGACATTTTCTGAGCACAAAATCATGAGATGACGAAAATTATCTAAACCTATCTAAACACCAGCGACATAGCCAGAGCCAAGTATCCACCAACCTGAGATCTCCTTCAGAGTGCTGATGGGCTCCTCCCAGCTCACTCCGCCTGCAATGCTCATAAATAATGTCCTTGGAAGCCAACGGCAAAGGCAAAGGACACAACATCCAGCATCGTGATTCTGATTTGCCGAACATATATCAGAAATTATCAGAACCTTTTCCCCCCAAACAATCACGGCATATTCACGGCACCTTGTACTCCCGCTTTCTTCCTCCATTGCCCTGTTGCTTTGAGCCGGTATGTCATCTTGCCTGTCCTGCCAGGGCCTTGTCACAATGAGGTTTTGGCCAATACCGGTTTTGTGGCCGAGTTACAACATTGTCTCTATCAAGGAATCAAAATATATTTTGCTGGCAGCCATCTCTCCTTGGGTCAAGCTGGGACAGCACCTACAAGAGGTGGGATACAAAGCATTGGTTGAAGAACGTTCAAATTGTCACGATTGTCCCTGGCACTGTATCTTGAACTTGGACGAGTCATCACAAAGATTCATGGTGAGCGATGGTGAGCCCGTATATGAAATTCTCATTGCTAGCAAGGCGTCTTTCCGGCAAATATTGATTGTCCATCACGTAGTCATTCACCTGATCGTATTGAAGCTGAAGTTTCAGGCGGCATGGTAGGATGCATTTCGAACCTTCCAGAATATAGTAAACATGGAAACGTACCGCACAACTGAACCGACACAATTTCAAATGAACATTTAATTACCGGTAAGAAATTGATTTCCCACAGGCAAACTCTGGCATACTTTGACAATGATGCAAGAAACCATGCTGATGGGATGGGGGAAGATCTACCGACTGTGACGAATTGAAGGCGGGATGCAATTCGGCATTACGGCATGGAACTGATCGCGGTAATCAAATTGCGCTGTACTGGCGACGGGCAACTTATATAATATATACAGTATATGTATGTATATGTCTGAGAATTATAGCCTACTTTGTTCAATGCAGCATACCATACCAATCACACGGCAGTATTTTGGGCATAAATAGGGTGGCCGTACTAGTTTTGAATTCCGCCTATCGAACTTCTTTCATGAATCGGCGTTCCCAACCCGCGCATTCCACTACACGGCCAAGAAATGCCAAGATGCAGCTTGGACAAAAAGTACAGCAAAAACATAAACCTCAGGTTTTTGCTGTAGTTACACTTGCCACCCCGTATATACGTTGGGGTGATTCGAGCGCGTAAAGGTTCCCAAAATAAATCGCAGTGAAGGGGCGTTTTCGCCATGTGCAGCACAAATCTGGCCGCAACTTCCAGCACAAATACGCACTTTCAAGTGCAACTGCCCGCGTTGTCTTCATACATCGAACTTGTCAATCTCCAATAAGTAGAAATAAGTAGAAAAAATCAAATAAGTAGGTACATGAAAGTAGCAATTGAAGGCCCAGGAACAATCAGCAGAAGCAACAGCATTGCCCACAGCAAATGTTTCAAGGTATGGAGCACCGATTGCACAATTTTCCTCCAAACAAGTTCGGCTAGGGATGAACAAACGCACGCTCAGTTTTTAGTGGAGCATGGTCATTGTTTTTCCCAAAAACCAAGATTATGAGTAGAGCACACATTCCAAAAAACACATGCCAAACACACTCATGACCACTCATGCTGCAATGTTGCAAATATCATCACAAGACACCAGCTGTCCACCGGATAAAATACTGAAGGAACGCTGCTGCAAAAAATGTTTCGTCTGCAAAAAAAAACGATCAGCTGGCTTTCGGCTGCAATGCTTGCACAAGGAAAGTGCTGTCCTCAGGGCCATGACAAATCGGAATATCCTTACCAGCTGGGCCGTCTTTAAGATTCGCGTCAGCCGAATGATGCGAAAAGCCTGAGAAAGCAGCAACGCGTTCAAACATAAGCAATGGATGTTGGCCTGTCTGGAAGTCAAACACGACAATGGCATCAGCACCACCACCACCACCGCCGCCGCCGCCGCCACCACCACCACCACCACCAGCAGCAGCAGCAGCAGTATAGGCCACCACCACGCCACCAGCACATACATCATCAACGCCAACACCAACATCAGTTTAAACGTCGTCGTCGTCGTCATCATCATCACCATCATCAAGCTCATAGTCAAGATCATCATCAGATCATCATCAGATCATTGCCAAAACATATCACCAAATCATCATAGATCATCCTTACAGCCAGCCAGCCAGCCTGCCAGCCAGCCCACCATCCAGCCACCCTACATCCTTCATCCAACGACTGTGGCCATCGCTGTCGTCATTGTCAACAGCAGCATCATCATTAATTACCAGCATCATCACCATCCATCGTTCTTCACCCATCGTTGTCATTGTTCATCCATCATCTACCATAATCATCATCATCATCGTCGTCGTCGTCGTCATCATCATCATCATCATATCATCTTCATCATCGTCATCACCGTCATCATCCTCAGGTCACCAACTCACCAACATCATCGTTGTCTTCCTCGTCGTCATCCCTCCTCCGCATATCCCTCATTCGTAACTGTTGTCACCGCAGTCGTTGCCATCATCAGTATTATTGCCATGGTCATCGTTACAATTTACATCGTTGTCGTCGTGCTCGGCGTAGCAGCACGGAATGCAAAATGGGTAGCCAGCAGCATTCAGAATCAAGACTCAGCGGTGCAAGTATGTATTTATATATATACATATAATTACATTTACATATATTCATTTTTTTAATATCTATTTATCTATATTATTTTTTATTTATTTATTTAATCATTTAATTATCTATCCGTCTATTAAAATTTGTACATATACACTTGTTTAACTGCCCTGCCTAATACCGCTCCAACTCCAATCCTTGCCCGCGCCTTGAGGCTGGAGAGGCCACTGATGCTGGTATCGCCTGAGTCTTGAGCCTCGCGGTGGCCAATGAGCTGCGATGACCACTCCGGTGCAATAGGCCCCTACAATCACGCACAGCTGCCGTAGCCACTCGGAAGTTTTAGATGCGGAATGGTAGTTGCCATTGGAGGGATCCTGGCGCGACCTTGTAAACTGCACCGCGTTTGGGCCGGAAGCGAACACCTAACTATTTCCGGGAGTGGCCACCGGCTTGGTTGTTTGTGGCAGGCGCTTGGCGGTTGATATAGAGCCCTTGAAAAACGTGCTAAATACTTGCAATTGCTTACGCATGTGATGCTACGCCGTCAGATCACTTCCAGCATATGATGCTACACTCTGAATTTTCCAAAGTAACTTCCACCACGTGCTTGATGCCACACTCTAGCTTCAAGCACTTCGCTTGATGCTAAATATGCCGTGAACTTTCTCAAATAGCTTCCAGCACTCTCTTGAGCTTCGCTCTGCGCTTTGTCAAGTACCTTCCAGCACGCTCTTCATACTTCGGGCTTAGCTTTGTCAACAAACTTCCTGGTACTACGCTCTACGCTCCTCAAGCAACTTCCAACAGGCTTTTGGTGCTTCGCTCTATACTTTCACTTATATACCTTCCAGCACTCTCTTGACGCTATGGAGTTTTGTCAAGCAACTTCACCACACTTGATTTGACACTACGCTTTTTAATTTCCCAAACAACTTCCCAAACACTCTTGCTGACTCTTGCTGCTACTCTCAGAACTTTCTCAAGTAGCTGCCAACAAGCTCTTGATGCTACGCCCTGAACTTTCTCAAGTAATGTCCAACACGCCCTTGATGCTACGTTCCTACCTTTTTCGAGCTTCCGAAGCGCTCTTGATGCCACACCCTTAACTTCAACAAATTTCTTCCAACACGCTCTGAAAGCTTGAGATGCAACATTCTATTTTTCACATTCTTGCAATAAACATGGCGATGTCGCTGAAAGAAAATGACAATTGCCACATTTTTGGTCCCAACCCTAGGAAATCAAGAAACCAGATTCGGTCACCCTTCCGAGCATGCTTGACTGGCGAGTCACCCGAAGTGATTGACAGACTGCTTTGGGCCTGGCCTGGATCGTGAAGATGATGCGCAGCACAATCTCCCAAATCGAAGAAGCCACGACAACTATGTCCAGAACAGTCCACATGCAATCTTCAGAGAACATCATGCCGCACAGGCCTGTTCAAAGGAGATTGCAAAGCTAACTGCACGTGTCTTAACCTTACCACACAAAAAATTACGCGAACCTTTTGTATCTGAAGCTGAAGGTGGTATGAGAAATCTTACCCTCAGCCCTGATCCTCTGGAGCAATGGACTTGTAAAGCGATGGCAAGTCATTGCTGAACAACATGTCTGGAATAGTGAACACAGCCTTTGAATAGGCAAAACCTGAAGCCTTTCGCCAGGGTTCTTCAAAAAAACTGCCATCGACCAAAAAGTTTCAACATGCACCGGAAGCCCCCGGACCCCCTGTCTCAATGTTGCTAACCATCGCTTCTCAATGGCCGGAGCAAGAATGGCTGTTTTGTTGACGGCTCCGCCAAGCACTGCTGTCACACAACATTGAAAATGGGGGACCCGGGGTGTCTAACTCTCCTCGCCAGACTTCAAGTTGGTTGGCTGTTTTTTTAAAGAACCTGGTGTTGACATAGCTCCGGCACTCTGTTTAACACATGCACACACGCCCACACTCCCTTTCACGTCTCTTAGCACATCCACCACACAAGTTCAAAATATCTGGTCTAAAAGGCAAAGAAGTCATGATTGGAATTCAATTTAAATTCAGCTACAATGCTGTTGGGTTTCTCTTGTCTCAAGCATCTTGACAAACACACAATGTTGGGCAAACAGAGCAACTCCAACTCAACATAAACCCGGAACACCTTGACACGAATTCGTGAGGTCACAGTTCTGGCACTTTCATCACCAAATCCCACAAAATCACGCTTACACACAGCCACAGAACCGCTAAAATACTTCTGGCCCAAATGCCCCGCAGGTTTCGACGCTACGTTCGTCTCCTCCAAACATCCTATTCAGACTGCACGATATGATTATGGATTGGCCCCATGTACCCTCATAGTACTCCCCTCCCCCATCCCCCCCAACAGTTGAGTGCGAGTGGATCACAAGGAGGTCTTAAATCTAGAGAAGTCTTGCCTGAAAAATATCACATGGATCTTAGGACTTTAAACTTCAATTCATTGTCGTTTGTCGGCTTTTCGGGTGAAGGCGAAAATCTTCGAGGGGGATCATGTCTTGTCTTTCATTTTATTTTATATAATTATTCCTTCCTTTGTTTCCTTATTCTTTTCTTCTTTCTTTCCTTTCTTTCTTTTCTGTCTTACTTTCCTATTTGTTTTTTTTCTCCTCCCTTTTTTCTTGTTTCCTTTCATTCCTGCTTCTTCCTCTTCTTGTTCTTTGAAAGCGTTCTTTGGAAAACGGTGCGGAGATGCACAAAATGATATACAAAAAGCAGCCGAACAGGAGTGGTGTTTCAAGCAATTAATGATCTAGAAGGTCCTTGACGCTGTTCAATACCACAACAGCATTGCAGCTATTCAGCATCTGGGTGGTTCGTGGGTGACCTCCTTGAAAAAGGTCGTTGGCTTTAATCTTGAGCGCAGCAAAGGAATTGATTCCTGTGGAACCTTGGCATTCTTTGGAAAAGTGTGGTATCATAGTGCAAAGTAAGATACGAAAGCAGTCGGAAAGGAGCGGTGGCTTTTCCCCGTGATAAACCTCTCAGGGAGGTCCTCCTGAACAAATCCGTTTTGGGAAAAACTTCCCACCATTCACTCCCAGGGGCACTTTTTACTTTTCCCATCTAAATTAAGTATTTGGAAAACTTGCCCCAGTTCACCCTTATCCCATTAATCAGTGTAGACTATATTATGGTACAACCAAAAACAGTTCCTTCTCTTGGATTCTCCAAAATATTTGGAAGCCCCAAAGAAACTTAATGTGACATCACGCGACACTTGTCTAGCCCATCTGACCTCCAACAGCAAATCGAAGCCCAAGTTCCAGGGTGAACAGCGCTGTAAATGTGTACCTTGAAACTAACACGGATGTGCTGCAGCCACCCTTGAGATCATTATTTTCAACGATGCATAAGGAAAAACAAACACGAATAGTATCCAGAAACATCCCAAAAATCCAAAAAGGTGTCGGGTAACCAACAAATACACTATGACACTATGATTGCAGTACCAGTAGTACCGCGCAAAGCCGGGGCGGAAGTTTCAAAGATAGGACATCTATAGGAAGTGTTGGGTTGCTTTACAGGAGCAGCAGAGCAAGCTGCTGACGGATCAACAGGTGGTTGGAAGTCCTCCGAGAATGAAGTGTTTTTAACATTTTGACTTCGAAATGTGCTTCGCACCACAGCCCGCCGCAAGGTTGACCTCTCATCCGGCCAAATGCCCGCCGCTTTAGGGAGCCTTACTTTCCATCCTCCGGCGCCACAAAACATTGGCAGAACACAGTGTTTCGCGACTTTTCTGCCTTTTCTCGCATTTTGATCTTCTTTCTTCTTGCTCTCTCTTTTCTGACTTTTCCCTCCACTGTTGCTGCATCTGTCCATATGTCGGAAGTTTGACTTCTAAACTTCCTTCGCTGATCAAACATGATCACTTGCACGCAGAAAAATACAAAACCTCCATTCTTTCACCAGGCACTGCGCGATATCCATGCCAATGGGCCGTGATGTCCTCAGTGCTGTGATGTGCTGAGAGAGGAATGACAATGAAGCGCAATGCCCAGCTTCACTGGCTACAAGAACACAAGGCAATTCTTCGGAAACTTTTTCCAGAAACCAATCATCTCAAAGAATACCTGAATATCCTACCCAATGTATCATTCATCCACCCATTCATCAACTTGATTCTTTCTCCACCAAAGTTGTCCAAATATGTCCCAGCAGCGGATCCTGGATACCCATCTCCACATCAAGACCGACGAAAACCTGATTTCACTGCAATGTGCAGTTATTGGGATACACCGCAATATCATAGGGATATCTATAAATTCCTCTGCTCGACTTGTTCCATGTACTATGATTTACTACGTGCATAGCATAGAGTGTCTTAAAAATGTTGGAACTTGAGTAAGCTTGGCCTGCTCGTGCACTACAGGCGGATGCTATTGATGGTCTTGATGTCTGGAATCTGTACAGTCGGAAAGGGCCAGAAAAAATTGCCCTTTCCTCTTTGCCAGAGCTCCTTGGGGGGAGCAATCACCCTGCAATTTGGTCTCCGAAGATCCTATACAATGCTGCCCCGCGGTTTCTGATGAACACATCATACAAAGTACAACCAGCACTTTGGCAATGCACAACACATAGAAGGTGTTCTTGTAAAATCTCGCCGAGTCACTGCATTTGTAGTCACCACTGTTGCCTGGGTACACAACTTCACCCCCACAAGGCATGATTTAATAAAACACAGATTTAATAAAACGCATATAACATATAATAACATAATGTAATATAACATACATGAATAATAAATAAATAAACAAACAAATAAATACATGCATACATACATAAATAAATGAATAAATTATTAATTAAATAAATATATATATATATATACATATGTACATATATACATATGTAAAAATATGTATATTATGATATATATCCCCCTGAAAAGTCTACCTTTTTTGTGCTTTTGGGAGGGTAGCAGTATTCCAGCTGGACTAGAGTGGTTGTAATGCGCAATCTTCAATCCGGAAATGGAAGCTTCTGAAGTCAGGGGCAGGCTGCAGTCTTCAGTCATCAACCCAGACATGGAAGCTTCTGAAGTACCGGGTGGGCTGCAATCTTCAGTCATCAAAAAGCAAAAATACAGTTTTCAATGAGAAACCTCAGACTCAGCGTTCCAATCTGGAAGAGGGTCAGGAACACCAATGTCACTGAGGTCCAAGGAGTCTGCTGCATTGAGCCTCTCAGCCTGAGAAGGAAATAATTGACAAACCATCAAAGGAAGCAACCTAAAGACTATGTTGAAGCGGTTGCTTGCCCCAAAGCTGAAGTTAAAACACACTAATTCAAGCTGAGCAACCTTGACTCTGAGGCCATTTCTCCTGGACAAAGCAGCTAAGTAGCGTTGCTTAGCCATGCTCCAGGGTGAGCTGTGAGTGACCAAGTGCTCAGGGTCAAATCGGTCTGAGAGGCAAACACTGAGGCCAGCTCAGGGCGCAGTGTGTTCTCAACCAGCAGCATCTCCTCAGAAAGCTCATCCTCAGATGCCTGAGTGTTGTAGATGGCCTGAGATTGTTTGGCATCCCAGCATGGGAAAAGATATTGCTGAAGTTACGCTTTCAAAAAATGAGGAAAAGCAAAATGGCAAATAGAAAAAAATACCAGCACAAAACAATTGCCATTGATTAATTATACTGAGTGCTCAGGATGGCTGTTTCCAGCAGCAAGTCCCATTCCAGTGCTAAGTCCCCAGTTGCTGAAACATTCTTAGGTGAAACAACATGTTTAATTAAGTAGCTATTTTGTTGATTACTAAGCACCCAGACCTTACCTTAAAGCCTTAAATAAATTAATCAATTAATTACACCAAAAAACACAAAACTGACCTTATCCTTGACCAAGACACAATGCCAAGCACCTGAGAGCATGTTTTCATGCCACTGAGGAAGCTCCACTTCTGAGTATTGAGGAATTCCAGATACCCCACATCCCTTCAGAGCTGCACACTTTTTTTTGTTCCTTCAAGCTGCACGGATTGCCTCTGAGTGCAGGTTTAAAAGCACACTGAGCATTCAATCTCGGGCTTTTGGGGCTGAGGCTACTTTCACTCAGCTGCCTGCCTCTCCTCAGTGACCTCAGCCTGTGGCATCTCCTGATCCCTCTCAGGGCTTGGCTGCAATCCAGGATTGAAGATTGAAGATTCTCCAGGACTCTTCTTGGAGAATCTTCAGTCCAGGATTGAAGATTGAAGATTCTCCAGGACTCTTGTTGGTAAATCTTCACTCCAGGATTCAAGATTGAAGATTCCCCAGGACTCTTCTCCTGTGGCATCTCCTCATCTTCAGGCATCTCCTGATCCCTCTCAGGAAATGGATGCAATCCAGAGAGAGTCTTTACGGACCACACCCTAGCTCATCCCCTTAACTGCAGGGGTGGGGTAGTGGCCCGCCTGTCCGCCTAGTGTTGCACCCGGGTATTGAACCCGGGTCTTGCAATCCAGGGTTGAAGATTGAAGATTGAAGATTCTCCAGGACTCTTCTTGGAGAATCTTCCGTCCAGGATTGAAGATTGAAGATTCTCCAGGACTCTTGTTGGGGAATCTTCAATCCAGGAGAGAACCTTTCATATTGAATCCTCAGTCTTGGACTTGGACTGAAGATTCTCCAAGAAGAGTCCTGGAGAATCTTCAATCTTCAATCTTCAATCCTGAATTGAAGATTCCCAAGTCTGAACTCAAGTCTGAACATCAAGTCTGAACTTCAAGTCTGAACATCAAGTCTGAATCTCAAGTCTGAACATCAGGTCTGAACTTCACAGTTCGAGTAACGTAATTGTGTGCGCTAGTCAATTTCAAGTCTTTTCTTTAAGGTGTATTTGCATATAGCATATGTATTTATGTATGGCACCCCCAGACCAAGTAAATGAACCTTAAAACGGTAGACTCTTGGGGGGGTATACATATATATATATATATATTAAAACTATTATATATATATATTATACATAAGGCACAACATGTCCAGCCATCATTGCATACGCCGGAAAGTGCCAAACCCACAAGAAGTATGAAGAAATCTGATCCGATAGATTGTGAAGGAATCTGGAGGAAGCTGAGCTGCAAAGAAAATATCGAAGAGCGGATGTTGCACAATCTCTCTGAGCAGAGCAGAGCAGGATTTCCTCCCAGCGAGCTCCACTCGAATCATGTCCTATGCAGTGGACATATGCTGGTGGCGGCGTGGAGTACCCATGTTGCGTGTAAGAAAAAACTGTAAAGTGGCATAAACAAATCGGGCTATGGGCATTCTATGGGCGTTGTATGGCGTGGTTTCAATCCCTACAGCCTTGCTATCTTGATGCAGCCTCAATATGTTTCCAACTGTTTTATACAATACATTTCAACACCATGTGACCATATGTTTAGAAAACCTTGCTGCATTTCAATTGCGGTTGAAGCTCTCATCCCCCTGGATTTAAAAAGGAATCGAAAGGATGAGGAGCCATATCCATCCATATCCTGGATAGTCGCTGCCCTCATGACCCGGAACGCAATGGTATATGCGTTGTGCTAGGAAATCTTGGGTCCCTGAACTGCAGTGGCCATGTCTTGGCTTTTCTTAGCAGCGGGGGGCCAGGGCCATGGGAAAACACAACGAAGGTTGAAACTTCCCAGTGAGAAACTTCTGAGTTGCACTTTTGAAAAAATAAAACTTCTGAATAAGAAATCTCTGAGTTACAAACGTTCTTCTTCTTTCTTCTTCTTGCTCTTCTTCTCCTGCTTTTGCTGCTTCTTTCGTGTCTTCTTGCTGCCTCCTCCTCCTCCTTCTCCTTCATGTTTGCTATATTATTCTTGTTCTTAATGATTCTACGTGTTTTTTCTTTTTCTATGATTTCTTTTTTTCTTCTCCATCGTCGTCGTCGTCGTCGTGGTGGTGGTTGTGGTTGTGGTTGTGGTTGTGGATGTGGTTGTTGTTGTTGTTGTTGTGGTTGTTGTGGTTGTTGTGGTTGTTGTTGCGCCTGTGGTTGTGTTGTTGTGTTGTGTTGTGTTGCGTTGTGTTGTGTTGTGCTGTGTTGTGTTGTGTTGTGATGTGATGTGTTGTGTTGTGTTGTGTTGTGCTGTGCTGTGCTGTGCTGTGTTGTGTTGTTGTGGTGTTGTTGTTGTTGCTGGTGGTGGTGGTGGTTTGCTGTTTGTTGTTTGTTGTTGTTGTTTGTTGATGTTGTTGGTTGTTGTTGGTTGTTGTTGGTTGATGTAGGTTGTTGTTGGTTGTTGTTGGTTGTTGTTGGTTGTTGGTTGTTGTTGTTGGTTGTTGTTGGTTGTTGTTGGTTGTTGTTGGTTGTTGTTGGTTGTTGTCGTTGTCGTTGTCGTTGTCGTTGTTGGTTGCGGTTGCGGTTGCGGTTGCGGTTGCGGTTGCGGTTGCGGTTGCGGTTGCGGTTGCGGTTGCGGTTGCGGTTGTGGTTGTGGTTGTGGTTGTTGTTGTTGTTGTTGCTGTTGTTGTTGCTGTTGCTGCTGTTGTTGTTGTTGCTGGTGGTGGTGGTGGTGGTGGTGTCGTCGTCATTGTGTTCGCTGTTTTGTGGGTGTCTTTGGTGGTTGTTGTCGTTGCTGGTGGTGGTGGCAGCGGCGGTGGTGATTCTGTTTCTCTTGCTTCTGCCTGAGCCTGGCGTTCATTGTTTTAGTATGTTTTAGTCTTGCTATTGCTGCTGCTACTGTTGTAGTTGTTGTTATTGTTGATCTTGGTACTGTTGGTGCTGCGTTTCTTGAGCCTTGTTGGTCTTGCTGGTACTAGTGTTGAAGCTGGTTCTGTTGGGACGTCGCCTCACTGGAGGGTAACTCAGAAGTTTCTCGCTGGGAAGTTTCAACCGTTGTTGTGTTGTCCCATGGCCTCCGCTGCTAAGAAAAGCCAAGATGATCAAGATGTGGTCAAATTGTTGGAAAATTAACTGGGACACCGGCTAGAGTCCTAGACGCTCTTCGTGGACCTGTGAACGAGATCATGCTTCAAGCCTTGTGACATGTTCGACTCTCTACACCCCGGAGCCCTGAATAGCTTTTAGCTTCATGATCCAAAGCAGTCTCTGCCGGGTCCTTCTTGGAATACACCTCCCTGACATGTGAAGTGTGGGCAGACAGCGCGTCGTGCTTTGCTTCCATGTCTTCTTTGGAATGGCCTCATGACATTTGAAACCAGCTGCGATGGCTTGAAACTGAGGTCTTCGCACGCAAAAACACAGAGTTGTGTGACTCAAGTAGAGGAAATCCAAGCCATTAAGGTCCATTAAGGAATCCAGGAAGTCCTGGTATAGTCTATATATTCAAATCCACTCATCAGCCATTCAGTAACAAGTGTCAAAAGATGGAAGAGGCCAGTTCCCGGCATGTAATAATAGAAGCCTGTAGAAGCCAAGGTGCTCTTAAACATGTTTGGCTTCCTGCTCATCATTGAGAGTCCTCCAAACACGCCCGACATGCTCCAAGATGACAAAAGACCTGCCAATCGCATGCGTTTTTCCATCATCCAAACCCAAGATGTGAAACTTCCACACAAAGCTCTTGTTACTAATCAATGGTCATGATCCTAATATATCCTAATGCAGCATGATGAGATTCGTCTGATCCCCCGTCAGGTCAAATGAAAAACGTGACACTAGCTTCAGCGGACTGCCATAGACCACTGCTGAGTGAACCCGACAAAGCATCCACATGAAACTCATGTGATTTATATATATATATAATTATATTTTATACAGCTATAATCTTATATCATGCTACCCATGGGATTCGAAGACCGCTCTACATGGTCTACTTATTATAAGTATATGGACGACATCCAGCATTTGCCTCACACAACCTACTGGACCCGGCACGATCGCTTTCAGTTGAAGATCATTTTTCTAGTTCAGGCTTTTCTTACGCAGTCAGGAGACCTTTCGGCAGTGAAAGGGTTTGAGCTCAAGGGATCCAGCAGAACTTGCATTGGTATTCTGTGCATCTGAAAAACCTGGATGGCTTGTACTCTTTGTATGGCCAGCTTGAGACAAGAGTGACAAGAGCTGCATACAGGGTAATTACCATTGGCGTACCATATCAACTGCATATCGAATGAGCTCGAAACGATTTGGCCTTCGCATTTTGCGAATGGCCACGAGGTACGGGGGGAACTTTTGCCCCAGGTTCAGCACAGTCATGGAGTTTTTATACTTGATGGGAGGCAAACAGCTGGTTTAGTAGATTTGTTTAATTTTGTTTACCTTGTTTGGCAGTGTTTGGCCAGTATCTGGATCCATTTGCCAAATGGAAGTAGATGTGGTGTTTCGGCAAATGAAATGCGAAACAGCGGCATGCGTTGCCAATACCCTCATCAGCTTCTGCCTATGCCTCATGTTCAAAGGCACTTGGAGCTGTTGCTGGCAATGTCTGGCAACGTTGCAGGTTGATGGACACTGTCTTGCGCTCGTCTGAGGAGTAACAAGCCACTTGTATATGCAAAATTGGTAAAAACCTGGCGCCATCTGTGGAATGTGTTCTGCGCTTGGTCAGACTTTGTCCACCAACAATCTGGGGGCCTTCCTCAAAGATGGCTCAGTACATCCGAAACAGTGCAAACCTTTTGCACGATCCAGTCACCTTGGTCTGCAGGACGCCCTGTCTCTCCAGCAAAGCTGATGTAACCCGGCAAAAGCCCTATTATTGTGTGCGAGAAGATCCTTGAAGGGGTTCAAGTGGCTTTCTACGAGAACAACCACAGATTGGAAGATATGAAAAATGTGGTGAAGGCCCAAAAGCTGGCTGTTGCCTGCTGTGTGGCCATAGCCTGTCTGTGGAGTTTGACCAGCCACTCATTCCGGTAGCAGTGCGATAACAATGTGTGACTGCAAAATGTTCATCAGCACCACTCTGCTAAGTCACTCTCATTCGCCCATATTCCCCCTCAATATTCACAGTTTTTTTTGATGTTTTTTGACGCGCACCTTGACAAGCTATCGAGCAGTCAATGGCATCTGCACGATCATCGCATGCCCCGGGTTTGGAACGAATGTTGGGTCCACCTGCATCCAGGTGCTGCGATGACACTTGTGGGCCTTGCCCCCAAGAATTCACCACACACCATGAGTTATATACATTAGATATACAGTATTTGATACTGTATATATATATATATATGGTACCCCCCCCCCAAAACCGACATTTTCAAGATTGTAACGCTTTTGGGATAGTTACCTTGTTCAGTTTGAGATCCAGTGGGGCAGTATCATACATATATATGCATATATATATATACACATATGTATATTATTTGTTATCTTACTATTACTAAATCCATGTACTTAGAGTATTTTTTACAAGAAGTATTTGCAAACGTTTGCAAACGCTTGCAAACGTTCCTGATCAGGATTCAAGATTCAAGATTCAAGATTCCCAGAAAAACTTCTTGAATCCAAGGGGATAGGATTCAAGATTCAAGATTCCCAGAAAAACTTCTTGAATCCAAGGGGATAGGATTCAAGATTCAAGATTCCCAGAAAAACTTCTTGAATCCCAGGATTCAAGATTCAAGATTCAAGATATCATCCGAGAATATCTGCTCTTTGCCCGTATACCATGTTCATGCATTTGATGCGCCGGATTTGACCTGATTCACGCATTCTGTTTTTTGTCGAACCCACCTCTTGCCAGATGAATAGCATAGGAGCTGGAAACATCGAGGGCTAAAGAATACTGAATCAGAAAGAATAAGAATTTAACATATATCACAACAATTCCGAGCTCAAAACTCCAACGGCCTTCAGCCCTATTTTCTCGAACAAAATGCCTGTAGAATGAATCAGACGATGCTAAGTGTTGGAATCTTTCCAGACTCCCCCAAGTTGCAATGTTCTCACTGCAACTTTCACGCCAAACAACTTCGTGTTGGCCCAAGGCATTTGATCTTTACATGTTCTTCTCTTTGTAGTAGTGATACATCTTTGTCAGAGTCTTCTTTGAAAACCCTTTTCCTGCCCATTCATGTTGGAACTTGTTCCATGGATTTTTGATATCCGTCTCCCTTTGAGGGGACTGTGGAACATTTCTCGGTCCTACGGCACCTGCAGAGCCCGACCTTGAAGGCGAAGATTCAGCAGCTTCAGCAGCGCTTGCCAAGCCCGACGTTGAAGGGCAAGAGCTGGACATAGATCCGGCTGCACGCTCACCATGCGATGAACCATGCACAGCCACCCCAGACTTGCGCCCCATAGTTCCAGAGCCACGCGTGGTAGCGGAGCATACAGCGCCAGTACCACTCATTAGATCGCCCGCAGAACTGCTCGGCAAAGGTGAAGTCGCCAAGCCATCATCATGCTGCGAGCCCGACTGTATCGTTATATTCAAAGTCGTAGAGCCCCTTTGAGAGGAAGATGAGCCTTTGCCGCGCTTGACTCTGATCCGGTCTCCTCCTTCAGTTTCAGCTTCACCGTGAAAACTTCGGCGATTATCCTCTTCAAAGCTTTGTGAAGGCCCCTGCAATCGTCTCAGGCAGCAATGCATAGTTCGCACGGCTAACTGCCCAACGTAGATTGCCCCAAAGGCCATCAGCACAGCTCCGCAAGCCCAAATGGTTGCTGAATCGGCGTCGCCATCAGTCTCCTCAGCGGCATCCATGCCTGAAAGCAGAAGACTTCCAACCATCATCGCTGCCACCGCAGCACTCGAAGATTCATCTCCTTGAGGTTCAACATCATTTCTTTCGCGTCTCATCCCAAGATCTGTCAAGAAGGATGAAAACGCTTGGCCTAAAAGCGGCTTAGTCAAGCCATCGGCCACCAGTTCCACTCCTTTGAAGTGCAAGAGGCGCCACAATCCACCTGGAGCTCGTCCTTCAAGGGCTTCACGAAGGTAGGAAGAGCGTATGCGCAGATGGCGCGTCCTCCATGATGCACTGCTTGTGCCATGCGCCAAGCCAATTGCAGCGACATTGTCGCCATACATCACCCTTTCTATGGCATTGCTCCCACATGGGACTCCCATCATCGTTGCCAGCATCGCTTCTGTAGAGCGTCCTGCATTAAGAGCATCGCAGTATGCCACCAACTCACTCTCAGCTGTTGAATGAGTGACAAAGGGCTGCACTGCTGTTTGCCAGCTGATGATGGCTCCGGCAAAAAAGATCGCCATCCCCTGGATGCTTCGTCCACGAGAGCCAGTGCCATAGGCAATATCTGAGAAGACCTCGAGGAGCTTGACACTGCGCGCAATCTTCAATTGACTGCGCTCCCCCCAGATCTTTTTCGGAGCTTCACTGGAGTATTGAAGACCTCCAGGATTTCCTCGTATGTAGGCCATCACATTCATGCCGACCTCAATGGCTTTTGCCGGGTTTTTTGTGGCAAGCCGGCATACGGTGGAAACTCCGACCGAAATGTCGGGCCGAGTTCTGGTGTTCAGCCAGAGCAAAGCGCCAGCTATGGCCTGCGCAGTCTTGATCTGGTCTTGGTCAATTGGTCCATCTGGATCTTCATCTCCTTCACATAGTTTGAAACTGGGATGATCAACTGAACCTGTTACGTTCCATCGCTGAAGCATTTCCTGTTCATACTTTCTTTGGCTGAGGAGAAATCCATCCAGATCCGGAGCTACCTCTATCTCAAAGCCGCAGTACTTGACCGGCTTGTCCACCTCAGCTTTTTCGATCTCAGAGATGGCCCAAACATCCGCAATTGATTGAATTGCCGCTTCAGCCGCACCATCCTCCGCTGTCACCAAGAGGTCGTCGACATAGATGGACATCAAACCTGCCCAGTGGACTTCTTTGGAGTTCACATCAGTCTCCTCCAAACGCCACATGTTGTCGTCCGGAGTCTTGACAAACCTCCCTTTGAGTTCACATCCATTTTTTGACCTCCTCCAGGATATAGTTGGTACCACCTCGTCACGGTAGATGCACCAATCCCTTGGAGAGCTCGTGAGCCCATAGACAGCCTTTTGGATGATCCAGACATCTTGTGGCCCTGCAAGTCCAAGCTTCTTGAAGACCGTAGGAACTTCCATCGCCGTGATCTTCGTTTCATCCCGCTTCGGGGCATTGAGAAAGGCCACACGGATGTCAGTGCCACACACTGTCCAGCTCTTCAATGCCGCCAGACGCACCTGAGCACGGATCTGATTTCCGTCAGCTCCACCTGCATAGCGTTCATCACCGCTAGGATCTTGATAGTTGCCACACACCACAGCTCGTGATCTGAAGGCTCCTGATCCTGCTTTTCGGGTGTGCACCATCTTCGCAGGCAACAGCTCTATCGGAAGATCCCGTTGATGTGCAAGATCTTGAAGCTGGGTTTTTGAGACTTGTTTGACTGCTCCCTTGGTGTGGACCAACTGCTGGAACTCGGCTTTTATGGACGCCTCCCAATCACCAAGATTTGCCCAGACCTCACTGTTGCTGATGGTCTTCGTCACCAAGAACTCTTGTTCTAAACGATGTTGATCAGCTTGGTCCTTTTGTTGTTGTGCTTCTTGAAGTTGGCCCTCCAGCATTGACTTAAGAGCAATGGCATCAGACACTGCACCAAGCCACATCGACTGCTCACCAGAAGTCGCATCCAGTTTGGTCATCTCGTCATAGATGAAGTTGGTGACATTGTTGTGGATGGCTCGAATGGCAGCTACTCCAGACATTGAGGCGACCGGGCATGCGCCACCGCACCGGTACTTAGGCGCCCCCTCCACATCCCCTCCGCCGACTCCTTCATCCACCTCATCAGCATCAGATTGAAGTGTTGGAGTTTCTGCCGTTGAGCTCGCTGGGCTAGCTGATGTGTTTTCTGAATCAGTGCGCAAGGTCCAGCCCGATTCATCACTTCCATCCACACTATCCATTTCAAAATTACTTTGAAGATGTTTTGGGATTTCAAAACTGTTGCGGGGACATCGCAAATTGCCTTCACCCAAACCATGTGGAAAATCAAAACTGGAACCCCACTCCTCCCCCTCGATGTGCAACATCGACCTGATGGCCGGAACTGCAGTTTTGCTGCGCAGTCTTCGTGTGGGCACACCATCACGGATTGCAGGAGCTGGTGCATCTCGTGCAGGAAGAAAAATTGTGGGTTCTGCTGGATCAGATGGCATAGGCAAAGTTGTTGGTTCCACCACATCATCGGTGTAGAAGTACTTGCCTGTGGCCACGCTTTGGACATAGTAGTTCGTGGTAGTGAAGCTACTGCAACGATCGGGGCCAAGCACAATGACCTCCTCCCGGACATCTCTCCAAGGATGATACCGATCTTGCCATGACTTTTTCAGCGCGTAGGCCTTCACTCCAAACTTCAAAAGCGGTGCTGTTGGCCACCCTACACCTTGTAGCTGAGACCTCAAGCGTCTCTCTCCCACATGACGCAATGCCAACGGCCATGCTTCAAGAGGACAAAGCTTTGCACTGACCAGCGTGCGAACTGCACGTTTCACAGCACCAACCTCAGCCTCGACTCGCCCATTTGTCTTGTAGGTGGAGCCAGTCGTCAAGGTTGTGATGATGCCCCTGTCCAAAGTCCATCTACGAACAGGTGCTGATGTCAGTTCTCTGGCTCTGTCACAATGCAGTCGGTGCAATGGCAAGCCGAGATATCTCAGGCGCGCATGAATGCGGGCTAGTGCTGGTAGAACATCTTTCACAGCCCGACTGGGGATCACCTCGGTGAATGTGAGGTTCTTCACACCGATGTTGCTAGCGTCTTCAATGAGACGATGCCAAACATCAAAAGCTGTGCGCATAGAATCTTCAGCAAGGCCGCCAGCACCTTCAGGTTGTGGATGAGGTTGTTCATTCAAGGGATCGAGTGGATCGCCAAGGCCATCAGCAGATTCTGGCATTGGTGGCGGGTCTCCCCCCTCATCCATGTCCACATCATCATCATGATGAACCTGATCAAGACCTTCCCCTCCGTATAAATCCATCGACGGCAGAGGTTGGTCAACTTGAGGATTCGGGTCGCCCTCTCCGCATAAGTCCATCGACGGCAGAGGTTGATCCCTGTCCTCCTGTGGAGCATTGGGCGGATCTATCAAAGGACGTCCATCACCAGTCACTGGGAACGTGTAGCAGGCCACCATGATGTAGCGACATCGATTCCCACCTTGATCTTTGCCCGGATTCATCTTGCCTGACAAGTCCACAGACAAGGTAAAGGAATCTGGGTCAGTGACACGTCGATGAGGACGACTTTGGCCCTGGGCACGTACACAGTGCATGCAGTCACGCCTTGCAGGCAAGTGGTCGTGCAAAAAGTGGTTCTTCCAAGATTCCAAAGCCAACTGGGAGATAGTCCTGAGAGCTCGTGTTTGAAGTGGAGAAGGATCACCCTCAGGTACCCTGGTAGAACTAGGCGCTTGGTGTCGTTCTGAATCAAGTCCACGCCCGGCTCCCCCAAGGTATCTATTCACCCCAGTGGATATGGCTGCTTTCAGCCCTGGTGCCCATGCCGCCCATGATTTGGTCATCTTGAAGCGTTGCTCCATGGGTAGGGCTCGAAACTGCTCAGTTGCTTGTGCTTCTCCTTCAGGTTCACCTCTAAGTCCGTCCAGCTGTGCCAGCTCTATGAGGTTGGTGGCAATCGTGGTGGGCTTTCTTTTGAGATGCCCCATTCTGCACTGGTCAAAGGAAAACTGTGACAAGCCGTATCGGTTCTGAAAGTCTTGCCACTCTTGAGTCCGATACATCGAGAAATACCGATGTTGCTGCACGTCAGCTTCATCTCTGTAGTTGGCAGGATCTTCCGGTTGTTCAAGAAGAAACGCAGTTGGCTGATCGTCATCTGCAGCTCGGACATCTTCACACAACGTCATCAGTGACAAGAACCTGAACATCAGCAGTGTATCTCCTTCCACCAGTGCCGCATCAGTTGGAGATAGTCCTGGAAGTCCATAGGGGTGTTCATCATTTCGCACCACACCAGGGCCACCATCGTTCTGATACCTCAAGGCCGTCACCGTCCTGCAAGGAGGACCCCCCAGAATGGCCTTGACACGGCCGGAAGCACATAAAGCCAGCAAAAAACCGTAGACGTTCTTGTCATGAAGATTCGCTGGATGAGGTCCTTCAGTGTCCACGCACAAGATCTCTGTGTCAGCTGAGGCACATTGCTTCTCCCAGTACTTGGAGTCAGGGCCCGAGAATATGTGCAGGATGATCCTTTTGGCCTTCAAGAGTCGGCGTCTCTTGTGCCGATTCCATGGCAACCGTGCTCCAAAGTCCTCCGCCTTCACCATCTCAAGATGTGGAATCAGCTTCATCATGATATGGTCTGGCAGACCTGGGAACTCCTGCTTCATCTTCACCGTCATGGCGGTCTCCAAGTTCAAGAGGCTGAGATCAACCATGTTTGCATCGGCCAACAGAGTTTTGACCACCGCAAGCTTTCTCCACTGGTGCACATAGAAGAGCTCCAACCATTGCATGATCTTCTCACCCTCCTGACGGGAGATCATTGGGCATCCATTTCTCAGCTCCACTGGAACTTCCCTTCCTTCGTCATCCTTCAGCTTGAAGAGGCCATCACGCCATTCCAGAGAAAAGTCCAAATCGGACAAGCCGCTCATCGGAATGATCCATGACACCTGAGCATTCGGTGCAGCCAGCAAGACCTTGGTGTTCTTCTTGAGTCTAAACATCTCCGTTGTCCCGTCAGCTAACTGCACTGATGTTCTTTCGGCTGCCATCCATTCTCCTTCATCTTGAGCAGGACGTAGTGCATGAGTTGCCCCGCTATCCAACAGGATGCACTCTTCATCCACCGTGTCGACGTTGCTCAGCTGCATCACTTTCAGCTTGGGAGTCGGCCCTCGCAACGTCTTCAGCAACTGTGTGGCCTCATGCAAGAGATCTTCAGTGCCACCTTTGGATCCAGCTTTGGGCATTTGATCACCACCAGTTCCTCCATCACTAGAACCTTTTCCATTGTCCTCCCCACCACCTCCAGACTTTGTCTCCCCGGGAGATGCCGTAGATGAGGATGTTGTGATAGTAGAGGAATCCGCTCCCTGCAAAGCTTTCGTTGCTGCTGCGCCAGATTTGCCTCCCATGCCCATCGCAGAGGTTGCCGTTGTGGCCAAGTTTGGAGCGTCACTTCCACGTCCTTGACCAGACCCTCCCCCTGAGCTCTTCAGCTCATTCGGTTTCTTAGCACGCAGGGGACAATCAGTCTTCCTGTGCTCCTTGCTGCCGCACACAAAGCAGCGTGCAGCTTTGTCAGTGAGGTTGTCCCAGTCATGGAGCCACTTGCAGCCTTTGCCGGCCTTACAGCCTTTGTCAGAAGCAAAGTAGCGGCATGGTTTGTCGGCCATCGGACTGGGTTTTGCTTTAGAGTCTCCATTTGAAAGCTTGACCGGAGACTTCATGTCGCCATCCAGCTGCTTGAGTTTGAGGGGCACATTGGAAGCTGTCGCAGTAGAGGAGGTTTGAAACAACGCTAATGTTTCTGCCTCAGCCAGCAAACACTGAGAGAACGCCCAAAGATTTTGATGTGTTGGTTGTTGATCCAATTGAAGCTGCATTCTGCTCTGGCTCAACCGGAATGCTGCCTGGGGATCCATGTTGCCCAAGAACTGCAACGGAGTGTCCAACGCTTTGAGCAGCAAGACACCATCAGGCAATGCAACTTCCACTTCTTGAGCTCGCCCATAGTGCCGGCGCCAGTTGCGAATGCCTGCAGCAGCTTCAGTCACATCCTTGGCTTTGGGGATTGTGGTCAGCTGAGAAAGTAGCAGTTGTTTCTCTCCTGCTCCACCCGGTTGAAATCTCACCAGCAACTTGTAGATGATGGCAGTGGAGCTCAACACTCGATCTGTGACCAGTGCTTGTTGTTCTTGTGATGGAATCGCCTTGAGCAGCATCTGGATTCCACGTTGTTCAGTTCTTTGGAAGTGGGCCTCCTTCAAGTCCTCAGGTAGGCGAGGTTGGATTTGGATCCGTTGTAGAGGTGAGCTTCGGCGCCACTCCTCGTAGAATCCCTTGGCTTCGCGCATAGTTGATTCCCACCACCATCCAGCAGAGGCACTGATGTCCTTCATGATCGGTGTGATCAAGTGCAACCAATCTCCAAATTGCAAAGGAGACGAGTCAGAGGGCAAATCAGGTAGCTCTCCTTTTGTGCTCATGGATCCTGAGCCCTCCGACCATGGGCCATAGGTGCGCCCAAAAAACTTTCCATCTCCCACTCCACCTCCCCCCACATCATGCCGTGGAAGGTCACAAGAGCGTCCGGGTCCACAGTCAAATGGTCCCCACTCACCACCATGCGTAGTGCAAGCCCGACCGTCGCCTGGAAGTTCACGTCGCGATGCAAAAGCCCGATCTTGGTCAAAAAGAGGTCCATGCTCATCAGAAGCCCGAGCTTGGCCAGGATGATCACCGTGCCCAAAAGAAGCCCGAGCGTGTCCATGATGTTCACCATGCTCAAAGAAAGCCCGAGCTTGTCTAGGAAGAACTCCATGCTCCAAAGACGCCCGACCTTGTTCAAGGTGAAGACCATGCTCCAACAGAGCCCGGCCTTGTTCTTGATGAGCACCGTGCACATCCAAAGCCCGATCACGCCCATGTAGGCCATTGCAAAACGCTGCAGCCCGATCTCGAAGGTCCTGCACTCCACTTCCATGCTGAGCCCGACCTTGTAGGGCAGGTTCACCGCTTCCACCATGCTGTGCCCGATCATGAGGCCGGCTCGCATGATGATGTCCAAAAACATCCAAACCAACATGCTTGGGATGATCCCCACAGTCGAAACCAGAACCCCAGTATCCAGACTGTTGCACTGCTTGGGGGATGGCTACCCTGTCAAGAGCAACCTTCAGTGACCTAACTTCACGTTCTAGCCACACCTGCTTCGCTTCACTAGCAGACAAAGGGCCATCCTTTTCAGCTGTTGGTTTCCATGCCATGTCTCCGTTTTTCACCTTTGGTTTGGACTCACATGTGTCGTAGATATCCAACCCATCATTGCAACCACTCACAAAACTGGTCTGTTGAGGTTCCCCCGCATTTCTCACCTGCTCTGGAAAGGGCGGCACCGGTGGCAGAGGCTTCTCATCGTCCGCAACAGGCGGAGGACCATCCGGGACCCTTGTGCCATTGGGGGTATACCTCAAACCATTCTGCTTGGTCACCTTTCTCTCAGGACTCACTGCCATCTGTCTAAGTTTTGTTCGGGGGGTTCTACTACCATGCCTACCTTGACGTCCATGGTGTTGAAATGCCTCCATTGAATCAACCCCGTCCACTGCAGACCATGGTGATGACCCCATTCCCGAAGACTTCTCCAGCCTATCTCTGAGAGCTGCTACTTCACTTTGTAGCTTCGAATTCTGACGACGTAAAAAATCTACCAACTCCCCCTCCAATGCTCTTTGCAAGTCATTGGAATTGGATCCAGATTCTTTTGGGGTTCCAACAGGGCCCATCGTCCTCCCTTCAGGTTCTCCAGGCATCACACCCTCTGACTGCTTCGGCTTTCGCTCCACTGTAGGTCTCAAAGGCCCAGCGTTCAGCATCTCCACTGCGCTGCTGCCACGACCCTTCCCAGTTACGCCGAACTGCATAGGGGGTAGTAATCCCAAACCAGAAGTGCCATCTTCGATAGGTTCCCCATCAGCGCCCATTCCAAAATCCAGAGGTAAATCTCTAGGTCTGTTGGTTGCTAAGAGGCATTCATTTTGCGCTCGTTCTGAGTACCATGGATTTCCAGCCCCATCCCAAGTAGAACCACCATGTCCCTTTGACGGCAAAGATTGGGACCGCTCCATGAAATCCTATGGCCCTCACCCTGTTAGGTTTGGGCTCATAACCCTCAAAACTCCAACGGCCTTCAGCCCTATTTTCTCGAACAAAATGCCTGTAGAATGAATCAGACGATGCTAAGTGTTGGAATCTTTCCAGACCGAGAATTCTAACATCTCGAGAATTGGCACCCCGGCCTTCATAGCCTTCGGCAACCGTTGCCGACTGATGGCCGGGCTAGGCTTGCCATTAAGGCAGGTGGCCTCGTGTGTGAGGCAGTTCAAATCCTGAGTGACACCGAAAGAACACAAACTGCAGCATGAGGCTAAATCTTTGGGTTGTGCTTCTTGTCTTGTGCCTGTCCGGCTCTTGTTCCTTTTGCGTTTCTTGATTTTCCTGATCGTAGCTTCTATACCGCGGCGTGTTTGGAGACACGAACAAAGGGCAAAACATGCCGGAGAAAATGACCAAACATGAAAAGACAAAGATTCAACCAGTATGTGCTACAGCATGAGCTAGAGTGTACATCATTGTATACTCTTTGATATCTCTTTCAGACGTGCAAGGATGCGAAGACATGCGAAGACTGCAATGAAGCATCGATGTGTAGAGCGCAGGTCTTGTCACGGAGGTCCTCTTTGAGCTGCTCCTTCTTCTCCTTTCGGCAAAAGGGCCAGGCACAAAAGGGTCATGGCAGTCATGGCAGTCATGGCATGTAGCCTCTTCAGTGAGAACATGCTCATCCTCATTATCTTAAGCACCTAAAGTTGGACCTAAAGGATCCCAAAGGATCCCAAAGGCATAGTGGCATCACAATGGTCACAGTGGTATTTGTTTTAATCGGCAAAAAAGTGCTATGAATTCGGCTAGCTGAGAATGCATACCTTCCAGCCAACATTAGCATGTGTCCCACCTATGGCCGCGGTGGTGATTGTGATTCTCAAGCCCCCATGACAGTTTATGAAAGCAAATAGAAGAGAACAAGTCCCACAACGTCCGCTATTATTATTTCAAACTTTTTCAACACCAGTCCCATCGCCCGATCTCCATCGGCCCATATCGGCCCAACCTGCAGCTCTTGAAGGATGCTCTTCTCGTTCTGATGGTGCTGACGGAGATCCTCATGACATTTCAGCAATGTCATCTGATGCTCCTGCAAGGTCGTGGTGACCTGACCACGGTGCTGATTTCTAGTGGAGCTGACGGTGCTTGGGAATTGGGTACTGGGAGTCAAGGAACGCAAGGAACGCCTTGAATACAGGGTATGCAAATACGTATGCACTATATTTTGTGCATTTATATGTAACGTTCCTAACCTCAATGGTCAGAAGGCTGAAACTCAGACTGCATCTATTTCCCTATCAACAATCCATTCAAACATATTCAAACCCATCTATCAGCCTCTCAGTCTACCCTACTGTACTCATCTTTCAAGCTGCTACTGTACTGGCAACTTTGCACACATTGGCCGTATTTCAGCCACCTAGCAAACAGCCAAGGGCAACAAAGGGTCCACCAAAAAGAACACATACTTCCTCGTCAGCCAACAATTGACACATCAAATTCGTAATATTCATATGTTTATGAATATAATAAATACATACATATATATATTTATACAAATATAATTTCAATATATTATATATATATATAGATATCAATCTATATTCTATATTGACAGCATTAGTGGCATGATGTGTCATAAATTTGTTGAAATAAATCAGGAATACATCGCTCTACCGCTCACCGCCCCAAAAACGCTGAAGGAGGCACTGGATCTTGGATGTGCTCCTTGGCAGCGCGCTGCTTTCGCCAGGATGCGCATGTGGAGGTCAACTCCATAGGCTCTTCTAAGGACCTGGCGTTGGCGTCCCACAGCGTCCCACGGTCCCGCATCAGTACCGTGGTTCCGTGCAGTTCATTTTCACGTGCAATGATGTAGAGCAAGTTGTTTGTTCAAAACATTGCATACAACTTTTGGTTCTGAACGCACGACACGGGTCAGAGTCAGCGCAATCATACAACTGCTATTACCATACCAACTCATGATGATGATCTTGACTGATCTTGTGGTGAGAGAACCTGTGAACATGTATAGTTAGTTTATGTTTTTTTCATCCTGTACAAAAATGTTGCAGCTCCACCCACCACCCGCCTGATTTGTGTCTTTGTGTCATGGATTGTAGTCTTTGTGAGGTTAATCTGATGGCAAGTTTCTCCTGAGGTGCGCGGACTGTGGCCTGTGCAATCACTGGGTTCCACCACCAAACTGAACCAACCAGATTGGAATCGACATGGTTCCACGAATCATGAACTGGCCCAACATGGCTCAACTCATTCAATAATTAACATCCACTCGTATCTATATAATTTGCAAAAACAAACTATGAGGTTTTCTCAGCAGTTACCCGGCATTACATGGTACAGTTACCTGCGACCCAACGCGAAAAATCCGGGCCAACTGCAGATTTGCAAACAAAGTCACGCAGTTCCGTCTCCAAACGTCTCCTGACCTTAGCGTAAAGCATTCCAAGAAAACTATCCTTTCGCAATTCACCGCACGCCGAGTTGAACATTTGAGTTGAGCATTGAGATGCAACAATAATGTCAACAATCAATATGAATCAATTAATAAAAATCAATAAAGATAATTATGACACATACAGAGTTCCCATATTCTCATTATTAATTAATCACGATTGTCAGATTGTCCTTTTAATCCAAGTGACATGCTGGTTTTCATTCACCCGTTCTTTCATGGACTTGTCGGATTTCATCGTGGCCTCTTCTGCACTCCGCTGTGTGCGTTGGATCAGCTTCTGTGCCTCGTCACGCAGCTCCTTGGCCGCTTCCTCGCGGTGAACTGCCTAGGTGCCAATCATCCAGCCCCATCAGCCCGTGATTTTGATGATTTGGATGTGATGACAAGGTCCCTAAGGTGATGTGTTTATCTCTCTTTCCATCGCCATCCCGGAGGTTCAGTGTCAACATTGATTTTATCAAATGAAAGTCATGAACCATCAATTTAACTCCATTGTCATTTCGACACTCTGTGTCATGATTCGACAATGCAACTCGACTACCCCTACCACCCACCTGTCATCGCAACTTTTCTAAGTTGGCCCGGAATGTCGCAGCTCCTGTTATGGTTAGTTTCACTACCACACCCAGGACTGCAGGATAAATGCCCTCTGACATTCCAGCCAACGCCAAACCTCTCCCTCCTGCCGCCAGGCGCGTTAGGAATGGGAAGAGTCGGCTGAGCTGCTCGATGACGACTCCGAACTGGGGTGCTGGCGGGTTTGGGGAAAACATTTTGAGCATGTTGCTCTGGCTGAATAGTTTTCTGCCTTCGTGCTGTGGATCCACCGGTGTTCGGTGGTCTCGCGTCCCAAACGCCAGCCGCAGCGTGTTCTCCATGATCTGGGGTGTTCGGTGGGATCTCTGTCCAGAACCCGGTGTAGTTTGCCCCCTCCGTTGGCGTTCAGTATGAACTCAGTACCGCTGTCGGCTGGTGCTGGCGCTATGTCTGCAGCACTCTCGCAGTCCTCTAGCATGTCCACGTTCGGCAAGGCCAGTTGTGGTTTCAGGTGTTGTGCGGACCTTATGAGCGTCAATAGCTCTTCTTTGGCTGCCTGTATGGACAGTCTTGCTGAGGACTCTTGGGCTAAGTCGTTCAGCTGGGTCAGTGGTGTGTCCTGAATGTAATGTAAGAATACTTCTGAGCCCCACCTGCCGAACAGTTGGATGCGCCACAATTCCACTTGTGAGGCGGCCAGATGCCGGGCTCCCGAGACCCTGGCGGAATGCCCTGTGTATGCCCGGGCTCCGTTGCCATGAGTGGTGGGAAGGCCCAGATGCCTTGCCAGCTCCTGGAATGTGTCGGCCCAACCAGACTTTGTTGTTCTTTCACCCAGCTGGTCTTGGAAGATGAGGTCGTCATCATGTGGTCTCTCTCCGAGATGCTGTACCATCAGGTGGTATGGGCACATCTCAGGTGGTGAGAAGGCGCAGTTGCACGTGTGTGTGCGCTCTGCTCCCAGCGCTGCCTGATCTGTCTTCGAGCTTGGCAGGCGCCAGGTTATGCGCTTTAGTTCACGCACCACCGTGATGTGCTTCTTCCTGGCTCTGGATGCCTCGATCTCTCTTAGCAGCCACCATGCTGCCAGCAGTGTGGATCGAACCGGCCTGGAAGGTCCCCCCGGGGCCAGCTGCTGATCTATGTTCAGCTTGCTGAGCTTGTCCATGGGGAGGCCTGACGCCTGTTTGGGCGGTCCTGAATCTCGCTGGCTACAGATCTTCAGAGCTGTACCTGGAAGCAGCCAAAGGTGCACACATTGCAGAAGGATGCCCCTGGACACAACAGCTGCATAGATCATGTTTGGCTCCAGGTTGAAAGGCTCGTAGTAACCCGCTTTTGCCGCCAAGGCGGCCCATAAAGTTCTCCTGGAGGCTGTTGGGCCCTTTGTGGTATTCGCTTGCATACCCTCTTTGAGGTGGCTTATGCACTTCTCTGGATCATTCATGGCTTGCAATGCCGCCACCGATGATCCGCGGCCATAAGGTCTGGGTTCTCCATCGAGAACATTGTTGTCCCCGATGGAAGGAACGCCAGCTGCCTCGCGACCTTCGGGTGCTGCCGTTGCCCTGTCGATGATGGGTCCTGCCTCGCTCCGGGACGGAATGCGAATGGCAAAACCCTCGTGCAAGACGGAGGGAGAAGAAGAAGAAGAAGGCCTGGCTTTGGCCACCGGCTTGTGCGGTGGAAGCCAAGGGCCCGCGCCCACGGATCTCTTGAACCTAGGCATGCTGAGGGGCTACATGTCTAAAGGACGGGACCCTGAACATGCAAGAGCCCCCCCCCCCTAGTGGCTCCCCTATGACCTGACCCCACACGCAGGATGCCTGTTTTAGCCGCGTGCGGACGGTCAAAGATCATGCACCCTCCAAAAGTCCTGGCTCATCTCCACTGGCCTGACTATTGCGTCTGCCAATGTGGAGGGCCAGGCCGGAGGTGAGGGAGAAAACTGCCTAGAGAGTGAATCGGCCTCCAGGTTTGTGATCCCTGGAATGTGGACTAACCAGTTCACCCTGTAGACCTGTAGTGCTTGGTCCAGCGAGAATTCTCTCGCCAGTATATCATGTAGAGGACGCCAACATTGTCGGACTTCGCCCGTACTTGTGCTCCGTGACCCAACGAGGGGAGCCAAATGCGGAAAGCTACAAGTAAGGCTAGCCCCTCCCATACTGTATTGAATTTTGACAGCCCTGTCTGCGCTTTGAATCTCTTCAGCGCCTCTGCAGGTATAGGCGATGAGAAGCACTGCGGAGTGCATCCTTCGACCCTCATGACGCCTCCGATGCCCCAGGGCGATGCATCTGTTGTTATGGTGGCTTTCACTTCGGTGAACCTTGCTGACAAAGTTCTTGTCAAAGGTGCTGGCGCCCCTCTCAGCAATGCCTCGATCCATCTCAGTGCCGCTTTGAACCGGCGCGTGTGGAGTAGCTTTCCGGAATGCCGGGTACCAGCTCCGTCATTCGCCGCTCCAACACCTGCCAGCACGGCCCAGAATGTGGAGAGGAATGGCCTCAGGTGCGGCACCAAGCCTGCCACAAACGACAGGCTGCCTGCGAAGGATCGCAGTTGCCTGTGGCCCACTACGGGTCTCTTCAAGAAGTTGAGCGTCGTGGCCTGTAGCTTCTCTACCTTTTCTTTTGGTATGGTCACCACCACCTCCTCGTCCTTGTCAACTGCGGTGATTGTGGCTCCCACCCAGTTGATTGATTTGCCACCTTCTGCTTTCTCCAGCTTCACCGGGAAGCCCGATATTGCGAACCATAAGAGGACGCTAGTGAGCTCCCTCACTGCCTCTTCCAGCTTTCCTGGGAGGCACATCCCCGGATCGTCCACGTATATCTGCAATCCTGTGGACGGGGAGATGGCAGATGTTGACCTGCCCAACCAGGCAGCGAAACGCGCCCAGATCGTTGGTGATGATGCGGAGCCAAAGACCAACGTGTCGAAGATTAGGATGCCGTCGGGTTCTCCTTGCTTTTCTTTCCAAGCTGCCACCGTCATGAACTTGTCTTTTCCCGCCGGGATGTTCATGAAGGCGTCTCGGATATCTACCGCTGCCAGCCATACATCCTTCTGCTCCCTGTAGGCGGCCACCGCCTGGCTTGCCAAGTCCAGCAAACGGGGCAGGATGATGCGCTCCTTCTGATTGCAGATGGTGTTTGCCTGGCTCTCTTTTAAGTCCCAGACTATTCTTGCCTTCTTCTTTCCGGTGGGTGAATACTTCACCACGACTCCCAGCTTGTTGAGCACCGGCGTCCGGCCTAGTTCCTGCTCGGCTTCTGCCATTGAGGAGACCTTGTGGCAGAATCCTCTGTCCATGTAGTCTTGGATCAACTGGTTTAGGTCTTCGCTTTCTTCCAAAGCAGACTTGTAGTTTTGCCAGTCTTCCAGGGTCCTGGTCATGCCTTTGATTGATTCTGCCGAGGCTGATGGCCCCTGGACTGCTGGAAAGACTCCCGTTGTGGGAATGTCTTCCGTGAAGCCTAACGGAGCACCGTCGTCCAACCACTTTGCCAGTAGCGGCGAATCCCTGTCTCCTGCTGCATGTCCCCAAGCTTCTATGAGGTTTGCATTGATAGGCGTTTCTGCTCTGGCCTCACGCTGCCGGGGCCTGGTGCTGCCGCCAAGCATTTGCGTGGCTGCTTTTCTTACGGCCTCTACCACTCTGACGTCGAGGTCCTTGGGCTTCCTCCCGCACAGGATGGCTGCGGCCGTCTCCCTCATTTCTTTCCAAAGATCCTGTGCCTTGTAGAGTAGCTCCCTTACTTGCCAGGCTGGGTTCTTGGCCTGAGGCATCCTGTGCAGCGCCATCGATGGGTTTCTCATTCCTCCCAACGCTTTCGCGTTCTGAATCTCCCTCTCCGTTAAGGGCCGGAAGGAGGAAGACGAAGGCAGCACCGGCGGGGAGGCTCAGCGAGGCCCTGTGGGGGCCTCTTCCTTCTCTGGCGACTCTGTCCCTAGTGCCTCCTGCCTGGCCTCATGGAAGGCCTTTGCCAGGATCTTGCACAACGTGACAGAGTACTCTCCCTGCGCTTTCGATGCTCTTTGTCTGCCCGTCGGGCCTTCTATCCACCTCTGCACTGTGCTTTCGTGTGCTGCTGTGTAAGTGGATCCGTCTGGCCTCGTATGCTGTTTCATAACGTGGTTGCAGCGTAGACCTCGTAAAGAATCCAGCTTGATTCTTTTGACCAGCATCCTTGTCGGTTTGGTCGTTCCCAATCCGGTTCGGCATTGATCAAAGTCCACCGCCTCCACGTTCCTCAGTTTTGCCAATGCTTGCATCAATGGCATTTGCCACAGTTGTGGCTTGTCGTCGGGGTGTTTTGGGTTTTCCACCCCCCAGGGTTTCTTTGCCCTGTTCTGGTAGGCCGCGGCCGTGTAGGTCCTCTTTACTAAGACGTTGGCCGTCTTGAGCTGTTTTATCTCCCCCTCTGTGAGCTGGTCCTGAGGCAAACCCTCGATGTGCTCTTTTGATCTCAGGGGCCTGGGACCAGGAGGTTTCTCTCTCAGTGGGGAGAAGGTGCCGCAGGGCGTACCCAACCACAAAGCGTCGAAGTAGCCGTCCCTAATGTTCGAAGACACGTCGTCCCAGATGGCGTCATCCAGGATATCCGTGGGCACAGGGGATTGCGTGTCCAACGAACAGACGAGCCAGCCCAGCCTTGCTAGCTGATGGCTAAGGTCGCCCGATCTGGACCTCCCTGAGAATATTATCAACGCCCTGGGTTTGCCCTTTGTGTCTCCTGGTGTCGCCTGCCAATAGCCGTAGTCCCTGGGCCTGTCCTTGACCCAGACCACCTTTTCACGTGGCTCCGCAGGGGTACGGTTTGGCCTCGACGATGAACTGGGGGCTGATGCTGTCTCCTCTACTCTTCTCCTCTTCAACGGTGGCCGCTCTTGGCTCGAGTTGGAAGGTGTGCTGGGTTCTGCCTCAGGCTTTCTTGGCTTGGACTTTACAGCCAGCATCCTCCTTCCTCGCAGGATGACTGCCTTCTGTTTCGCTGTCGGCGGCGCCACCGGTGACACTGGTCTCTTGCTACCCCGGGGACTGTCAGCGTTGCTGGGTTCAGCTGAGGCTTTGTCCCCTGAAGGCCTCTGCTCCCCCGCAGGTCAGTTGGCCTTGGGGCAGGCCAAAGCCTGGTGGGGTCCCAGGCAGATCGTGCACTGGTGTGACCTCGAGGCTTTGCACTTCCCCTGTGCCTTCTGTGACCCGCATTTGTCTGCGTTGTACAGCCTGCAGATCTCGATTCCTTTTCGGTTGTGAGAGAAGCGTCCATCATCTCCCTTCTTTGACTGATCTTCCCCTTGGTACCGGCGGTTGGCCCTTGTTTTCTGTTTCTCCTGTGGCGATCCATTGGAGGGCTTCGCTGTGTCAGCTTCCTCTCTCTCTCGCCCTCCTTCTCTTCTGTGCCGTGCCAGGTACAGCGTTGCAGGAGTAGAGAGCTCTCTGTTCCAGAAGCTTGCATCCCTTATTGCCAGGGCGTAACAGGCTCCCCAAGGACTGGCCTCCGTGAAGCCAAACTGGGGTTCTGCCCTGAGCTGCCTCCTCAGACGGTCCATGTGTTCCGACCGGAGTCTGCAGTCTGCCTGACTGATGAAGCTCCAAGCCTCGTCTCCGAACTGGGTCACCTGGCTCCTGATGAACTCGGAGTAAGCATCCAGCCTCTCTGACTCGCAGGCTTCCAGCAGCAACATTGCTGTGCGGTAGCACTTCCACGTTTTGTACCATGAGTGGAAGTCCGCTGGGCCGGGCTGCTCTTTGCGGCTCCATTCGCCTGTCGCGGCGTTCAACTGGAAGGCCATATAAGTCTGACGGCGTAACAGCCTCTGTCCAAAAGGGCCGAACAGAGAGAAGTCGGCGTATGGCGTAGCTCCCGCTGCTATCACCTGAGATAGCGCTGAGAGTTGGTCCTTTGACACGTCAGTGTCCGGAGTGGGGAAATCCCCGTACTTCCGTTTGTAAGCCTCGTAGCGATCGGCTACTTCTGACTCTGGCATTCCCACGACCTCGGCGTCCAGGGTTGGATCCAGAATCGCGCTAAGCTTTAGCTTTCTGGGGTGGGCTTGTCCCGGAATGCCCCCTCCCACTGGGGGAAAGGGGGCTCCAGGAACCACTGGTGGAAGCACGCCCGTATCACCTGGGCTGTCCGGGTATTTGCCCATTCTGAGAAGGCTAACCCGCCTTACTGCCTCCACCCTGGCGTTCTCCACCAACGTGGGTGCCACCGCTGCCATGGGCGGCCCAGGTCCCACCAGCAGGCCAGAGACTGCCAAGTCCCACGCTGGGCGGGGAATCAAGGCTATCTCCCGCAACCGCTGGGGATCCCCGAGCGCCGCCAACAAGGCATCTCGCAGGCCTCCGTCGACCCCTGCCCATGCCAGGCATCCATCGATGTCCTGTATGCTTTGCAGCTCATCTTCTGTTGGATCCATTTCGAATAGCTGGACCCTCGTGCAAGACGTTGTCCACCTCCGGGGTCCTCCTTCTAAGATGGATTTGTGCCGCTTTTGGTGTGGGCGTGTTTGCCCTCCTCTGACGAAGACTGTTGGGTCTACTGCCCTCTGAGAGCCTCAAGCTGTAGGAGCCCAGGTGGTTGAAGGCCAAAGCAATCGCTCTGCGACGGCGCAGAAAGCGAAGTGCCCGGCCAGTGAGTCTGACCCACCGGTTGTCTCCCACCACGGTCCTTGGAGCACCTTTTCCTCGGAGCTTGCCCACCCAGTTGCAGATGACAGCGCCGGCCACTGCTCCCAGACAGAATGCCAGGGAAAGCAAAATGGCCAGCAAGATGTCCCCCTCGTGCGGAACACCCTCGCCCCCACCTGCACGGGTAGACATCCCCTAATCAAAAGTGCCCCCTTGAGCCAAAATGGCATACAAAGGGGCACCCTCACCAGTCTACTCCATTGTCATTTCGACACTCTGTGTCATGATTCAACAATAACATGCTGTTTGGGATCGCAGAATGTCATGTAGAATGCTGCAGAAGCAGAAACTCTAGACTGGCAATTTTGATTCAGTGCTGTGCCTGCAATGCAGCTCTTGCGCAAAACAAAACTAAGAATATTACTCATAACAGGACACCACACTTTGCCACAATGAACTGCAATGCAATATTGGAAAAAATAAGTTGAAATGTTTTCAAAATCGCACAAACATGTCCGAGACGCCGATTGGTTAAGCCGCAACGCCTCTTGTTGTCTCACCACCTCGTTGCGTGCGCTTTCATGTGCTGAGACTTCATGCCTGGCAGCCTGTGCTCCTTGAGTTCGCCGGCGCGCATGGGAAGGTGGTGGCAAGTTGCGGCTGTTTGGGGTGCCACTACGGGCTGCCATGTAGGCATTACGGTCTGCCACGGTCTCCAGGCTACGTGAAGTCGTGCGGAGACATAATTCGTCCACCGACAATGCCTGGGTCTTCTGTTGGATATCATGGCGCAGCTCGTCCAATTTGCCTTGGATCGCGAAGTTGCTTTCCTAAAATTTCCTAAATTCAATGAGGTCAGATGAGGTCAGATGGGGTCAGATTGGTTTAGAATTCGTTCTCTGCCCAATTGCTGGAAGAAGCACAAATCCCCTTCATGTCATATGCAGTCATACATCAAGCATGGACACGTTGTAGTACGTACCTTTATTCGAGGTTCATTTCTTCAGTCCTCATGTATCCCTCATTTTTTTTTTCTGGTGATTGAGTCATTGTGAGCCATGTGATGAAGATTCTAAGATATACAGAGAAGCTGCTCTGCACTATCCCTATTGCTACAGGCCATTGGCAACCAAGCAGTGGCATGCAATGGCAACAAGTGTAACAAATGTCCTGGGATTGGTTGAGCCACTCTCCAGCGCATGGATGGTGGCTTTTGTCTTCTTGATAAATTCCTTCAACTTTCGTTGAGCATCGATCAATGTGGCCTTCTCCACCTCACACGCTGTACCAGTACGGCGCAAGATTTGAGAGCCAATTTATGCCAATTTGACCAATACAAATTCAAAGCCTCAAATTTTGTCAAAGTAAACCAATACAAGAACGTCAAAACTAGTCCTGTTTCACTTTCAGTCTCAGACCTTCTTGTCACATCTTGTCACGTCATGCAAGCAAACAAACCCTGGAAACTTTAGAATAGAGATAGAGAGAGAATGAGACTAATTTAATTACATCGGTGATGGAAACCGCCGCACCTCCAGGCACACCTCCACGCCGTCACGGACCTGCTCTTTCAAGGGCCGACGCTCGCGTTGCTCCATTCGCCAAGTGCACAGGGTGAGTGGCGCATCTTTGGCCACCAAGGCATCCTAGAAAAGAGGCACCACAAAGTACCGTAACACAACATACCACAACCAGAAACAATGCAACAAAATGCAACAAGCATCTAGGAACTGTCTACATACTCTACACAGGCAAAAAAACAAGATATGCATACTTGGTGGCTCATCCCACTTAGTAAGTGGGTTATAACCCCAGTTATAAGTGGATTAACCCTACTTATCCCATTTATAACTGGGGTTATAAACCACTTACTAAGTGGGATGAGCCACCAAGTAGATATGCTATGACTGCAATCATCGACGTCTTGAAGGATTGGAGTTGGCAGAGGGCAAGCATGGGGAACCAATCCCATCTGCAGAGAATGATGCCACCACTGGCTCCGTCCTCTAACTTCATCAATGTCTGCCTGTGAGCAGCAATGCATGCGCAGCACTTTGACTTGATTGCAGCACACTGCCCCAGAGTCATAAGTCGAGTGCCAGAATATCATAATAAGCCATAGTACGTGCAAAAACTGTGCAAAATCTTGATCCGCTTATCTCATGCAGAATTCTTTGTTTCAGTTTGATACTCATTTGATTGATGAACAGCGGCTTCCCCAGCTCTGGGGCTTTAATTTGATCGGGAAATTGAGGAGGAATGCGGCTATGTCCTCAGTGTAGCCAGGCCATCCCCCCACTGCGACCGACAACTGCGCAGCTGTGCCAAGGCCTCGTATGCTGAAGGGAGTTCTCTACTGATTGTGCTCGATGCTGAAGTTTGTCCAGCAACCTCAGATGTTCTTTCATTGGAAAGACATGTCAAGAGGCAAACCGTGGAATTTGCAATGTATTCTTCACCCAATCAGCAGCCCGTGCAGGCACATGGAGGAAGCATTCTTGCTTGGCTGCCGGAAAGGCGGCCATCATTCTTGAGCATTCCCAAGTAACATCAAGTAACCTTATCCCCAAAAACAAAATCGTTGAGCATCTACAGTAGGAAAAGTAGCCCAGCAAATGGCAAGTGACCGCTGGGAGGTCTTGACCTTGTGTTCCTCAGCAAGCAGGGATTTGAGCAATGTCGCAGGAGCAAATTCGCAAGACTGGATTGCTAATTAGCTGCTGATTGTTTGCAATCAAATGCACAACTGTCCGAAAGCTGACCCACATGACCAAATATGATAACAAACCACAATAACACTTGCGTGACAATTCCATTTCATGCAATACCAGGCCATTCCATATAATAATATAATAATATCACATGATATCACATGCCATATTATGCCATATTTATTGGGATGTCTCTGAATAGCATCTTTGAATGTCTTGTCTTTTGTTTTGACATTTTGACATGTTTTGAGATGAGCTTCCAGGGAGGAGTGCAGCTCGCCGTACATGCCCATGTTATCTGAGACCACCTCTCCGCAGGCGCGACTGCTGCGATCCTGCTGATCCATCGCCTTTCTGTGGGCTGCTTGCGCCTGATGCACATTATATTGGGCACTTTGTGCCCACCTCAGTAACCGCCGAAGGGCCAAACGCAATCAACATCTCATAACGGAAAATAAAGGTTGCGGTTGCAGCTTCCATACGGTGCTTCCCATTCCCATCAAGTCAAACTTTGTGACTTGAACATACTGCAACTCTTTCACCGGGCGGTTTATGTTGGTCGCTGGTCATGATCGTTAACATGATGTACAAAAAAATATATTTTTATATATTATTTATAATAGGACAAAATGCAAATACGCAGCCAAGCAGCTCCTGCGTTGTGTGCATGCTCATGGCGGGCTGTTGCGCGTCTCGTGCGCGTCGTGCGACAAATGTTGCCAGAGCGCAACGGTTTGGGGTGAAATCTCTGAGCCCAGCTGCAGCGACTGTGCAAGTCAGACTCTGACAAAAGACTCAACTGTTTTTCAACCGCAAGTGTCAATTCATTCTGTTGATGCTGTGTCATTACACCATCTAATATCATCTAACTGTCTCATACCTTCTTGCTGCTTAAGGCAACAAATCTTCACAGGCTGCCTACCGTGGCATCTGTGGCCCCCAGGCCCGCTAAACCCTTGCTGACAGAATGCACATGATGCAAACACATTAAGCATCAAATTAAACAGAAACTTCACCGTAGAAGCAGCAGTGCAGGTTTGCTTTTGGCCAAAATCCAAAGAATGTCGACCAAAAACGTTTCGGAAACAAGTCATGCAGCCGCCTTGTTTGTTCGGATTCAGGGGAGTTGTGGAGGCAGTACCCTGGTCATGCTGATCTGTCCTGGGTCAAACAGCAATCCTTCCAAAGCAAAGTGCAGGCTCCGCTTGAATCGAATGGAAAGCCGTGAGAACCCTGTGGACGGGGAGGTGAATCTATAAGTCTATAAGTCAAAAGCATGTTGATAGCATGTTGTTTGTGTCCATGCCCGATTCCAGCAAAAGAATCCAACAGCAGTCTTGGAAACTGAGTAAGGAAACTCATGGAAACTCAGAACACACCTTGTCAAGAGCGGAACTCTGCTCAATTCCGTGCCCTGCTGACTAAAAAGAAATTGTAGGTGTGCCATGCTGTGCAATGGTACTTCCACAGATGTTCGGGTGCAAGATGGTGCAAGGCGATGGCTCGGGAGTTCGCAGCGCTGAAATGCTGAAAGCCAAGTTGGAGGCAATAGCAGCACATCCAAGAATGCAAAGAGAATCAAAAGGTACAGTGGTGTACCGATACCACATTGTTGAGCAAAAGCATAACAAAAAACAAAAAAGGATCCACATTGACCATCTTTGGCCTACAAAAGAGCTTATTAGCATCATCTTAAAGAATCGTTTTTTTACGTACGTACTGCGATAACCTGATTTTCAAGTGGAAATCTGAAATAATTATTGTATAATTTATATCAAGAATGACATCACAAGTGACAGGACGAGAAACACAAACGACGACGACAACGAGAAACGCGATGAAAATGGGGACGACAAACCGTAAGTGTTTTGAGGTAGCAATGACAGTACTAGCAGCGACACCAGCAAATGATGAAAATCACAAGAAACAAACACAAAGTGAAGCCACTACGCAAAGGATCCTGCTGTTCTACCAAGAAACTCAGCGTCCAAGGTGGCCCCCGAAGTTCCAGAGGCCAACTTCGAAGCTTGCAGTTCCTACCCAACGATTCCAGAGTAACTTCTTCATTCCCGCAATATATATAAATATATTGGCTTCACACTTGTTAAGACATAATGAGAATTGTGGACGTATCTGATGCTGCAGATACCTGCAACCAGTCGGAGCAACTGAATAATAAAGTTTAACCATTCAACATGCTTAACGACATAAATTGTCAATCATACACGCCTTGTCAGTAAACATGTTCCTGTCTCCTCGGATCGCTGGTAGCTGAATGGAACAATCAGACTCAGACTGGGCTGGTAAAAGACTCCAAAACTTCCAATGACGACACAAAAAGATTACAAAAAGGCACCTTCCCAATCCTTTTCCCCCTACTCCAGAGGTTCTGTATACTAATTAATTGAACTAGATATTGTGAAGTTGCGGCTTGGCCGGTGGCAAGACGATGTATGGGCACTATTGTATCTTGAATGCGTTTAATGGAGGGCCTCTTTTCGTTTCTTTTAGTTGAAGTCTCAGGTAAGATCATGTGCCTATAGAAAACCATAGAAAACCTCTAGTATGATCACAGCTGAACAGGTGGCAACATATTTCCTGTGCGATGGCCGAATATCGTTTGCAAAAATATGGCCTGCGCACTCCGCACTTCATGGTTTAACTGTATGGCAAATTTGCGCAATGGGCATTTGCGATTGGTTCTGCCTCCGGAAATGTGCTTATAATTATTCCAGAAAGGACATCATGGAGATGAAATTTAGGGAATGTTTCGGAATGATTCAAAACTTAAATAAGCAAAGAAACTATACTATAACTATACGTATAACTTATACGTATAACTAAGTATACAGCATACTCCATACAACTGGCAGCGCAACAACAAGCGCCCATAAATCACTTCTGAGTGGCACATACGACCAAAACGGAGCTTCATGAGTATTGCTGAACAAGTCCAAAGGTGCAAAAACGGTAAAGCCTTCCAAGCATCTTCCAAACGCAGTAGAAAGCAAAGCGATAATTGTCAGAATATATGTCATAAGTTGCTAATATGTTGTCATAAGACAATCGTTTGTATCATTGCTATTTCAAGTATATAATATAATTGCCGTAATTTACATAGTGAATGTGGCGATCATTCATGATCATTCAAATTTGCTTCCAAGTCTCTGAGGGCTGCAACACGAGCGAGAGCGCTGCCTTCAATGGCCAGTAGCAAACGGATGGGGCAAATCTGCTGGAATTACATGTTTCAGGCAACACTGTAGCAACTGTTGCAGTATTGAGATGTAGAAAGATTAGAAAGGATATACAGTGTCTTTGTATGAATTTTGGGTCTCTTTGAAATGAAGACTGACCGCATTTACTGAACTAGTGTGGAAGACGAACATTGCCAATATACAGTATGCTCTGACATTTTGTCTATATATGTATATCTGTGTGTGTGTGTGTCAGTGTGTCTGTGTAATTCTGTGCATATATATAAATATATAGGGTATATATACAGTATACTATGGAATGCAAAGAATATCTGGCACACCCCTTACCGCCCAGGCCCCTAGCTGCCTTTGCTGCCAATACGTTCAGCCACAATCTGGTGAAGAAGGTCGTCCTGTGCATCGAATCTCCTCATGATAATTTCGAAGTGTTCCTTCAAAGTCGTCATGTACCTTGCACGGATCAGAAATGCTCCGTGATGCTCCATGATGCCCCATGATGCTCCGCGTTCATGCATTTTCAACATCATGACGTGGCACCTCAGGACCTCGTGGGCTATACGGGAACTCCCTATCTTGTACCATGTGTAGCAGTGCGGTACCCAACTCTGCTGCCGCAAGTGGCAAGTGTCAAAAAATTGGCAAGTTGAATTTCCCACAGTTTCTAGCAGGCGAGCCGGTCAATGCACAACAATCACACACATTTGAAGGCAACCCATGAACATACAGTGTCTCTCGCCATGTCTGCCCGAGTGATTTTTTCCTGCTTGGAGACGTTGCATCATCTTGTTGCATCGTGTCCTGACGCAGGAGACCAACCACTCAGCAAAAGAATGCAGCGAAGGTCCGTGCCATTCTATGCCGCATAATTCACATAAACAAAACGCTAAGTTGGGTGCGAGCCACTGGTGCTAGGGTCCTGTGGCCTTTACCACACTGGCCACTGACTTGGAACATCTTGGAACACAGGAAGTCAGTTCTGAATGTGCAAAAAAAGGCATCACATGGCACTTCCTCCATGTCGCAGCTGCCCAAAACAAGCTCCGGATCAGTGTCCATTGCCACGACGCTGGGGGCGGGTGGAGCACCCGTACTTAGACGCGTTAGCCTTGGAGAAAATCTAGTTTAGTTCATGCTGAGAGGGAAAAACAACAAACCGACAAAATGCTTGGCTATAGTTTGATGACAATTTCAATTCTTTGCAACTCCAAACAGGTGCAGGATATGATATATGCTTCTGCTTGGTTAGCCTTTTCTGCCCGCAAAAAACATACAAACTCACTCTTCTGTCATAGGGTCGACTTGACACTGCTCTAAAATGCTCTAAATGACTCCTAAAGTCAAAGGAACTCTTTTGGTAGATCTGTTGATGACATCGGATTGCATAACTTAACTTTCAAGTGCACAAACAGTGCATCAACTGTGTGTTGCGTGAAACCTCCTGGAAACTGTGGGCGAAATTGGAGAAGTTGGAGATGGTGCTAATGTGGGCCGTGGTAGCTGTCCGATTCATAGGGCGGCGGAAGGCATCACGTGAAATTCAAAGGGCTCCACATGACTGGCATGCAAAATGGCCTTCCAAGCTCTCAGATATTCCTCAATATTCCTCATGAACACTAGACATCTCCAAGCATCTTTCCCCTGGCAATTACCCAAGAATATTGGAAATGAAAGTTGAAGGCGGACATTTGTGAAACTTGTGTGGCCCGAAGGATCCCGAAGCTACTCCATCCTTTCCATAATGGATAGATTGGAAGGCCATGTCCTTGAAGTACAGATAACTACATCCACGGACTTACGAGGCCATTCAGCTCAACACCAACTAACACCAACTCCAATGAACTCCACCCAGCCTCGATATCGTCAATCAGCTTTCTGCAAATCAACGGAAAGGATGTGAAAGTTCCTCCGGCGACAATGTCGTCCAAGAAGTTCCGGGGGTTGTGGGGTGGAATCTTGAGCCTGCGTCTTGGAGATGATCCTTCTGATTCAAGATTAGTAGCTCGTGCATGTGCCGGGGATACTGTCTCTAAGTATCTAAGTATCACGCAAGACGTCCAAAAGACACTCTCATTGAGACGGGAAAGCCTCGCATTGGTATTACAGGAGGGCGGAGCAACAACTTTTACTGCTGGACCTGTTCAACGTTTGACTTGTCTGCCATTGTGGCACCAGTCAGTCAGTTTCTGCATTGTACAAGATCCTCATGATCCTCTGAGTCAAAATCTGCCAAAAGGAAAGATATGCGACTTGTGCAGGACACTGTGATCTGATGACTGCTATATGCATCCGTTTCGCCAAGGTCAGCACAATGTTGCCCCTTTGCTGCAACCTCGCAGCCCCACAGTCTATTCAACAGCTCTTCCTCGGCGAATGCACTGAGACACGTAGGTGAACGGTTGAACCTGTTATCTATTTCTTATTCTGAGCAACAGCCATGCAAAGCGCAAGACATGAATAATACAGTAACAGTCATAGCCATATACACTAGCTTCACTCGCTTCACTAGCTTCTTTGCAACCGAACATGTTGCCTGCTTGGCCCCACTGCCTGCAACCAGACGTCGAAGATGTCGTGTCGTAACGTCGTGCGTGTCTTGATGAGGAGGAGCTTGCAATCCGTCAATAGGGATTGACAGCTCTCCCAGGATGGGAAATCTCGTCAATGGCAGTTCAACCATACGCCGGGCAACATCTGGCAACGCATTCAAAGTAGGCATCCTGATGTCTCATGAGCACAAAAACAACCACACCCACAAAGAAAATACAAAGAAGAACATGATACAACGAAGAAGAAACAAAAGAAAAAACAATATTGTCCGACTGGGCTGCCTTCAACCAAGTTGATTGATATTTTACATTATTTCATCATATATTGTATATGTCCATCTGTACATCAATTTTGGAACATTGCGTGATTTGGTCGCATAGCCTTTGAATGCCTTTGTAGCAACCCTCCAAAGTTGTGGCACCTCTTTCAGTCAGAAAACCCGGCCGCACCTGTTGTGGCTCCAGAGATCTGAAGGTCTGTACCCCGGCAGCACGACCCCTGGAGGTATCACACCTGGAGAGTGCAGCCGTTGCATGCCGTCGCCATATATGTTGCAATGACAATAGCGTAGCTGGCGTAGCTCCATTGCTCCATCTTCGGATTGAGATCAGTGTCAGCTACGTGCGAGCAAGGAGGCAAGGATAGCCTAGGCGGTGACCACGTGCAGCCAATGACTCAAGGTGGGGAATTATGTGAATTCAAGAATCCGAGATTTTTGGGAAACCAAGTCATCACGCTGGATAAGCACTGACAAATAGCACAACTGACAGACTGACAATGTTATTACTGAAACTTGCCGCTGCTGTGCAGGAAAGAAGGGTCACAGAAATCAAATCAACAATGAGAAAATGGTACTTTCACAGAAGTCTTCGGAAAATCTAAGCGGATCTAAGCAAGTTGGAGATTGCATTTACCTCCGTCTGCAGTTCAGTGAAGGTATTGTAGCAGGAGATGCCTCAGCTTGCGGCTTGTGCATCAGGGTCTATTGGGATCTTTCGAGATCCAAAATGTAGCCGATAAACGCTCATGCAAACCATGCATTTGGTACAGCAACTATGATATAGATGATCTCACACTGACTTGAAATGAACGCATCATGCTCAACATGCTGAAGTCTATTTCTGTAAGTACATATAAATTAAATATTATTAAATTGTTTCAATGTCTGTAAGAGCACTATATGCCATTGCGCTGTACTCGCCCGATCTGATTAAAACCTCAGCAGGGCGCATCCGACTCCGCCAAGTCGCCCTTGGCCAATCTTTCTCGGAAGCCCTGCACGAGCTTCGAAGCGTTCGAAGTACTTGGGTCCAGTCCCACAGCGACAGAAAACTCCACTGTAAGCTCACTCACTGCTCCTTGGCGGAGTTTCACTATTGATAAATAAATATAATATTTCATCCGGGCTGAAATATCCGGGGGGACCTTGTGCCCCCTCATTTTATTAGTACAGACCTCGGGCCTTACCCTGGTCTGCTACAAAATGAAAAACCACCATCAAAAACACCCAACTACAAAATGAAAAACCAGGCAGGGTCCAGGGGCATCAACATAGGTTTGCTACAAAATGTTCTGCCCAAGAGCTTGGTTTTAAATTTCAAAATCCAACATGTTACCTCTTGCTTTGTTGCAGGTCATTTTGTAGCTATTGCATTCTTCGACAGATCCAGGGGAGGGATTTCATTTTGTAGCCACATGAGGACCGCTCCCACATTTTTTCTCCCATTGTCAATGTGTAGAAAAAAAGGCTGGCATGATGCTACAAAATCATCATATGCCTAGCACATATCTTCTTCTTGATTGCCAACAAAAAACTACAAAATGTTCTCCGGGTCAAATAGCAAGTTGCTACAAAATGGTTTGTTTTTCTTTAATGTGATCATATGTTATCCAATAAAAACAGCTACAAAATGGTTTCACAGCCTCGCCACATAAACCCACACACAGCCTTAAAAAGGCTACTTTGCTCCAAAATGGTAGTCCTAGGTGCATTTTTCAAACCCTGTTTTACTGACAAAGTGCATTAGGTTGTAAGGCCAGGGCCCTTCAATCTGCAGTTGAAATTTTAACGCGCATAATATTTCTGTGTATATTATATAATTTGTGTGTATTGAATAATTACTACTGATTGTACCTCATCAAACACCCAAACGCCGCGCTGATTATGAATATATAAAAACATCGAACAAACCCAAACAACACGTTCGCGTCGAATTCAGGATGTCTTGCTCTTCTTTGCCAAGTGATTGTATGAGTTCGTTCGTTACATTTACCTTTGCCACCTTTTCAAGCATGTTGATGCCCAACAAATTTAAAACGTCATGAAGTAATCCTTTCCCCCTATTACTAAACACCCCTCAAATAATAAAAACTAGGGTCTGTCTCCAATTTTGGAAAATTTGAGGTTGGCCAATTTGATTTTTAATTGATCCCCGTTAGAAAACAATTTAAACATGAAGCTACCATTTTAGGGTTTCATAATAAAAACTAGTCAGCCCCGAAGTGTTTTCTTATTAGGGTCCGTCTTTTAAGGTCGAAAAGCAAAATATTTTTTATTAAGGATTTTAATTGAATATTAGGGGAAACCTTCCAAATCCATTTTTGTTAATTAGATTTCAAAAGGAAATCTATATAATCGATTTGAAATAGAACAAAATAGTTTTTTTTATATTAGGGTTTTAAATTTACTATTAGGGCGAAGATGGGCGAAGCTTCGAAATCCAATTTTGGGCAATATCTTAATTAGATGTTAAAAGGAAATCTAATCGATGTTGAAATAGAACATTTTTTTTAAATATTGCAGTAGGGTTTTAAATTTACTATGCTTCGAAATCAAATTTTTGGAAATATTTTTAGATTTTGAAAGGAAATCTAATCGATTTTAACATAGAACAAAATTAACAAAATACTTATTTTTAACAACATCAGGGTCTTAAATTTAGTATTAGGGGGAATCCTAATAAAAACACCACCTAATAATAAAAGGACCGGATAACCCCACATGTCAAGCCTTTATGTAGCTAAGCTTAATGTGAACTTCGGGGAGTGTGAGAAGTGGACTTGTGATGTCAGGTGTGAGAAGTGGACTTGTGATGTCAGATGTGAGAAGTGGAGCTGTGATGAGTTCTGATGTGATAAGTGAGGTGTGAGAAGTAGTGTGAGAAGTGAAGCTGTGATGAGTTGGGATGCGAGAAGTGGTGATGAGTTGTGATGAGAAGTTGTGATGTGATAAGTGGGGTGTGAGAAGTGGAAGCGTGATGAGTTGGGATGTGATAAGTTGTGATGAGTTGTGATGAGAAGTGGGCCTGTGAGAAGCGATGAGAAGTGGACCTGTGAGAAGTGGAGCTGTGATGAGTTGTGATGAGCAGTGGAGCTGTGATGAGTGAGGTGTGAGAAGTGAAGCTGTGATGAGTTGGTATTTGATAAGTTGTGATGAGTTGTGATGAGAAGTTGCAGCCGCGGCCCAGCGGCGGCCACGCGCGCCGCAGCTCCTGCAGGAAGCTCCGTGTACTGCGCCTGCCACACGAGAGGCAGCCACGGCCCAGCGGCGGCCACGCGCGCCGCATGTCCTCCAGGAAGCTCTGTGTACGGCGCCTGCCACACGAAAGGCAGCCGCGGGCCAGCGGCGGCCACGCGCGCCGCAGTCTGTGTGCACCTGCCACGCGAAAGGCAGCCCCGGCCCAGCAGCGGCCACGCGCGCCGCAGCTCCTCCAGGAAGCTCTGTGTGCTGCGCCTATGAAAGGCAGCCGCAGCCCAGCGGCCCAGCGGCGGCCACGCGCGCCGCAGCTCGTCCAGGAGGCTCTGTGTGCTGCGCCTGCCACGCGAAAGGCAGCCGCGGCCCAGCGGCGGCCACGCGCGCCGCAGCTCCTCCAGGAAGCTCTGTGTACTGCGCCTGCCACACGAAAGGCAGCCGCGGCCCAGCGGCGGCCACGCGCGCCGCAGCTCCTCCAGGAAGCTCTGTGTACTGCGCCTGCTACACCAAAGGCAGCCGCGGCCCAGCGGATCCAGCGGCGGCCACGCACGCCGCAGCTCGTCCAGGAGGCTCTGTGTACTGCGCCTGCCACGAGAAGTAGAGCTGTGATGAGTTGATGGTGAGAAGTGGGAGGAGCTGTGATGAGTTGAGCTGTGGGAGCTGTGATGAGTGGATGGTGAGAAGTGGAGCTGTGATTGGGAGCTGTGATGAGTTGAGTGAGGTGTGATTTGATGAGTGAGGTGTGATTTGGGAGGAGGGAGCGGCGGGAGCGGCGGGAGCGGCGGGAACCGGAAGAGGCGGGATCCAAGCGAAAAACAAGAACCCCACACAGTGATGTGGGGAACAAAAACTACCTGAGGTGTTTATTATGTGGGGGGGCGTTTAGTAGTAGGGGGAAGGGATTAGTGTCGTGATGGCGTGTATGATCATGCGCCATTGGTTTGGTATGGTTTGGTTAGGGCTGTTCAATGCAAAATGTTGGGAGATCTTTTGGGATTTGGACAAGAATAGAAGCCAGCACATTCTCATACATGTTCAAACCTGCGCACCCGGCCGTCGATAAGGGTTGCAAGATCACTGCATGGCGACACTTTTGAAAGTAGCTCCCTGGCACTTGCCAAGATTCGCTGAGCGGCATGGTGGAATGCTTCTTTAGCAGCGCGATGTTGGGCATTCGCAAAGTCAGCACATGATCTGAGAGAACCTGCAGTGAGGATGGAATGATATTAGGAGAGAGAAAGAATGGAATTTGATGGAATGGCTATCCCCCTCTAAATTCAGTCTCTAGCCTGAACCCAGGAAACCCAGGTGGCACATGTTGTAAAAACACCCCCTGGAGGCCCTGGACAAAGAATAAAACAGTCCAGGTTGCAGTGGTGCACGGGCAAAATCATACCCCCCCCTATAAAGCCTCTGACAAGGTTTTGGGGTTTTGGCAAGCGCTTGGAAGCTGACATTGTCGATTAAAGGGTCGAGCATGCTTAGATAAACGGGTGTAGAATAGTTTTTGTATTTGTTTTTGCCTCAGGTTTTGGATGTTTTTTTTGGATTTCTTTCCCGGTACCATTTGCCTTGTATTTGCAACAGTTTGGAACTAGAACCTGTCATTTTGCATAGTGTTTGCTACATTTTGGCATGGTCACTTTGCATTTTGCATGGTATTTGCTACATTTGGCCATGTTCGCCTTCCATTTTGCATGGTATTTGTCACATTTTGGCATTTCAACCTCTCATTTGCATGGTATTTGCATGTATTTGCTACATTTTGGTGCTTCAAACGTTCATGTGGGTCTCTTGAGGGTTCTTTAGGCTTTCATTTAGGGCTTCATTTAGGGTTTCATTCAAGGTTTCTTTAAGGTTTCATTTAAAGTTTCTTTAGGGCTTCTCTAGGGTTTCATTTTGGGGTTTCAATTTAGGGTTTCAATTTAAGGTTTCATTCAGGAGTTCATTTAAGTTTTCTTTATAGGGTTTCATTCCAGGGCAGGATTTCTTTTCACGATTTCTAAACGTTCAAGTGGGTTCCTTTAAGGTTCCTTTATTTAGGGTTTCATTTGTGGTGTCATTTAGGGTTTCTTTAGGGATTCTTTAGGGTTTCGTTTAGGGTTTCATTTAGGGCTTCAATTTAGGGTTTCTTTAGGGTTTCATTTAGGGCTTCAATTTAGGGTTTCATTTAGGGTTTCTTTAGGGTGTCAATTTAGGGTTTCTAAGGTGTCAGTGAAGGTTTCATTTAGTTTTTGGGATATCATTTAGGGTTTCATTTATTGTTTCTTTAGGGTTTTACTTATGGTTTCTTTAGGATTAATTTATGGTTTCTTTAGGGTTCATTTATGGTTTCTTTAGGGTTCATTTAGGGATTCAGGTAGGGTTTCTTATCCGGATTTCTTTAGGGTTTCTTTGGGTTTCACCTAGGGCCTCTCTAGGGTTTCATTTAGGATACAAACAGAACAGAATAAAGCCAAAAAAATCAAAAACAAAGAGACAGTAAAGACAGCAAGCAAAGAAGCAAAGGAGCAGGAAGTAGAGCAGCAAAAACACATGACTGAAGAAAAGAAAAAGTAGAATAGTAGAAGTAGAATAGTAGAAGTAGAAAGGCGCAGAAGTACAAAAGCAGAGAAGCAGGGAAAACAGAGAAGCAGAAAAGCAAAGAAGCAGGAAAAGCAAAAAGCATAAAAGCAGAGAAGCAGGAAAAGCAGAGAAGCGGGGAAGCAGGGAAAGCAAAAAGCAGAGAAGCAGAAAAGCCGAGAAGCAGGAAAAGCAGAGAAGCAGAAAAGCAGAGAAGCAGAAAAGCAGAGAAGCAGAAAAGCCGAGAAGCAGAAAAGCAGAAAATCAGAGAAACAGGAAAGCATAGAACCAGGAACCCAAAAAAAATGCCAAAACCTGCCGCGAAAAAAAAACATAAATAGCTGAAACCCTAAATTGACACCCAGAAGAAACCCTAAATGAAACCCTAAATTGAAACCCTAAAGAAACCCTAAATTGAAACCCTACATGAAACCCTAAAGAAACCCTAAATGAAATCCTAAATGAAACCCTAAATGCAACCCTAAAGAAACCCTAAATGACACCCTAAATGACACCCTAAATGACACCCTAAATGCAACCTTAAAGGAACCCTAAAGGAACCCTAAAGGAACCCACTTGAACGTTTAGAAATCGTGAAAAGAAATCCTGATAAGAAACCCTGGAATGAAACCCTAAAGAAAGCTTAAATGAAACCCGAAAGAAACCCTACATGAAACCCTAAAGAAACCCTAAATGAAACCCTGGAGAAGCCCTAAAGAAACTTTAAATGAAACCCTAAATGACATCCCAAAAACTAAATGAAACCTTAACTGACACCTTCGCTGAAACCCTAAATTGACACCCTAAAGAAACCCTAAATGAAACCCTAACTTGAAACCCTAAATGAAACCGTAAAGGAACCCTAAAGGAACCCACTTGAACGTTTAGAAATCGTGAAAAGAAATCCTGATAAGAAAACCTGGAATGAAACCCTAAAGAAAGCTTAAATGAAACCCCCCAAAAAACCCTAAATGAAACCCTAAAGAAACCCTAAATGAAACCCCAAAATGAAACCTTAGAGAAGCCCTAAAGAAACTTTAAATGAAACCTTAAAGAAAACTTGAATGAAACCCTAAATGAAGCCCTAAATCAAAGCCTAAAGAACCCTCAAGAGACCCACATGAACGTTTGAAGCACCAAAATGTAGCAAATACATGCAAATACCATGCAAATGAGAGGTTGAAATGCCAAAATGTGACAAATACCATGCAAAATGGAAGGCGAACATGGCCAAATGTAGCAAATACCATGCAAAATGCAAAGTGACCATGCCAAAATGTAGCAAACACTATGCAAAATGACAGGTTCTAGTTCCAAACTGTTGCAAATACAAGGCAAATGGTACCGGGAAAGAAATCCAAAAAAAACATCCAAAACCTGAGGCAAAAACAAAAAACAAAAACTATTCTACGCCCGTTTGGTATGCCTCCAAAACATCCCAAAATAAGGTTCTCTAAAGAATCAGAATCCCAATTTCCTTCTAGAACGAGAATCCAATAAAAGTGTAATGACATGTAGTTACCACGTAAGTCTCGTAAGAATGGTAATTAAAGTTTTTGACAACCCGGGTTCTCTGATTCTCTTGGGGAAATTCCAATCGAGATCAACTTGAGGCCAAGAGGGGGGTGAACGAAAGCTAAGGAACATATGAGCCTGGAATGATGGTGTTTTGACAGGATTTGATATGCTGAATACAAATTGCCTAGAGGCCTGGCAGGATTCGAGCCCGTGACCATCTGCTTCCAAGACCGCTTCAAAATGCCCCGGGAGCTTTGGGGGGGTCGAATGAAAAATCACTGTGTTGGACTGAGACGTGCCCCTCCCCTTTCTGAAGCAAGAGTAACTCCAGCCAGCTACCGCTAGCTTTCGTGATGAGTTGTGAAATGCACGAGAACTAAATTGGTACAGGGATGCAGTGTTATCCGAATGACGTTTCAGGATTTTGGTCCTAGCCTAGCAATCTGCTGTATTGCTGAAGGTCTTTGGTGGACCAAGGCTCTGTTGTGCTCTGCCGCTGAATCAGCTTTCAAGTTACTGTATGGTCCTACAAAGGTGGCACCCGGAGACAGTTCTATGCCGTATATTAATCAATATCATATAATCATATTAATCTAATTACGCATTGAAACAGGAGAATCAGCATCAGCAGCTGAGGTGTCAAAAGCACAGCCAATCCAAGTAACGATTCATCAATGATACCGCATGCCTTTTCTTAATTGCTGGTGTTGACATCTCGGTATTCAGCTCGAGAAGCGCGCGACCTCAGGAAGCAACCACAACGAAGTCAACGGTTGACGCAACGCAATAGACAGAAAAGCTATACGCGGTCCTTTCATATACCTACGAACTCCAAAAGGACATAATTTCAGCCTGAAGTGGAAAAACCGACTTTTAGGGTCTCAGACTGAAATTTCGGTCTGAGGGGGATTTCAGGCTAAATCTTGAATCTCAGGCTGAAAACCTTGAATCTCAGGCTGAAAATCTTGAATCTCAGGCTAAATTTGATAAGAAGTCAGGCTCAAACCTCAAGTTAGACACGTTGAAACATGGCGATCTCCACTGTTGAATGAATCTTCAAGGTGCCGCCCATCCCTTTGCCTTGCCTGCCTTTGCGATGTCACAGAACTGACATGGTTTAGGATCCAAAACTCCGTTCTCAAGTCTTGAAAGGAGATTGTGACAGCTTGGAAGTTGTTTTTGGCTCAGGGTAGTAGCTCCGGTTTGACCCAATAGAAAAGATCTGGAGCTAATGGTTATGGTATCGTTCCTTCATGTGGAATGGTCTACTTTCAAAGCGCTGGAGGAAGCAGGACTAGTTCAACCAACTGATTTGCTACAATTGTTTTGTGGGGAGAATGTACTTGTGAATCGCCACCCTTGCTAGGACTGACTCAGCTGCCAGGGGAATGGTGGCGTCAGGTCCAAAGAGCCCTTTTCCCCACCTGTGCTCCTGAAGTCTCTCGCTCTGTGAAACGTTAGCCCAAGACCGGAAGCTGTGTTGTAATGTGCCTGCCTGTGAGAACATTTTCTCCTTATTTCTCCTTCACAGGGATTCAATGCTTTATCCAAGGTTTACTTGTCCCAAGACCGGGCCCAGACTATCTTGGAGAATTACCTACTTCATGGTACCAGCTTCTTCTTTGCAGCGGTTGCTAAGAAGTTCATGAAGTTCAATGTTACTTGTAGGCAATTCGGAAAATACAATTTTTACCCGAAAGGATCCACCCAATCTATCCTACAGTGGTCCAAGGCTGCCTCGCACCCATGCCGCAAGATCTAGCTCAGTGAGGTGTACAAAACACCTTGGCAGCGTTGTGCCACTGCAGTGGCTCTCTGGGATTGGGGTTAACAGAAAAACTGTGGGGTGATCAAGAGTCGCCGTCTTGAACTGCTATGCATATTTTCCAAAATTTGAAGGATATCTTTTTTGCCACAGCTAAAGTTAATTTTAGATGGGATGCCCCAGGATATCTTCTAAGGTAGTGAAGCCATGTTTGCCCCTATGCGCAGGTGCTGTGAAGTGTTTGATCACGGTCTGCCATGTGGACAAGTTCAACACGTGCCCCAATCCAGGATTGACCGGCTTCCAGTTGCAGCATCAGCGGCCTGATTGCTGCCATTTGGCAGCCTGTTGTAGTTCATCCCCTCTTCCTCAGCATTTGGCTTGAAAAATTTGAGAAACACAAAGTTTGGCCAGAATCAGTTGGACCTGCGATGGATCTCCCAGCACAGGGGTCCAAAGACCAGGAGTACCCAGATGGGGAAGGATCTTTGAAGGGTCTGTGTAAAGAGCTTGCAAAAGACGAACGGGTGCTGACCCATGCCCTTGCTAGTGGCAGGATCATGCGATGGTCAAGTCCCAAAATGGTTGGCGTCATCAATTTCAAAACCCTTGCAGAAAACTTTCGGGTGGTTGAGAAGACTCTCAGAATGTGGCTACCACAAACTGAAGTACCAAAGACCATTTTGATTGAAGATGCCAGGGAACAGGCGGGATAGGGAAAATAATATATATATTTTTATTTGTAGAATATATATTATAATATATACATAATCTATCAATATAATACATATGTTCTCTTCTATGTTATATGTAAAATAATATATATATAATATAAATAATATATATATATATATAAATAATATATATATATATAAATAATAATATATATATATATAAATAATATTATGTTTAAAATGGGTTCCCATTCCACTTTTCCCCATCCATTGCATTTGTAATACCAGTGACCACTTTCAGAGTAAACCCAGCCCCTTTCAGATGGAGCTCTTTCGTGCGATGCTTTCCATGCCCGAAGACACTGTCTTGATGAACTGCGATGCTGTTTCACTACGTGGTTTCATCAGCTACATGGTGAAGCGTCATGATGGTGCAATCCGCAGAGATTCTTACTTGGAATGAACTTAACAACTTGTGAGTTTAGCCAGCCTTGTCAGTCAACTACTATGGCCTATGGGTTTTCCTCTTTTTGCCACATTATTTTTCTAAAACAGACAGAACTTTCATCCTGAAGAAAAATGCATAATCCCATCACCCTAAGATTAAGTGGCCTATTAATGATCCCAATGATGTGGAAACCCATTACTAAACCATGGTTTCTAAGGGGGTCCTTAATATTAGGGGGAAGAGATTATGCCGCCTTAAGCCATGGTATACCTACTATCCCGTTGCCTCGCTGCAAAGGACCCCATTGTCGCCACCCTGTTCAACATGGTCGCCGCCCATTGGCCGGTCATGGTGAGACCCAAGCTGGGCAGCCAAGAGTCGCTTGAGGCTGGCGAGGAGGAAAATGAAGAGCACGATCCTGACGAAGTGGATGATGCTGATTTGGCACAAGGGTTGGGGGTGCTGTGTGGCGTTGCTGAACCAGTAGAACCCCTACCTGACTCCGAGATCCCTGAGACACAGCTGCTAGAATCACAAGCCTATACAGAAATGGACTTTGATTCACTAGTTCCTGCGAATGACTGTCCAGTTGTACCGTGTGACCAGCAAGATTCCTTGGAGAATGTCTTTGAGGGTGGTGAGAACTTGGGTAGCAAAGATGCAGCAGCTTCACCAGCCACTGAGAAATCGGAAAGCGTAGCCCCTACGGAGATTGAGAACACTCCGTCTCCTCCCCGCCCAGGGCCTGATGGTGTTATCGAGATTGCCGAGTCTCCAAGCATTCCTGTCCGAGTGCTGCCGCCAAAGAACCCCGCAAAGGTGAGTGAGGAAGATTTGGCCACACTCAGGGAAAAGATAGCTTTGCTCAAGTAACCCGACTCAAAATGCAAACATTTTCTCAAATTTCCCTGGTTACGTTAGTTAGATGTTCTATAAGGGGGGTGGTCCATGGGTAATCCCAGCTATTTTTAAAAAATCAGAACCATGTACTTTTGAAAACATAAATTTACCTAGCTGAGGTCAAGGATCAATATGCGACAACAGCCTCGCCCTTTGCAAAGGGCACCTTCTGCGCCAGCAGTGGACCCATCCACTCTGGACACCTTGCCTATGTTTCATGACTTCTTGGAGGGCAGTTCTCCAACCAAGCCGGATGAGGGTGTAGAAACAGGAGAGAAGTCTCATGGCCTTGCTGACCTACCTCATGGTGAAGTCAACAGCGACTTTCCTGCTGACCTTCAACATGGTAAAGTCAACTACGACGACTACCAACTTCCTGCTGATCTACCTCATGGTGAAGTCAATGACCAACTTCTTGCCGAAGCTGGTGTGCATGGTGATGCTATGGAGCCAAAGACCCCTGAGCAACCTGAAAGCGATCTACCAGACCAGCCCTGTCCCAGGACCCTTGACCAGCCTCTTGCTTCTGATGCCAAAAGTCTTCATGATGAGCCCGAGCCATTGGCACCTCAGAACGTTGTGACGGAAAATGCGGAGGGTGAACATGGAGGAGCTGTTGCCCCTGAGGATACCAAAGAGGGTGGTGAGGAACCTGAGCCTGCTGATGGGCCTGAGGATTTGTTCAACGCAGAGGTTCAAACGACCCGACATGAACAGTTTGCGGAGAGAGATAGGTTAGCCAAAGAAGCACCGATGACCAAAAAACAAGCAAAGGCAGCAGCTGCAAAGAAGAAGAAAGCCGATGACAAAGAAAAGGCGAAACTTGCGAAGGAGAACAGCAAAGCCTTGGCCAAGGCTAAGGCAAAATTCCAGAAAGAAAGGGCCAAGGCTGAAAAGTTGGCTGCAAAGTTGGCTGCAAAGTTGGCTGCAGCTGACAAAAAAGATGAGAAAAAAGCTGACAAAAAAGCAAAGGCTGCACCGAAGAAGAAAGCTGCACCGAAGCAGGAGGCAACAAAGGGACGAAAAAACAAGAGCAAGGACAGCAAGGAGACACATGATGAGGGCACAACAGAGACCGCCGAGATTCAAGGTGAAGCTCCATCAGTTCCTGCTGACACTGGGGGCCCAGAGGTCAAAGAACCCAAGAAGCCCCGCACCAAGAAGGCCAAGCAAGCTCACACTCCTGGTGATGGCCTTCCGGTCGCCCCTGAGGCAAGCTGCCCTGCCCCCGTGGAAGCTTCTGGTGACCTTGATCCACCGAAGAAGCGCAAAGCTGAGGATTTGCCAGATGGCGCCAATGATCCCAAGGAGAACCACAAGGAGAAGGCAACTTTTGCCAGGAGAATCCGTGGCAAGGGTGAGAAGGCAGGAAAGCGCTGGGACAACATCAAGGGAGTCTTCATGGACCTTGTGGCCCCACTGATCCGCCGACCTTCGCCTTTCGAGGCATATGTTTGTCAAAAGGGTTAGGGGTGAATAATATTAACTGCTTTTACAATATTACATAGTATCTACCAAATCCCCAGGTCATATTATGTAGAAGGCATCCCCCTACGATATGGTTGTATATATATATATATACCTTAAAAGACATTATGGTCCACCATTTGTAAACCAGGTTTTTGTTATGGAAACAAGGTTTAGTTATATATATATATATATTATTATATTATATATATTATGCTGATCGCTTTCCAGTGGCTGGGGCGGCCATACTATAAATTTGGCGAACATTTTTTTTGCCACCTGTCTGACCAGGACCCGTTTTGGACACATTGTGTGAAGTTGGAGAGGGAACAGTATCAGGAGAATGAGAATACCAGCCAGTACGAGTTCTTCAAGAGCTGCGTCCAGTCCTTCTTGGAAATCCCAGGCGTCAAGGGTTCCTTGATATTGGTTGGAGCTGTCAATTGATTTGATTTGTTTAACTTTTGGGGTGGCACCCACAAGCCCAGGGTTGAATTTGAACCCATCACCCAACTAAGAAGAGATGGCCAAAGTCGGTGCGCCGTGATCCAACTGAGAGAATATTCCGTTTTTGTACGTGTCACAAAATGATACATATTAGGGGTTTCTGGCAGCGCGTTAGACTCAGGAGTGGGATGGCCAGTAAACCAAAAGCTGACTCCCAACATGCCATAACTGAAATTTTGAAAACATATTTTTTGATGGGCTGGCCGTTCCATGGGCTGAACTCGTGCTGACATGACATCTAAATTTGGGCAGAGTGCCCTTCACTCTGCTGCAGCGAGTGTGTGGAACCTGTGACGCCGGGAGCTCTATTGCTGGCAATACGGGAAAACAGTCTCAACTACCCATCATTCTGTTGAGTTTGAGATGACTTTTTTTTTGGTGAAAAATCCCAAATTAAAAAATGATGAGAAAACATGAGGAAACCACCGAAACACCAATCACTGTATTTCACCATACACACTATTGCAGCTCATTACCTTCTACAGCAGCCAGGTACGATCGATGAAGAGGCGAAAGCTCCGTTGCTTGGGGCCCTACGTGAAGCATGGTGTCATCGACTCGGATCGTGGGCCTGGCCAGAGTTTCCCCAGCCAATTCAGCTTGAGTGTGCCGAAGTCTGATCCAAGTTCTGGGTTTCTCTATAGCTGATGATGTGTCCTTAAAGTTTCGGCTCCTGACACTTAGTGACTTAGTACCCTTCGGAATGAAGAGGTCTAGAAGTACATGTGACTCTGTGCCACCCAAGCTGGATTGCGTTCTCCGGCGATTGGTTTGGTTGCGTGCGCCCCGCGCACCTCAATTGAATACTGGTTTGAACTGGTTTCCAAAAATCCACACTCCATGCCAGCTTGTTTCCAAGCCAAACACTGGTAATGCTAGCGGTTCCCCTGTTCCATGAAAGCGCTCAGGCATTTATTCTCCTAATCCTCTTGATTGGGAACCTGACCATTGTGGATTTTGAGAACCCTGCTGCTGAGTACGAGGTGTTGGAATACTACGCTGGCACGGCAAGGTTAGCACGATTGGGGAAAGCCATGGGGCTCAACGTTGCTGCCATGGATTCCCTTTATGATGTGGCAGGGGATAACCGGAAGAAGAACAATTCTCATGATTTGAATACGTCTGGAGGAATGGTGTTCCTTTACCAAATACTTTGAACTTCGGTTTTGGTGCTTTTTATTTGCTGCCCCCTTAGCTGCACCCAACCAGCCTGGGTGGTGCGTTGAAGCTTTGAATCTGAGGCTCGCTTGCACCTTGGCCCTGCAGGGGCGGTGGCACTGCTGCCTAGCTTTGTTTGGCATATGCTGCAGTACTTTTGTGGCCATCTCACGGGGGTCAACACTTCGTTGTCCATTTGTCCCAGAAGGAAGTCCAGTATCCCTTGCAGTTTACAAGGCGAACAAAGGCTTGGTCAGGCAAGGTAGAACAAACCAATTCTGGATAATATGTATGCATGTCATCCGAATCCAATATATATTGCAGTATATATGTATTATAGTATATATATAGTGTTGTATTAAACACAGTAAATGTATATATATATAATATACCAACCTTTTCATCATCCTATCTACAACGTACTAAGTGTGCCTGTTACATTTTAACTGTGTTTATTATGCTATGGTATGTAAATATTTCTTTGACATGCACTGCTATGTTGATCCAACATATTCAAATCAGATATGATTAGAGAAATACAACCCAAACCCAAACATACCTGGATTTTGGCGAAGGTTAGTTGACGCAAACCCTGAAGGTCTATGTTGATACTGCTACTTGTGATAGCGGTTGGGATAATTCCGATCCTGGAGAATCCTGTGAGTACGCTCATGAATTGCCACCCGAAGTTTCGCCTCGTTGTCAAGCTGCTGCAGGACAAGGGCATAAGTCTTCCGACCGGCCTTTATCCACAAGCTGTTGGTGGGTTTGGGATAAAGGATGCCAAAAATCAACATGGTCCCTCTTAGATTAACAATTCTTGGAATCAAAAAAATCATACCCCCCAAAAAAACATGTCAGTGGGTATTTTTTTGGAGCTTCAAAACTATGTCACGTTTGTTGGTAAGTGGGATGGGGATGTCATAGGAAGGGCTAGAAGGGCTAGCAAGACAAATGTGTTTCAGAAAGAGTGGGCCACATAGGGAGTTCATTGCCCCCCATTCCTTCAATATATATATATATAATATAAATATATATAATATATAGTATATATATATATATTGAAGGAATGGGGGGCTGTAATTAATATGGTTCCTGGTGGTTGGATGGCCAATGTTCTTTTGCATTTTGCTTTTCGAAACCAATGATGACTAAGTTCTTTACAAGCAAGCGCTATGGATGAAGCATCATGGGCACCTATGTTTAAAGCGGACGCTATTATGGTCGACATCACCAGCTATCCGGCTACTTGATTTGGGCCCCATTGTCAAATCAAAGCACAAGAGTTTACTGGCCACTACAGTCCAGTACCGAGACTCCAAGGGAGCCAAGCGTTTCAAAGGCTCGAAAGCGCTAAAATCCACGCAGTGCTTGAACTGAAATTTAAAGTGGTAAACCCAAATGCTAAGTATAATGAATGATGACCCCCAAATTGTAAAACAAACATTTCGAACATGACCCAAAGATGTGATTTATCATTCGTTGGGTTTACCACAGCTTTTTTGAAATGTTTTGCTATATATTTTCAGTTCATATTATAAAATGTATATATATTATATTATATTATATTATGGAAACATACCCATTCCTCTTGGTCCCCTGATGTCCCCGGCCTATTCATAGTTTCATTCTGCCTTAGCCAGCACCGTGGCCAAGGGTATATCCCGTACGGTTTGTGGGCAAGATCTTCGAAAACCGGAGTGTCTTTCAGGAGACAGGTCCGAAATTGCCAGAGGTGGGAAAGAATGGTTTGGGTGAGCTGATTGATTTAGATATTTGGTCCATACCCCAACCAAAGAAAAACATGAGTCCTATGGGGTTTCAGAGGTTACCTTCGAAGCTGACCGACATTCCACCTCCAATCTTTTTGCCTGGGACAGATTCAGAACCATGGACAATGGCCCCTTCAATGCTGAAGATTACACTGCACTTTCTTGGGTGGCCCCTTTGTAAAAATACAGTTACATTTTCTTTCCGGTCTTTTGAGGGAAGTCAGCAAAAATGATTCACAATCACAATGCATACAGCCAGCTAGTTTTTAAGTGAAATTGTTTGAGGGCAAGCTCATGTTTCCCAGGTGCTGTTCCCAGACAAGACTATCCTGGAGCTGCTCCAAGAGCTTCCTACTGGAGAGGACCCCTGGAACGAAGCTGAGCTGTGGAGCCCTTTGGAATATGTCCGAAGGTCAAAACTACTTGACCTTCCCGATGCTTATCGCATCCTTTTCACAAGCTAGGTCAAAAAACTAGCTCACTAATTCAGAAACCAGAGAGTCACCACATTGTGGCACGCTTCAAGTGTGTTAGTGGTAAAAAACAGCTTTGCACAGATTCATGAAGAACCATGAAGAATCTTATTTCCACTAAACTGGCTTTGGGATTCTGGAATTTCAAGCATGGTTTTGGAACTACAAACCTGAATTCATGAAAAAATCGGGCTGAAATTTGTCAACCACCAAAAATTTTCATGAAAAATTCGGGCAAAAAATCCCACTATTCGGGCAAAAAAACGCACTATTCGGGCAAAAAATGCCGAAACTCAAAATTTTCAGAATTTTCATGATTTTTTTTGAAGTTCAAATCTTGAATTTTCATAAATTTTCATGATTTTTTTCATGAATTTTCATGATTTTTTCATGAATTTTCATGATTGTTTGGGTTTGATTTCAATCCATGATTGAACCACTTATCGCCATGTCCCAGAATCTTTCTGGCTGGAAGGTGGGATACGGATAGGATGGAAAGGGGGCACCTTTCCCAAACCTGGTCATCTGAGACCCTGGCACGCGGGGTGGGCATTGTCCATTCAGCCACCATGTCGCTTCAAAGTGACCCTGAGCATGAGCAAATGCTGGTAGAGCTTGCCAGGCTAGAAGCTACTGGGTTCACATCATATTTTATTGGGTAACAATTTCAATCCCCATCATATCTGATTCTGCCTATATATATATATCAAAATAACTCCTGGAATGTGTGGCATCATATTTAACATTATTTAACTATATTGTTTAGTTATGCATATATATATATATAATTTGGTTCTTGCTGAAGGGCCCCAAACCTCCGACATGTTCCTTTCAAACAATACCTTCCAGCATCTTAGGCTTTGGAAAAAACTCTGATGGAGAACAAATATGCGACCGCTTCAGAGTCAGTGGTTGATGATGAGATGGCCGATGATGACTTACAAATTTTGTTTGTCAAAGAGGCACCTATGTTTTTGACATTGCATCTTGAGCTGATCATGACCACCTGTGAAAAATAACAATTTCTTCTTTTTATATTCTACTGCCAATGCATCGGCAGGCTAAGAATGCCATCAGGCAGTCCCTGGTGAAGAACGAGAATGCTGAGGAGGAATGTCCTTCGCCCACTAAGGTTTGTGGTTCTGCTCCTGCCCCAACGGAACCCCAAGATGACGAGATGAAGAACGATGTGACTGTCCCGGCTGAGATCCCTGAAAGGAATGAAAATCAACCCGTTGACCCGATGGAAGAAGAAACTTCCCCTAGCGAGGCTGAACTTGAAATTCCCAATGCCTTTCCTTGGAGTGAGGAAGATGATTTTCAAGATGATGATGATGATGACCACACACTCGATTACTCACGTAGCAAGAGCAAGTTACCTGATGATGTTCAAAATGATGATGAGATGAAGGATGGTCAGACACCCACTTCAGGGGAAGTGCCGACAGACCCAGCCGACCAGCAGGTTCTTCCGAGCAACCCTCCAGCCCCCGTGCCTGATGGAGGCATGGCGCCAACAGGCACACCGAAACCTGCTTACTTGCGGCTGGATCCAGGTAGAACCACAGAGCGGGGTGGGGCAGGTCATGGTGAGGGTGTTGTGTCAGCACTCATGCCTCCCCCACCAGTGCCATCACAGAAGAAGCGATCAAGAGGGGATCATGATCCATACTTTGAGACGCTGTCACTTCCACCTCAAGTTTTGTCTGACAATGCCATTTACAACCGTGTGTACAGGGTGTTCAAGGCAAAGAAAGATGGGAGCTATGACGTAGATGACAAGTGGGTCAAGGCTTGGCAAGATGTCAAGGATGGACGAAGTCAGCTCTATTCCATGTTTGAGAAGACCGGGTACTCTGTGGACAGGGGTTCAAAAAAACATTGAGATCTATGGAAACAAATTGGGTTAACTATGGAATCAAATTGGGTTAAGTTAAAGCACAATTTATGGGTCTTTAACAGTCAACTTCTACTATATCATATCCAATGTTGTTTTTCTTGAACAGAGCTGGCCATTAATAGTTGGATAATAATAGGCGCCTTTAGGTTTTCCACCTTCAGGTTAAAAACCCTTCAGCGTCTCTCGGCCTGGCAGGAGAAATTCGTCAAGCGCTGCAAGGCGATCACTGAGAGCATCTCCGAAGAGTCCTCCGAGGTGGAGGGTGAATGGCTGACTTATGCGGATATGCAGAAACTGGAGTTTTCCGAGTGGCTTTGATTCAAATTATTATATATATAATTTATATATATATATATATATATATATAATACATATATACCTTTTATCAAATATTGATATTATACCAAGTACAATATAATATATATACAAATAATGTTATCTGCCTAGAATTTTATAATAATAATATATGTGTATATACATAAATATGGGATATATATATATATATGTATATTATATAAATATATCTATATATATATCTACATATCTATATATATATATTATAGATTAGTTATCTTTAAGAACCCGACAGCAATGGCATTCCTTCAGGTGATGTTTTTTCAAGAGGATGTGACTTACTGTTCTTTTTTTATCCAGGTATATTCATAGTATGATACATTGGTATAACATTGCTCCTGTTCAGTTGTTCCACCTAGGACGAAGATCAAGGGAGTTATCCGATACTGCGAATCCCGCCCGCACTTACAAAGGCAGGGTGGGCAATGGTACTTTCCCAGTTTTGTGTTTGCACAAGGCCACATGCATCCTATTTTTCACAACATAAATCGAAGCGGCCTGCAGGATGTCCAAGTATGGAGAAGGTCAGATGTACTGGACCGAAATTCGGTGCAAGGGGTCGCTGAAGATCCTAGGCTTTACCAATATTCACAGATTCAAAATGCTTTTTTGATTGTTTTTGACTTCCACACAATCCAGCTATTATCACCCCACTCAGGAGAAGCAAGCGCCACATTTTCCAGGAGATGACTGAGTGGGATGAAGCAAATGACCCTTCCCAACCATCAGAGAACCATGCACTGGAATGGACCATGCTGACTGACAAAAACTCAGGCTGGCTGGGGCCAGTGTTGAACAGTTTTCTTGTTCCACGTTTTCCCAAACATATTCATCAAAAAAAACTCCCTCACTCCCCCACAGCTTGGCCCAGGTGTCCTGGCTCTTGGCGACACGGAGGTGAAGCCTGAGGAGACCGAGGTGATTGCACCAATCCCCCAGGATGCCAAGGCCCAGCTTGCCAAACTTGGCTTTCCCGAGGCGGAAGGGGATGTTGCCCCATCAGCCATGATCCCCAAGGCATGTGCCAGCATTCACAAACATTTAGCAAAGCTTGACGCGGTTCTTTCCGGTTACAATTCCGATTCCTTGTCTGCTCTTCAAGTCAGGAATCTCACCTTAATCATGATGTAGATTTTTTGGTGTTAAAGATTCCCCCAAAGAGTTCTTAGAATTCGCGAATGGGATTTTAAAGGGTTTACATTTGATGTGTTAGCACCTGGTGTTTGTAAAAGTATTATGGATTAAGTATCCCCAAGATAAAATATTCACACATGACAACCAAGAACGTTAGAAGATATGTTAATGTGGTATGACAGTAAACAGGGTAACTTTGGGAATGGGTTATTATAGTTATAATACTTGCAATATCATGCTGGGGCCTTATCGCAAAAAGAACGGTGCATTAATTACCAAACAAGATGGGTAACCATGTGCCTGGTTTATCCCAATTTAATACTTTTTGGGGGATAATCAAGATAAGTATCCCACCCGCAGTCCTGTATATATATGGGCATGGGCAACTTATCCTTTCTTTACAAAATGTAGAAACCAACGATAATGCTATATTGTGTAATTAAGTTGGATTATTCTTTTGGGGTTTGTATGGGAACAATGTTTTGAAAGAGATTGATTCGATGTGGGCTTAAGCTGGTCAACACTCCAATGTAATATTTTGGGCCGCAACTTAGATACTGCCCCTAAGAATTTGGGTTATAGCAGTATAGCAATCAGAAGTAGCTCAGATAAAACATTATGTATCTGAGGATGAAAACGAAATTGGGCCAGATTGTGAATGCCCTCGGCACGCATGAAGAAGCATTGATCGACTTTCATGGCATGGGGCTGATTGATGGCTTTACTGCTGAGCCTCTTAACTGATCCGTCGTGTGGGTGAGCTGCGGTTACCCACAAAAATAAAAGTAAAAGCACTTATTCCCTGATGCGCTCCCGCATTCTGCACGAGGGTCGGCGGATTTCACACAACACACACAGAGGCACATGCACACACACACACAGCGCACATGCTCGCTATTGCGCAATCGCAAACGCACGCGTGATAACAGGAAACCATAATATAGAGAGAGAGAGAGTGAGAGTGTGGAGTGAGAGTGAGAGTGGGAGGGAGAGGGAGAGGGAGGGAGAGAGGGAGAGAGGGAGAGAGGGAGAGAGGGAGAGAGGGAGGAGAGGGAGAGAGAGAGAGGGAGAGAGGGAGAGAGGGAGAGAGGGAGAGGAGGGAGAGACGAGAGGCCAATAGATGCTCTCAAAACTGGTGGCTCCTACTGTAAAAACTGGTCAATCTCAAAGTGACAGTGGCCATTAGAGAACCAAGTTTTTTTGATTTGTCTTGGCTAGTGTGATCCATCACATGAATCAGCGTTTCCGTTTTTTACATGCTAGCGGCGTATTTCGTTTGGTTCCCCCATGTGTTTGTTTTGTTCAAATTTGCCTTGCTTGTCCGCTACCGCCTGTTCTTGTTGGAAGATCTTGGGTTGTTTTGTGCTTTGTTGGACGCTGCAATACTTATGCTTGGTAGCCCTTCCTTGCCTTAGTCTTCAAGGCCAGTGAGCGTATGGCTGTGCTTGCCTCGTGCACTGAGATGCTATGTGTTCTCTTTTCTGGGGGGTCGCTTGTTGCAACTACTGCTTGTTTCTATGACTTTGTGAAGACAAAAAAGTGTGCAAGTTGTGTGCCTTTGACATGATTATAATTGACTTACCCTCTTGGGATGCCAACCCTCTACTTGTGCGCACACGAAAGCACGCACACACACACATGCACACAAGACTGTATTTATTTCAGGTGTGCCACTTCCAGTGGCGTGTTAATTTTGGGGAAGCCATAAAATACAGTGCTGATTTTTGGTAGTTGGGTCCTTGGTTCGGCTGACCCTGGTGTAAATAAATAAATATATATAGATATAATATTATATACAATATATATATATATATACGATGTGTACAATACATTGGTATATGTATTATATTACTAATGTATATATAGTATATATATGCATTATATGTATTATGTATGTTTTTGATATTATGTATATATTACTATGTATTATGTATTTTGTATATGTTGTAAACATTATTAAATATTATATGTATAATATTCAAGGTTAAATATATTGAATCATAAATACCACTTTTGAACGTAGCTAGGGGATGTGGGAAACTAGCAGGACTGATGTTTCGACAATTATAGCATTACAATGAGTCAACTGAAATATGTCACATGGAACGCAATCCAAATTCTATCTTTGGGGTGTGTCATTGTTGTAATCAATCAGTAACCAAATAATATCGTTTTAAACTACTATTGCAAATCTGAGTTGCCAAACTTGGGCCCTTATTTTACAGGTCGAAATATCATCGCAGATTCAACCCTGCTGCGTGCTTTAATCAAGGTTACAAACGAAGATCCAGAGTCAGATGGATGGAGCGAAGCAAAAGCGTGGCCCCCAAACAGAAAAAATGTGAAACATTTACTTACTCTATTATAATGTGTTCTCACCCCTCCTTGCGCTTAGGTTGCTTGAAGGGATGGGCATTTTCCAGTTCGCAAAGTCAGACCCCTAGCTTCAAAGTAGAATCCCCAAACTCGAGCCACGCATTGCGCACCTGCTCGAGGTCTCGCATGCCAGGTCAGAACATGCCTGGCAGGGCAAAGGCAAAGGCTGTCCCAAAACCAGGGGCAAAGGCCAAGGCGGTGCCTAAGGCATCCGCTGCGCCACCCAGTAGGAGGGCCACTGGCAAACAGCCAGCCAGATAGTTCTTTTTTGGAAGCGAAGTTTCAATTTCCACTTTGGATTGTTCCAGTTTTTTCAACAATTCAATTGTGAATTTGTGAGCGTGCTTTGACATTTTCAGTTGGAACAGCCAGTCTATGTTACCAATATGGCCCAAGCGCTGGGACATCAGCGCAATTAAGCTACCTCTTGGACCGAGTTGTATGACAACTCAGTCACTGGCGCACGAGTTGTGCCCCAATTATTTGCTGCTGCGACAAGATGCAAACCGGGGGAAAACAAAATCTTCTCTCTTTGTTTATGCCAGAGAAAGCCCAACATGATAATACACAGGCTGAACCAAATTTTTTGCTTTCAGGCAGCACTATTGTTGCAAGCTTCGCCTTTCCTAGCCAGGTGGCCCCAACACTGGAACCTCTGCTCCAGAACCTCTTCTACTCCATTTGGCCGAGACGATGGGGGATGGAGTTGGTCCCTCAATGTTTTGATTTGATGTCCAGCTAATTACCAGCTAAACTAGGATTACCCAATCAGTAACCCATGGACTCAGCCGACACAGTTGACCCAGCCCAACAATCTTGCCCAGGCCACCGCAGTCAGCGCGAAGCGAGCAGTGCTGGCTGTTGACAACAAGCCTGACGCCAATCCATGCAATGCGGAGAGGGACTTTGAGAGGTTGTGGCAGAGGAAGGGTTACACCATACCCATTCCTATTCACCAAATGGATCATCAAGATGCAACTTCTGAAACGGGTCTCTTGAGAACACACCATGTCAAACCTCAAGATTGGGTTAAATACTGGATGGATACCTCGCCTGAAACTATTGGTGGCTGCAACAATGATGCTGAAACAAATTTTTCAGCGTTCTGGGCTTTGTATCGGCTACAACACCCTGAGCACAAGGTGTTCCAACAACATGGGGATCGACTCCATAAAGTGGTTCCACTGTGCATTCATGGAGATGAGGGCCGGGCAGTGAAACGAACGAACTTCTTGGTTTGTTCGGTGGAGTCTGTTTTGGGTAGTGTACAAGATGGTCGAGTTAGCCAGGGATGCTCCTGTGAAGCTAAGTTGATGTCAAGGCCTTCGATTCCGACCTACGAACCGGACACACCTCCACCTGCCATCGATCCCAACATGCTTCGGGTTGCTGCTGAACAGTTAACCAACTTTAAGGGCCACTCATACTTATCAAGAATGTTGATCTTTGGAGTGGGAGGATGGGTATACAAAAAACATCCACACATCGTTGATGCCCTTTTTGAAGAGCTGAGCATCAACATGACCGATCTGTTTGAAAACGGTGTGAAGGTACAGAATGGTGATACCTACTATGCGGCCTGTGTGGCCGTAAAAGGTGACATGGACTTCCATGCCAAAGTCATGGATTTGTCTCGCTCGTACAAGAATGTTGGTACCAAGAATCGTTTGGAAATTTGTCACATGTGCCGTGCTGGTAATCGCCAGTACAGCTTTGAGGATTACAGGGAGTCCCCAGAGTGGCTTTCCACACTTTTCCAGTCAAGACCATGGAATACCGACAGCCCGCCAAGCCTTTGCCAGATTCCCTTTGATGACCAATCTCCAGAGCGCATCCTTCAGGGAGACACTTTCCACTTGATCAAGCTTGGCATAGCAAGGGATGTCATTGGGGGAGTACTGATCCTACTTCTTCGTTTGAAATTCTTTGACCATGAAGGTTCGCCAACCAACTTGGATAGCAAATTTCAACGTGCCCACTCATACTTTGCACTGTGGTGCCGTGCCACAGGCAAGACTGCGGGGCTTCGGTCGTTTACCCCGTCATTTTTCAACATGAGACACGGGTTGATGTCAGCCCCGTGGGCAAGTACCAAAGGATCTGACAGCATCCTTTGTCTGGAATGGCTTGTGTTTACATTGAACCAGCAAATGGCAAATCCTACTGTGGCAGGACATGACAGGATGTTGAAGCAAATGCACCAAGTCTGTGAAGCATGCTTGGGGGTCAACATGGTTCATTCCCACGGGCTCTGGCTGAAGCGAACCTGTGCCAGGTTACTCTATGGTCATTTCATGACTCTGCTTCGTGGCTATGCGCTTCTGGGACAAAAAGCCCTGACCCTGAAGATCCGGGCCTTCATCCAGAAACCAAAGTGCCACGGTGTCCATCACATTGCAGTAAGCCTGAAGCGCCAACTGAAATTGGGGGTGCCCTTGGTTTTGTCACCGCAGGCATTTGCTTGTGAAATTTGTGAAGATTTCCTAGGCAGGATCTCTAGACTTTCTCGCAGGGTGGGATTTAGATTATGCCACCTTCGAGTAATTCAGCGCTACTTTCTCAAAGTGTCAGCTCTAATTCGAAAGCGAAAAGATCAGAAGCGAAAGAAGAGATGAAAATCAGAAGACATTGTTCAACCCGTCTAGGAAGCCATTGTGGGATTGCAAATGTGCTCAATCTGAGGGCCACACATGGCTCCATTCCAATTCCGTCAGCTAATCGGACTGCTGCTTTGTGTTGGGTTTGCATGGTGTGAACTTGGAACATTTTGGGGCAATTTTTCCTTAGGATTTCTGAAGTATGCATCCCCCTATCCATGCCATTCAACACCTGAAGTGGATGTCAAAACCATGGAAACTGCACTTTTTGTCAAAAGTGCCTCAGGCTAAATTTTCAACTCGGGCCAAATTTCCTGGATCGGGCTAAAATTTCAGCCTGAATGCATTCAGACCATTATTATGGCCTGAGGATTTCCTAGGTATATATATATAATATTAATTATAATTATATAATATATATATATAATTATAAAATTATATATATCATCTTTGTCTATTTGTAGAAGGGCTGAATGCAGTCGGGACTCCCTGTTGCAATTAGTGTTTTGCATTGTGTTGCCCCATGTTGGGACTCCCTGTTGCTAATCTTCTGATCCTGGGCCATGTAACTTTCCTACATCGGACAGGCTCTAAGTGAGCTTTCTGGTAGCAACACATTCAACCTTTACGCTCTGCATTTGCGCCTTTTATGAAGCCCGCACCAGCTGAATCTCAGAACCGGTTCAAGCCTTCCATTTCAAAATCACTGCTACACACGCAATCTGCTTCGCAGAATTGGCCGAAGTGCATCATAATGACATCCTGATGACCCTTGCCATCAGACTATTGACAAGCAAAACATGGCAAAACTGCCACAGCAGCTGAAACGAGCCCTGAACAGTACCAGATGTTACCAGCAGTGCAAAAAAACTGGCAACACAATGGCCCACAAGGATCTCAGTGCCGAGGTTCCACTGACTTGAGCACTATGCAGCTGATCCAACAGATTTTTTGTTATGTCGTTGAAGCTTGTATCCTCGCAAGGCTTCGTGTCCTCGGAATGAGGCAGTGATAGGCAACAATAGGCAGCTTTTAGGCAGCTTGGAAAGTGAAACCTTGCAAGTGTGTCCAAGTGTTGAATGCTGGTACCTCTCCAGCAAAATATGCAAAATCGGGGAAACACAGAGACAAGTGTTCGAAATCAGTGCTGAAAACACGTTAAATGTGTTCTGCCCTGTCCCTGAATCATCCAAAATTCCAAGTGTCAGTGATATCACCAAATTTGATATCCTCACAGTAGTCGCTCTTGCGGCAGCCGCAGCTCTTTCCTGTGCAGACCTCTGTGGCTGCAATCCATGAGTCAAGGCCGTCGCATGAAGGTTTTCTGCACCCAGACCTTCCTTGCAAACTGGCTGGGTTCGGAAAGCCGTCCAAGTACTCGCCGGGTGAGGTGAACCACTCTGGCATCTCAGTGTGATTCTTGATACCTTACCGAAACATATCAGAACTCAGCTCACCACCTCACATAAAAAATTCTAAACTACGGCTTTAGCAAGCCTACGTGCTCGAACCAGGAGCTATATAACACATGCTAACACAACCTTGGAAACAACGCAGGTTCCAGCGCACCACCAACACCTGGCACGGGACTGATCAGGTTTTTCCAGCCGTCCACCTTCAACTGTGGGTCCTGAAAGCGCCGGTAATCCTGGAAGTATAAGCAATTTCCAGTGCCTCCTTCATCGTGATAGCTGCCATGACTGTCTTGACCCACATAAGCAACTGGGTGAGTGTCCACAAACTCAACACTGCTCCGGTGCTTGGTGTAGGAGCCACTGTGCTGATGATATCGAACCTTTTTGACCTCGTCATTGTGAATGTGGACCACCACATGCTCCCAGTCTGCTCGGTGCGCGCCATACTCATCATTCATGATCCCACTCACTTTGATCTGCAAGCACGCTGGCTGATGACCTCTCAAATGCATCCAAATGCTCTATGCCGCCGGTGAACTCTCTTCAAACATCAAGCACGTTTCACCAACATGTCTGATACTTACAAAGAAATGTTCCTCATGAATCCAGCTTCAGAGACTTGCGGCTCTGCATAACGTCTGGCTAAAAAGTCCAGCCACTGCACAAAGCCTTACAAAGCCCATTTAGACGTAAATACCATTTAGATTTAAGAATTTTATTGCCATCAATCACCCTGTCATCTTGTAAGTTTAGCCATGTTTAGCCACATTCCGCAACCCTAAAATACTCTGCATACAAAGACGCAGCCAAGCCAACGCTTGCCAACCCTTTTTTGCCCAGGCACTGTACCAAATCCAATAGTCTATGACGACCGCTCCCGAACTACACTCCTCGTATGGCGTTCAGCAATGAAAAAGATACTGGGAATGCAACCGCGTGAAAGATCGCGAAAGACTATATATAATAACATTCTCAGTAATTTAAAGACATGAAGGTAATGACTAGGACAGCCCAGGGCGGAGGTGAATCAAGCAGCCGCACCTCGTACTGGTAAAAAATTGGCACATTCTCCAACTTTGTGACGTCATCCTCGCATATGTCTTCGTCATTCCCTGCCTTGCGCTGCTCATAGACCGTAGCCTCAAACATGGTGAGTGTAGTAGCCAGGGAAAAAAGGGCCCACATAATTATAAGTAATTATAATTATAACGGTATAGCGGATAATAGATGATTGAAACGTGTTTAAAATACTTTGCCATCGCTATCATGGCATGACAGCAAACCGCAGTAATTGACATCAGCAAGAGGCCGGATGGCCCGGCAAACATCTCTTTTCAGTCACGGACGTGTAGTCGAGCCGGTAGACTGGCGCGAAGCGAGCTGCAGTGGCGACTTGGCATTCAACATCTTCACACAGCCCAGCGGCAGGCGTTAAGAAACTCACAACAATCGCTGCCGCATGCCATTGTCTCATCATCGCACAATGATTTGTGGCTCGAAATAAGAGTGGGGGTTCTCGGATGGTTCGAGACAATCTGCGGCAGTTCAGATTGTCTTACTGCTGCCTACTGATGTTTTCTTGAAGCACAGCATACACCCCGCCCCCATTCCAAAACCCTTGCTTGACAGTGATGCAGTTTGCACATTGTCAGTCTATGGCCGTGAGATGGACAACAAATGCCAAATTAGAAATTTTATGACATTTTCACATCTGCCCAAAAACCTAACGCTCTCAGCGCTCTTTTTAGTAGGTTATTAACTCGGGATGATGCTAACGCTTGATTAGAAATAGTCTATATTAGTGTGATTTATTGGCACATTCATGTCCTTTCGTTATTTCTTGAATTCCAATCCCTTATATATTGTGCAGAAAGGGATTTGCTTGTCAATGGTGTCTGCGATGCTTGCATGATTCACGCAGCGCTATGCCGCCATGCATGCAAGGTAATCATACAGTAGGGGATCCCTGGTTTGATTAGACTTGAGGCCAACGGCCCTCGCAAGTCACCGAGATTGGATTTAAAATTTGGGCGTGCACTGGACGTGTTCCGAACAACCTGTCAAATGGGATCCTGACATCCCTTGTAAAAAACAAATAATGGACACATGCAGAAGTCAAATCCGTCAAGGCACATATGTCCTCTCGGCACTCAACGGAGAAGTTGCCAGTTGCCATGACTCGTTTGGCATTTGTTGGCCCCATGCTAAAGCTACTCCCAGCCTGCGCTGTGGTCGCGGACATTGAGAAAACAGAATCTCCCAAACATGCCCAGAATCCCAAACAAGTCATGCGTCTCGAGGAGACGCACTTATGATACCTCCGAAAAGTTTTCCTGACACACTAAACCAGGAAAATTCAACAACATGGAGTATCAAGCACCGGTCTTTCAATCACCACATGTGTCACGCGCCTTTTTCTCTTGCATGGCAATATTCACTTTCACCAAGGCAGTCCTTGGTTTCGACACTTATGCATAACCCGAGCGCCTTTTACAGTGCTACTCTCAGCAGTCAGTGTCACAAGCATACAGTACAGAAGCAAAAACACATGACATATCATGGCATATTTAAACAAAAAAATGAACAAACTGATCCCCTGACGGTGGCACTTATTTGGTCACTTAAGTGGTGGCCTTGACTTTGAGCCACCGTCAGGCCAGTAGCAAAAACGAAGCATCATTGCTTCCTCTAGGTATGGGTCCAGCGCCTGCATGGACCCCAACAGTGGGAAGTTACGTGAAGATTTGCGCACACCATCCTGCGATTCAGCCAGGCGGCTTTTGAGCGCGCAGGCTCGCCCACGATGGCACAAGAACACGTACTATCAAAATCAATTAAAAATCTATAACATATTCTAAAACAACAATAAAATCCGCTGGCCTGCTGGCATGTTTTGTGGATGTTCTTCTGATACATCTTGCGGCAGCTTTAGCTTCACCTATGGATCGTTTCTGCGCGGGTTTTTGTTTTGTTTGCGTTGCTCCGGCTGGGTATAGCCTCTCGGTTGAGCCTTAGATCCCAACCCCTATAGAGGGGGAGGGCGCGGGGACAAAACCAACCGGTCGAATTCCATTTTTTTGCTTGGAAACCTTAGGATACTGATCCACATGGAATTTTAAAGTAACATTTCTTAACAAACAATTTTTGGAGGGGTGCCACCCCTATAGACATGTGCTCTTTCAGTCTGACATGCGCTTAGCTCCTCCGGAGCTAAGCGCGAGTATTTATATAATTTTCATCTGCTTGCCAATGACATGGAATGACCATAACTGATCATTGAGAAAATATGATTGCGAAAATTGAATTTTGAAATGAAATTTCAGTGCAACTCCCCTCCCCTCGGATAGGCTTAGTACAGCTTCGGTTGAGTCCCAATTCTACAGCATCTCCTGCCTTAGCTTGTGTTACCAGTAGTACCCGCACGAGGCGGTAGGGTTATACTTATACTATAAGACCTTTCTCATCTATAGAACTTGCATGCGCCGTGCGCCAGCCAGGCCCGTGCGTGCGTGTTTTGTGCGAACCTGTTGCGCCGTCGTTGTCCAAGAACATGACCTGCACGCGGCCCCGGTGCAATTCAACGCCAAGCGAACACTTTCTTGACACTTCACAGTGCACGCTTCACACTCCGCACTTCACACTTCACACTTGCACTTTGCACTCCACACTTTATCTCATCTCGAATCATGTGAGCTCTTCTCACCTCATCTCACCTCATCTCACCTCTTCTCATCTCATCCCATCTCTTCTCACATGTCATCCATCTAAGTAAATTGTTCTCAACTGTTCTCATCTCATCCGGGCACTGATCAGCCTTTCTCATCTCCTCGAAGTTCATCTCAACTCATCTCGGCCGTTCTGCAGGCCAGAAAGCTCTCAACTGTCAGAGAGAAGTTTCTTGCACAAAAAAAAATGGGCGCAGAAAGCTTTTGCACACAGAAGCTTGAGACACAGATGCATTTACACAGAAAAGCCTTCCAAAACTTTGTGCCACAAAGCTTGCACAAAGCACTTCTTCCCTACTACTTTGTACTACAAAGATTGCACACAGTACTTCTCGGTGCTACTTTGTACTACAAAGCTTGCACAAAGTACTTCCCAGTACTACTTTGTACCACTAAGCTTGCACAAAGTACTCCCAGTACTACATTGTACTACAAAGCTCGCGCAAAGCACGTCCCAGTACCACTTTGTACTACAGAGCTTGCACAAAGCATGTCCCAGTACTACTTTGTACTACCAAGCTTGCACAAAGCACTTCCCAGTACTACTTTGTGCTACAAAGCTTGCACAAAGCACTTCTCAGTACTACTTCGTACTACAAAGCTTGCACAAAGCACTTCCCAGCGCTACTCTGTAGTACAAAGCTTGCGCAAAGCACGTCCCAGTACTACTTGATACTACAAAGCTTGCACCGGTACTACTTTGTACTACAGAGCTTGCACAAAGTACTTCCCAGTACTACTTCATACTACAAAGCTTGCACAAAGCACTTCCCAGTACTGGCCCAGTACTACTTTGTACTACAAAGCTTGCACGAAGTACTTCCCAGTAAGTACTACTTTGTGCTACAAGACATGGAGAAAGTACTTCCCAGGACTACTCTGCACAAACAGAGAAGCTTCACACACAGAGAAGCTTTTACGCACAGAGAAGCTTTCTTGCATACAATGGCAACAGGAACTGCAGCTCCAAAATCGGCGCCCGCCGCCAAAGCGAAAAAGAAACACGATTTTGAAGCACTTTTCAAAACGAATTCTTAAAGGAAACAATAGGAAAATCACAAGCACCAAAATTGACAAATCTGTAGACAAATAAGTAAGTTTCGCAACCTTGATGCAGCCACTCCAATACGATTTGCGATGCGCAAATGCAAAGTTCCTCCCCAACACACGAGTCCCATGCAACATTCATGTTGCCATTACAATGCGTTTTGCAGCACCACGTGCACATCCATGCACCATGCAGCCATTACAATCCGATTCGCATCCCCGCGTTACAGAGTATTGTGATTTGATGTATTGTGATTTGATGTATTGTGATCCAGAGTATTGTGATATGATGTATTGTGATGTGATCGTGATGTATTGTGATGTGATGTATTGTGATGTGATGTATTGTGATGTGATGTATTGTTATGTGATGTATTGTGATGTGATGTATTGTGATGTGATGTGATGTATTGTTATGTGATGTATTGTGATGTGATGTATTGTTATGTGATGTATTGTTATGTGATGTATTGTTATGTGATGTATTGTGATGTGATGTATCGTGATGTGATGTATTGTTATGTGATGTATTGTGATGTGATGTATCGTGATGTGATGTATTGTTATGTGATGTATTGTGATGTGATGTATTGTGATGTGCTGTATTGTTATGTGATGTATTGTGATGTGATGTATTGTTATGTGATGTGATGTATTGTTTTGTGATGTATTGTTATGTGATGTATTGTGATGTGATGTATCGTGATGTGATCGTGATGTATTGTTATGTGATGTATTGTGATGTATTGTTATGTGAGTTATGTGATGTATTGTGATGTGATGTATTGCGATGTGATGTATTGTTATGCGATGTATTGTGATGTGATGTATTGTGATGTGATGTATTGTGATGTGATGTATCGTGATGTGATCGTGATGTATTGTTATGTGATGTATTGTGATGTGATGTATTGTGATGTGATGTGATGTATTGTTATGTGATGTATTGTGATGTGATGTATTGTTATGTGATGTATTGTTATGTGATGTATTGTTATGTGATGTATTGTGATGTGATGTATCGTGATGTGATCGTGATGTATTGTTATGTGATGTATTGTGATGTGATGTATCGTGATGTGATGTATTGTTATGTGATGTACTGTGATGTGATGTATTGTGATGTGAGTATTGTTATGTGATGTATTGTTATGTGATGTGTTGTGATGTGATGTATTGTTTTGTGATGTATTGTGATGTGATGTATTGTTATGTGATGTATTGTTATGTGATGTATTGTGATGTGATGTATCGTGATGTGAGTATTGTTATGTGATGTATTGTGATGTGATGTATTGTTACTGCACTACACTTCATCCGTAACTCGGAAGATTGCTTCCCAACTTCCTTTGATAATTTCAACTTGTTCTTCAGCTTCTTCTAGAAATAGCTCCGTAGCCTGAACTTGTTCTGGTTCGAGATTGAGTTCTAGTTCCAACTGGAGTTATAGTTTGATTGTGTTCTAGTCTGAAGTCGAGTTCTAGTCCTAGCTACAGCAGTGCCTTGCTCTTATTCAAGCTTCAGATTTTTGCCTAGCCCTAGCTCCGGCGATGGCTTGATCTTGTTCTAGCTTTACGTTGAGATCTAGTTCTAGCTCGCTATAGCTTTAAGTTGAGACCTACTTGTACCTATATATTATATAGCTATAGGTTTAAGCTGAGATCCAGTTGTAGCTAATCATAGCTATACCTGAAATTATCTCTTCGACGGATTTTGCTTCGGCCGCCCTTACCCCCCCAGTTTCGTCTGGTCTAGTCTCGTCTCGTCTCTTTCTCAAGCTCTCAAGCGAACTAGCACTCGCCTTATTGAATCATCACATCCTTGTCGCTGTGGTCATCGTCATCATCCTTCTCCTCCTCCTCTACCTCCTCTTCCTCCTATTCCTCCTCATCGTCATCAGCTTCATCATCAGCATCATCATCATCATCATCATCCTCATTCTCCCCATCCTCATTCTCCCCATCCCCATCCTCATCCTCAGCCTCATCAGCCTCATCATCATCATCATCACCATCATCATCATCATCATCACCATCATCATCATCATCGTCATCATCAAACCAACCTTTTACACCACCCAGCTTTACACAACCCCTGCTTTGGGCCTGTAGGCCAAAGGCCAGAGGGCCGGCGGAATGCCGAAGGCTGACAAATAGAACAAATAAAACAACGAGTGTTTCAACACAAAATAGATGATTGATGATGATTGTATAAGTGATGGTCAACATGTCTTTACCCAAATCCGGGAAGTCCATTAAGCTTTTCTGGTGGGATCCTGATTCTTGCATAACGTATGTAAACTGGGACGAATTGAATAATGGCAGGAGACAGTGCTCATCGTTGCCAGTGCGAGGTCTGTTTTTAAGCTGGTTGCGAACAACCCGAGTTGTACACCGTACCTACGTACATACTTGTGATTCAGCGTGTGGGTCTTTTGAGGTGCTGAAACGTTGACGCCTTCAGTTTGCCAAAGCAATTCCCATGCAATTCATTGTAATTTTCTGGGACTTAGGCCATCCTCTCTCTCTCTCTCTCTTTGTGCCAAGGGACACACGTAGAAAATATAAGCGGTGCAGGAAGAAGGCAAAAATTACAAGTGCCATCTTCACTTGCACTATGACAAATCAGAGAGCGAAATAAACAGTACAAACAGTAAAGACAGAACATGTCAGCTCGGGTCTGTCCTGTTGGATGCCCGCCAACCTTGCTTGCACCAAGCCAAAGACACAATCCGCACTTCAAGCGATTCTGGCAGGAGGACTTTTTGACATCAAACATGGAGAAAAACGCGAATATTGAAAAAATATGAGAAAAACTAGGCAAAAACTACCGCAAACGAGCGTCCATAAATTCCTTGCATTTGCAAGTTCTTGCTCAAACACGTTTCGCAGCCTGGTGGCAGGGCAGAACATCTGTGCCAGGAATCGCTTGGAAAAAACATCAGAATCACGACTTCACATGTATTGGCTATATATGTTATAATAATATTCTATCCCCCAGCGAATGTAAGGGGAGACGTTGTGACCCTAACTCTGTAGGTTACAAAAATCTTGTAATTATTCACAAGCTTGGGGCTATAGAACGAGGTTGCTGAGCTCCATTTTTTCCCAAAATGGCCTTAGCTACAAAATACCAATTCATTTTCAACAACCTTGAAAAACGGACGAGCTTGAATACTGTCATATTCTGTCCCTACGAAATGCCCGGTGTTGAAAAACCCTTCATTGAGGCACACACTTTCCTGACAAAATGCCTCTGCTGCTTTTCAAAGCCAACGTTTGCAACAATTTCCTTTTGCTACAAAATGCCCATTTGATTTCGATAAACCCGTATGAAGCTTATCATGTTTTCTTACAAAATGCCACTGCGATTTTCATGATGGGCTAACATGATTAAAATGGCCTTTATAAAATGAGATTCACAAGTTTAAGCTACAAAATCTTGGACCTGGATTTGATGTCACGGTTAGCCTGACTAAAATGGAAGCCTCTGTAAGAGGCAAACACACAACCCCACAAACTTTGTAGCTTAAATTCGTGGGGGATATATATGATATATGTATATTTATATATTTATTTATCTATATTATACTTGTATATATAATATCTTATATATATATTCTTAATTATTCTTATATAATATGTTGGGTCCAGAAAGGACGGCTCTCTTCTACCGAAAGGCTCTGTGATGCCTTGTGGCTTCCTCCAGATTAAATCACAGTGACAACATCTGCCAAGTGACTTGTGAGCAGTGTCAAAAACACATCAAAAACCTATACGGAAACCTTCGATCAATGATATTAATCAAACCAACGCAACTATAACCCAGTTCCACTTTCACTTGTACTAATGCGGGGCTTCCGCAATCATCATGTTTCCTTCCCCCGATCATGTCAATCAATAAGTGCTGTAAATGGGCAGGCCTGTTCACGGTCATCCTTTTTCACCCCTCGCAATCCCCCTTGCGGGAAACTAAAGCTTTCGCAGTCTTTCACGTGCGTGGATTTTCATTGTGTGAGGCCCACTGCACATGGAAAACCCAAGGCCCATAACAGAATCTCTAAGGATTTTTGACGCTGCTGAAATGGCTAATGCATGCCAGGGGACAAAAGTTTCAAGAACTCCTCCTGGCAGGAGAAGTTCAAAGACTCTTCGGACTCCTCCAGTGCAGCTAGTTGAAGATCCTGCGCTGTCAAAGTGTAAAGTTGCGGTTCCCACCAGGACGCTTGATTTGCCTGCAACAAAGCGAGCGCCAGCATCATAATTACCGACCATTCCAGAAAGCATCAGAAGCTCTACGAACTGTCACAACAGCATTTAATTTGCAACTTCCAGAGAGGTTGGAATCCTTGCCACCGTCAGTTGATTCACATTCTCAGGCTCAAGTCTCGACACTAGAAATGGCAGTTTGGGAATATCTGGCAGGGACATTTAACGATTGATTTAATATGATTTTTATGCTTCCCTCTAGTTCAGCTCAACCAAAAGGCTCTAACATCTCCAACCCCTTTTGCCTGGACAGCTGCCCAAAGTGCAGCTTCCCGAGGGTTTGATCGATGTCTCACCTTGGTGTCGTAGAAATACCTGAGCCAAAGGTCAGCAAAATGCAACCAATGGCCAGCTTCGGAGTCACTAGAGCAATCTTTACAAAGACCAGCAGTCCTGCAGGAACCCGAAATCAACAATGTAATGCTATCAAGTGTCGCTTTCCCAAAGTCAACAAGCCCCGGCAACCAACCACCACATCCCAACATATTCCCAAACGCACCACTAGACGACGGATGGCCCGAGAGCGTAGAGGAGCAGGTCTTCTCTTGTTAGTATGGAGACACCATATTAGAAACAATATATATATATATATATATATTAAAGATGTCATATAGGCAGTCGAGAAGAGGAGTATTAAGACAAAATAGCAGAAGTGCAACACAATAGTTTGCATCGCAAAAACACACAGACACTTTTACGCACAGACGCTTGTACACACAAAAGCTTTCACACACAGAAGCTTTTACAGACAGACACTTTCACACACAGACCCTTTTACGCACAGACGCTTGTACACACAAAAGCTTTTACACACAGAAGCTTTTACACAAAGACGCTTTTACACAGACACTTTTACACACAAAGCTTTTACACACACAGACGCTTTTACAGACAGAAGTTTTTACACACATACGTTTTTACACAGATGCTTTTACACACAGACACTTTTACACACAGACGCTTTTACACACAGACGCTTTTACTTTACACACAGACGCTTTTACACACAGACGCTTTTACACACAGACGCTTTTACACACAGAGCTTTTACACACAGACGCTTTTACACACAAACACTTTTACACACAGACGCTTTTACACACAGACGCTTTTACACACAGACGCTTTACACACAGACGCTTTTTTTACACACAGCACACAGACGCTTTTGCACACAGTCTTTTACACACAGACGCTTTTACACACAGACTTTTTTACACACAGACGCTTTTACACACAGACGCTTTTACACACAGACGCTTTTACACACAGACGCTTTTACACACAGAGGCTTTTACACTTTTACACACAAACACTTTTACACACAGACGCTTTTACACACAGACGCTTTTACACACAGACGCTTTGACACACAGACGCTTTTACACACAGACGCTTGTGCACACAGTCTTTTACACACAGACGCTTTTACACACAGAAGCTTTTACACACAGAAGCTTTTACACACAACACTTTTACACACAAACACTTTTACACACAAACACTTTTACACACAGAGACTCTTACACACAGACGCTTTTACACACAGACAAGTCCGGCACAAGTAAAATCGCAATTTTTCCTCAGTTTTTGCCGATCGACCCTCATTTCGTGCGAAAGGGTTGCTCCGGGACAAGTAAAATCGCAATTTTTCCTCAGTTTTTGACGATCGACCCTCATTTCGTGCGAAAGGGTTGCTTTAGCACAAGTAAAATCGCAATTTTTCCTCAGTTTTTGACGATCGACCCTCATTTCGTGCGAAAGGGTTGCTTTAGCACAAGTAAAATCGCAATTTTTCCTCAGTTTTTGACGATCGACCCTCATTTCGTGCGAAAGGGTTGCTTTAGCACAAGTAAAATCGCAATTTTTCCTCAGTTTTTGACGATCGACCCTCATTTCGTGCGAAAAGGTTGCTTTAGCACAGGTAAAATCGCAATTTTTCCTCAGTTTTTGACGAGCGACCCTCATTTCGTGCGAAAAGGTTGCTTTAGCACAGGTAAAATCGCAATTTTTCCTCAGTTTTTGACGATCGACCCTCATTTCGTGCGAAAGGGTTGACGTTTCGTGACTCACCGCCGGCACCACCCTCGGCCTAAAGAGAGAAAGATAAAGAAGGCGAGAAAGAGAAAAGGGAGAGAGAAAGGAGAGAAGATGTGAAGATGAGAAGATGTGAAGAGGAGCAGATGTGAAGATGAGCAGATGTGAAGATGAGCAGATGTGAAGATGAGCAGATGTGAAGATGAGATGAGCAGATGTGAGAGAAGATGTGAAGATGAGCAGATGTGAAGAGAGGAGCAGATGTGAAGATGAGCAGATGTGAAGATGAGCAGATGTGAGAGAAGATGTGAAGAGAGCAGATGTGAAGATGAGCAGATGTGAGAGAAGATGTGAAGATGAGCAGATGTGAAGATGAGCAGATGTGAGAGAAGATGTCAGAGAAGATGTGAAGATGAGCAGATGTGAGAGAAGATGTCAAGATGAGAAGATGTTTTACAGACCCCCACTATTGGAAGAACCCTGCGCTCAGACGCTCTCGGGAACAAAAGCAAATGGAAGGATGCATGCGTCCAGTAGTCCCACCACGGCCAATCTCCCCAAAAGGGAGCTCCTGAAGGACAAGTCAGCCATAGTCAGCCGACATCTTCCATTTGCAATTGTTCTGCCAGAATTGGAGTTCCCGTCCTCAAAATGCCCAAAGATTTTGGATCTCGGTTCTGCCGGCCCAAAGCCAGGAATCCACATCTGCGAAGGCTCGGTAGCAACATTCAAGGCAATCGGGGAGGAAACCAAGAATTGGTCAACGAGTAGTTTCACGTAATTATACGTAATTCTGTCATCTCTGGGGCTGGTTGGGGTATACAACATGCAAGTGGCCCAATGAATCATTGCAGCGCCTGGGAAGATGTCATCACTGGGGGTTCGTTGGAAAAGCCTTGCCATGCACCCTCTGTGCGGAGGAACTGGCACCCAGCATTTCCAAACTTTCCTGAGCACCACATCATGCACAATCATACCACATCCAAGGAACAACTGCATCCACAACTCTCAGAGTTGTAATTATTATGTTAGTATGTCCTGTGGCTGTGTCCGGGTGTAACTCGAGGGACTAGGATGCACACGAACTACGCGAACCAAAGCCAGCTGGGTGGATGATGGTGCATGACTCCAACAATTGACAATGCACTTCCATCAGCGTCGCATATGATTTTCCTAACCCCATCACGAATAGTTGAACGCTGAAAAATGCTAGCAGCCTGTTGGTACACTGACACATTGCCCAGTAACTTCGCACATTATGAAGACACAGCTGGTAAGCCATACCTGTACATCAATAGACGCCTGTTCTGCAAATCTAGAAAACAACCGTTCTACAATATTCAAAGCTTCATGATTATATAAGTAGTCACCAACGTATTTTGGGCAGATTTGGGCAGCAAAAGCGAGTTGCGGTAGGCAACCACCTGGTATCCATTTCGCTGGAAGAAATCCGGCGGACAAATGCCACGCGGTAGCTCCAAGTACCTCGAAATCGCTAAAGTTGAAGCAGAAACTTCAAACACAAAGACTCTCAGACTCTGATGCAGTGACTAGCCTAGCCTTCCCGCCTGCCAGCGCACTGGGTTATCTCCTCATGAACCGTCAAAAATGATAACATCCTCTCCTCTTGCCTCAGTCAAGTTCGGAGAATTCGAATCAAGCATGCAGAAGCGTGACAAAAAGCGTCAAAACGCAATGTCATGCGACTTAGTGCGACTTCGTATTTGGTGGGTATTGCTGAACATCCTATTTTCACCTATTTTCCATAGTTTAACCTGCTGTGGATCGTTCCCGCTGAGTTGCACTTTGGAAAGTTCCCGCCTCACCATCTGCTCAACAAAGACAAAGTCCTGCTGCTCACAGCCAGCTGAGAACCAAGCCTTACCATCCACAAAGAACCTGGCCAAGCAAATCCGGATATCAGAGCTACTCAGAGCTTTTCAGTGGTGCTCTGAGAATGTTCTGAGTCCACGTTGCACCATGTTGCGTCCAGTGCGTCAGCTAAGATCAGCTAAGAAGCCTGAAATTGCTGCTGTGCCCAAAGCTCCCCATGCAAGCGTAGAGGTCTTTGGCCATGCCCAGTTCCGCAAGAGAATGGAGGATCTTCTGCTGCACCTCCAACGAACGATCAAAATATATCAATAATCTCAATATAGCACGTTTTAAGTCTTCTATTATATGTTTTCAATTTTTCATTTATTTTTACGGGTTTCATGCACTGAGCATGGGGCAACTGTATTGGTTTCCAAAACCAACACTTGTGAACTTTGTCTCTTATGCATCTCCAGCTCCCTGTAGTTTTATCTGATCGGGTCAATGTTGCTCTGGTTGAACAAGGGTCAAACATGATAACCACCATTGCACCTATTGGTACCTATTGTCTATTGTCAATGCAAATGACCACATGGCTGAGTTTGCTGTGTTTGGAAGAATTAACACTTCACCATGCTCAAGGGAAAAAAACGCCCGCAGGATACTGCATGGTGCCTCCGTTTCTCTTCACTCAATCTCTACTGCTGTATACAGTCTTTAATGACTTCGTGCACCTCACTGTGTGGGATGTTGTGATCAATGGTCAGCTCGCGCCGAACATAGCCATCCAGCTCTTTCACCTCGATGTCTGATTAGGTACATCAGGTACTGCACATAGTTTCAAAGTCTCTAAAACAAGATAGGAACAGGATGGTCTTCGGCTGCCCAATACCTACTACAGTACCTTCAATTTCCAATAAGTGAGGGGGCGTTGCTGGGCTGCTGTGGTACATCACTTTCGGATACCCCTTTAGTATCCTTGGTTTTTGCTATTACATCCACTGTAAACCTGACACTTCAGCCCAAACAATCAAGTGACACAATGACTCTTGAAGTATTGATCCTCAGCTTCTTGAAATTGCCTCAGATGGGCATGCTCCACACAACCAACCAGTGGACGCGATAAGGATTTTCCAAAGAGTGCTGCATAGTGCTCCGCAGGTCAAATCCACGGCTTCGCTTCCAACTCCCTCCTTTACATCGCCTATTCCCTTACGCTACCAGCTGAATATCTTAGAAGGCTTTTGGCTTTGTGTGCTCAGCGAATGGTCGGACCTGCTTCCCAGTTGCAAACAAAAACGCTTTGAAATTGAAACGTGTATATATTATATTATATTATTATATATTATCAAATAGGTCTAGTCTTCAAGATATTTATCAGCCAGGGAGCAGGACACTCTTTTCACCGGTGCAATTTGACGCATTGAAGTCTGCCATGCGCTGCTGCTTCAGTAATGCAGCTCGATCACATATAAACTGATCCAAACAATCACCTCGGACATCGGTCCCAAAAAATAGTTGGCAAGTTGTCATGATGATCAATGCTGTGGAAATTGGGTCTGCCCCTGTACCGTGCTGAAAAAATATGAAAAAATGCGGGGCCCTCAGGCAACGAAACGAGTTGAGGACTTAGTTCAATCTTGATGATACTAGCTTGCAGCTTGCCTATCTATTTTTGCCGCATGTATATCTCAGGCAGATAGAGAGGTACCTTGTGGTAGCACTAAGTGCTCTTCAGGAACCCAGAACCATGCAGAACCGTCCATCGAGATCTGCAGCCAACTGAAATCGTTGTATGACAGGTCACCGAGCAACGAGTACTGTCCCTTCAAACGATGCTCCGCATCCAACAGCCCACGGCTATAGCCACGATAGGCCCCACCAAGGCGAGCCAGTTCCACCTGCGACGAAAGTGAAGTGCGACAATGAAGTGACATTTAAAGAGCAAGTGAAAGTGGCATCAAGTCATGTCAAGTCACATCTCAGATCATTTCAGCATGTTTCAACATGATTCTACATGTTTCAACATGCCGCCGGCCCAACTTTGAGGGCTCAGTGCTGCCTCGACGACCAGCTCCATGAGGTCCGAGCCAAAGCGAGGCACTGCAGTAGCTGGGGTCATGAAGCCAGTCCAAAGGAAGTTTCCGAGATTTTTGTTCCTCAGAAAACGCCAAACAATCCCAACAATCCCGTGGATTTTTTGCAAATGCGTCGGGCATATTACAAAAGGCACCTCTTTCCTTTGTTTTGGGAATAAACAAGACCACTAATTAAAACCAATATGTAAAGGACCACAGCTGCTGTAAAACAATGCAGCTGGACCATGCTGGACTGATGTATATCAGACCAGTGGAGATGAAGGACCCTACCTCGTGACATCTCTTGACATGTCTCTGTCCATTGTTCCAGGCAAAGCGCATGGCGAGTAGTTCGTGAATCATGTGCTGTGACCACTGCATCTTCTCATCAATATCGCCATCAGCAGAGATCTTACGCGATTTTTCCTGATGAAATGTGAAGGAACGCAATGAATTCAATCAATCGAAACACTCAGACCATATCATTCCCACTACCTGGATAGATTGACACTTCAAGCATGTAGACCTTGGCAAAGAAGGCAAAAGCACTATATAAGGTGATCACAATTACCCAGTCAAGAAGGCAGGGTTTGAGTTCATGGAGGACGCATTTCAATTCAAGTAAGACAAGCAAAATACAGTACAGTACTGCAACTAGGCTGAAGGATGCAATGCCTACAAACAACACAATTGTGTATAGTTGATTAATTGCCTGAGCAACTTCCAGATCATTTTTAGGATGATTTCCCACCCATGTTTGTCCTCGTAGTACCTGAAAAACCGAATGCGCCGGGTGGCATACCTCAATGAGAGCGTCCCATTCAATTGGAGCGTCTCATTATCGGAACATTTCAACCGTAGCAAACTCCAACCCGTCGATTCATGACACTCATGTAAACACAGCCACCTCCCTGTAGTATCAGCAGCGTATACAAGCACAAAAGCAGTAGGGCTGACTATATAGAATGGTAGAACCCATCGCAAGTTTGGGCTGGCCGAGGACTGTATTGCAATGACTTTGGTAACAAAAACATGCGGCATCATGCTTTACCAACAAAATGAAAAATCATTCACGCTTGAGATCATTTGGCCCCCCTGACTGAATTATATTTTGACCGGGCTCAAGTGTCCTATGCTGGAATCAATAGAAAAATGTTTGCCTTGAAAAGTTGCTGCAGTGGTATTGCCATGTTGCTGACCTTCCTTCTCCAAGATCTTGGAGACAGGTGTTTGAGACCCGCTCTTCACGCTTTTCAATACCACTTGCATCTCCCAGGCCTGCTCTAATTGGATCAATTGGAAGTTGAAATGGCATGTGATATAAGGACTTGGTAAAGAAAGTTGCTCTCAGAGACTCTGAACATTTTCTACCAATTCTATCCAATTCTTGCTTTACCAGGGCCATTCGCCAACATGGTCCGTTGACAATTGCAAACATTAAGCCGGCAAGAGACCCCAAACAGTGTGGGGAGTAGGAGGCCAATGTACCAAATACAAACAACAGTAGCTATGGAACAGTAACAGGTGAGGTTAGACATGATCGCAACTGCAGCAGCAGGACCTTCTATGTAGATCTATCATAGAGGAACTCACAAAATCTTCATACAAGAACTGCCCATGAGAGTCCCAGAAAACTATCATACAAACACCAACGCAGAGGATCTTCAAGATCTTAATGCACGGGCCTTTTGAGGAGGATTCCAACAGGATCTCCACAAGATCTTCTCACAAGGACGTGTACCAAACCTTGACCAAGATCTTCATACCAGGGCCCCTAAGAGAAGCCCACAAGATTGTCATAAAAGGACCTGCTGCTGGAGAGAATCTTACAAAATCTTGATACAAGTCTAAGACGTGGCATCTGCAGGACCTTCAGGCAATGACCTCTTAGAGAGGACCTCATCAGGATCATGCAAGGATCTCTTAGAAACGAATTTATCAGGATCTAGGATCTCCACGCAATTTTCTTTAGGACCTGCGCAAGATCACGCAAGGACCTCTTAGAGGATGCCAGCCAGATCTTCACAACATCTTCTCACAAGGATCTCCACAAAACCTTGGTCGAGACCTTGATATACCACTGGGACCTACAAAATTACAGCATGAAACTCTTGCAAGATCGTGATAGAAGGGACCAAGAGCGGAACAACCATTTTGTGCGAGCCTGTGTGGTCGAAATGCACATGGACATATGACAAGAGCAATTTTACGCGAGAATTTACAGCGAAAAAGCTGGGGATCAGAAAGCGTACCCTGATTATATAACCCCGGCGTTAACTCCTACTGTAAGAACCCCTCAGTGGACACACTGCTTGAGGAAAAACAATGATGTATGCGATTATTTTGATGGAGAGGGCGACGGGCAATAACAAGTGCTTCGACGTGACCTGTGCATCAAAGAAAATATCGTAGATATCCCCGTCCGCGTCCTGCATTCCTGGGTTGCAGTCAGCTGTTGCAATGCGGTAGCCAAAATGGTATGACAAAACGCAAAAACCCGTCTTTTAGCACTTTGGCTGCTGAGTTTCTGGAGCTTTTGGCAACCGCTTCGAGATTATCAACTGCCAATGAAGGTTTCGTCGTCGCTAGAGAGAATCTGCCACCTCCACCTGCACAGTCTGCCTTTTGAAGCCTTTGCGAATGTCATGAGCAAGGTGTGACCAACGGGATCGCAGCGGAGCATCTGGAGCAGCGAGAACTCACTAACAGTGTTTTCAACATCTCCTCTTGCAACATTTGAAGGTGGTCGAAGGAAGTTTAGAGGTCAAACTTCCGACAATATGGACAGATGACGCAGCCCAGGTGGGAAGAGTCAGAGAAGAGGGGAAGAAGAAAGAAGATCAGAGAAGAGAAATAGTCAGAAGAAAGAAGATCAATCAAGCTGCGCAAAAAGGTAGAAAAGTCGCGAAACAGTGTGTTTCTTCCATGTTTTGTGGCCCCGGAGGTTCGCAAAGTAGGCTTGCTAAAGCGGCAGGTGCGGAGACATCTGGTCAGATGAGAGATCAACAATTGCACGCTGCTGTGGCGCGAAGCAGATGTTCAAGTCAAAATACTGAAAACACCTTTGTCCCGGAACACTTTGGAAGTTGAGATGCCGAACAAGTGCATGCAAAATAGAAAGATAGATAGATTAGATTAGCTTAGCTTAGATTATATAGATAGATTAGATAGATTAGATAGGTTAGATAGATTAGATAGATTAGATAGATTGATGGATAGATAAATAGATGGTTGGATTGATAGATGGATAGATGGGTGGATGCATAGATGCATGGATGCATAGTGCATAGATGGATAGATGGATGGATGGATAGATGGATGGATAGATTAGATTAGATTAGATTAGATTGGATTGGATTGGATTGGATTGGATTGGATTGGATCAGATGACATGAGATGAGATGAAATGAGATGAGATAGATTAGATTAGATTAGTTTAGATTAGATTAGTTAGGATAGATTAGATAGATAAGAAAAGAAAATAATAGAATAGAATGAGACTAGAATAGATAGAATAGATAGAATAGAATAGAATAGATTAGATTCGATTAAAATAGAATAGAATAGATAGAAAGATAAATTGTCAGATTGTCAGATAGACAGAAAGCCAGATAGACAGATACAGCAGAGAGTCAGATAGTCAAATAGCCAAAATAGCCAAATAGTCAGATCGAATCAGATCGATATATGGATAGATGGATAGTTGGATGGATGGATGGATGGATGGATGGATGGATAAATAGAACGATAGATAGATCGATAGATAGATAGATAGATAGATAGTAGTCAGATAGTCAGGTGGAAAAATAGACTGATAGATAGACAGACAGACAGACAGACAGCCGACAGATAGACGACAGATAGACAGATAGACCACAGAT